AGAAAACAGCTGGCTGGGCATCTGTTAAACTGGACATGACTCAACTGGCAAACTGTATCAGTAGCAGCAGGCAGTATTAGCACGGAACAGCTTTTGACGGTACTTTTGATAATCCTCACAGGAGCGTCACAAAACCCAAACGCCTGTGTGCTGCATCTGCCCACTAGATGGCGCTATAAGACTGAGCAGAAACAGGCACAGGCTTTCGATGCGGGAAGGCAAATTTGTTTTTTTAAATACTTGCATTTAGCAAATGTTCAGGTTTCAGTGGACCCCTCAAAATCAGACGTTAAAAGAAAAAACAGCCACTCTGCCTTAAGGGGACCTGAAACAAGGCAGAACACCAAAATGACTTAAATGGCAGTTTAACTGCAGATCCGTGTCTAATGAGCACTAATTTCCATACACATAATTCAGAGATGTACATTTAACATCTTTTGCATTCAGTTGACACCTGTGACTAGGTGTTTCAAAGAGGCTGGTGAAGCTGACATGAGCACGCTTAGCCCCGATATCTAACTGGGTCGTTTGCCTCCCATCAGCCCCAGATTATTCTGCATGTCCTTCACAAATAGAAGTCTAGCACGAGACTGGAACTGCCCTTCGGATGCGCTACAGAAGCAGACGCACGCCTGTACGTGCTTCTCGTTTATACATCCCAGCGGTGGGCGGAGGGGGACAGGAGCCGGGGAAGCCCACCCCCCTCTCCCCCCCGGGGCGACTCGCCTGGTGGACGCAGATGTTGCACTTGTCGCAGAAGACCATGTCGTTGCCCTCCTCGCTGTAGGGGGAGCGGCACACGTCGCAGATGACGTCCTCGTCGTACTCGATGCCCAGCCCCTCCTCCGTCTCGATGGCGTGGTTCATGTTGTCGTGGCACTGCCGCTCCAGGGCCTCCATGGCCCGCTCCATGGTCAGCTCGTCCAGCGAGCCCTCCCCTGCAGGACGGACACTTTCAAGCCTGACCGCTGGGCGTTTCCTGGGGGGTATCCCGAAGGGCTAGCAAACAGCGGCCCCCACTGGCGGAATCCAGGCCTCGTCCCCAGCCACAGCTCGTTTTCAGCACAACACACCGTATTCTCCTTCACACAGAGCGTTGGGGAGTGTGTGTCTCACCCCCTCCACTGAGAATTTACACTACTCCCAGCGGAGAGACGCCTGCGTGTCCCCAGGCGTAACAGTGACAGACTCGGGAAATCTTTCATCCCCTCCGCCATCTCACTCTCACTGTGAAGTAACTCTCTTATCTCCTGAAACACTGCGGTACTGTACACCTGCTTTTGTTGTATTGTTGTGTTGGACTCTGTCGTAAAATATTAAGGGATAATAAAGCTCAAATTGATTTCATTGTGAAGGATGGCCCCACTACTTCCTTCCTTTAGTCTCGGCAGGAGATGGCGGGTTTCTAAAATAAACCATGGGTGACAGCAAGTTTCGTCTGAAAATAAGTCCATAGAATGTGCTTAAATAGCTCCAATGTGGCAAGCTACTGCTCTGTCTGCGCAGTGGGTGATGGCTCTGAAAGTTTCCCCTGTTAAACTGACAAGCGATGAGGAACTAGAACTGAAAAGCAAACGCAGCTGTGTGCTGGGTATAGGTTAAAACATGAACCTAAACAATGGAGGCACCCTCTTCCTGTACATCAGAAAAGCCATTTCACAGGAGAAGAACTACCAAATATCTCCATACAAATGATCCATCTCTGCTTTCTCTCTAGTATGATGCCACGTTGAATTCACTTGCAGTAGCACACATGAATCTATAGAAATAATTCTTCATATTTTACACTGGAATAACTTGACTAAATCATAGGAGTTATCTGTGGACTACCTGCAGTTATGGTGCGCAGATGAGGTTGGGAATTGGAAGATGGTATAGGGCACCAAATTCAAATAAAAACATTTCAAAGAAGTCCTTTGTCCTCTCTGCAATAACACTATTCAATGAATGTAGGTAAAGGTAGTCCCCACACTAGCTATTATTATATATTATATTATGACATACTGTTGTGATTTTATGTGACTTATGTTTTGCTTGTGTGTTTTCCACTTCCATGGGAGAAGCCAAAGACAAATTTCCACAGCACTAGAACATAAAAAGAGCCAAAAAAAGGCTATCAGCTCACATGTAATTTATAGTCTATGCTAAAAGCATGGCTATTAAGAAATGTTGCCGCAGGGTCTTAAAAGACAAAGAGAGAAAGGGGAAAGCGTCTCAGCACAGCTCCCCGTCATACCCATATCCTCCAGCTCAGCGTTCAGCTCCTGCAGCCAGAACAGGTCCATGTCATCCAGGTCGTAGCGGCACATGCACTCGGCCAGCTCCAGGATGCTGGTGTAGCCAGGCTCGGCGGGCTCCTGGCTGGAGCACTGCACGTACTTCCGCGGGCGGGCATACAGGGTCTCCTTGGGCTTCTCCGCGATGATCCTGCAGGCAGAGAACGGCGCGGATTAACGGCGCGCCCATCTCCGCGGGGGGAGCCCCTGGACCGCGCCAAGAAACCGCCAACACCGCCCCTTCTTTACCGCTGTGGTATCATGAGAGGTTACACGGATACAAAAAAACACACATCTCTTAACAAAAACGGCCTGTTATTCGGGGATGATTTCAGTTCTGGATGCGGTCTTACTGTAGGGTAAACACGGCAATGAGGGGGAAAGGCTTTCTTTTTAGCAATATGCGGCGATTCAACTTGGCCTTGTGGAAGAACTGCTAGTTGTTGCTTTAGGAAAACACTATGACTCCTCATCCACGGAAATCACTGTAGAAGAACAGTGATGTATCGGGCACAAATAAAGGGAAATGCCCACAATGCCTTTGGAATGGTTCTGAACTCTACACGTGGGAGCGGTACAGTTATGTGTCTTTCAGTGTTATCGCTGGAGCAGGCGTCAAAGCCCCGGGACGGGGGGCCGAGAGGTTTGGGTGTTGGCCTGTCGGCGCGGGGGACCTGCCTGACGGATGGCGTGGGGATGGTGTCTGGGCTGGCAGGCACCTGCACCCCCTTCTCCCACTCCTGCTTCCAGGTGTCGGCCAGCTGGTAGTAATCCTCGGGCTTGATGTGGTGCGAGTCGGGCAGCTTCATGGCACTGATCAGGTCTTTTCGGAATACCTATGGGGACAGCAACACTCCTCAGCGCACTGTGGGGCCCAGACCGCAGCCACCTCTGCAGGGTCTAGTGCTTACAAGGGAAAGCCCCTACCTACCACACATGCAGGTTTGCCACCTGGCTAGGAAACATCGCCAGGATTTAGAAAAGCTGTGCATCACAGGCAAAGACAAACGAGAAAATCCAGGGAGTTACCAGCTGAACTTTTACTGAGGTCTTACAGACCAGATCTGGGCACGGTAATTGAATACGTTTTCCAGAGCAGGAAAATCTCAGATGAGCTGCATGTCCCGGCCTTGCCAGTAATGCTTTCTTATATAATACGCAACCCCTAACTAAAATTTTCATTTCCAAAAAAGAATAATTAGTTATTATCTGCGTTTTAATCCCTTCCATTCCTTTGCCTTCCTTTCACACCCTACTTGGAGAGCACAGCCTGTGGGCCAATCCAGTATTTGAACCAGTACTGCTCCAGGTTCCCTGCAGCACTCCATTGAAAACACAGGCCAAAGACACGCGTTTGCTAGCTGTACAGCAATGCCGGCTCTTACCTCAGCTGGTTTCTTTGGCTCCGCAATGGGGGTACCAGGTTTCCCCCCATATTTGTTGGAAGAGCAGAAGGAGGTTGATGGGCCTGGGGATTAAAGAGGATTACGTTACTACTGAAACGGACAGTCGTCAGTTCAGGAAATGCTACTGTATTAAAACAGCAGCAATGCTGGGCTTGAAAACCTTCAGAAATGCCATTTCATAAATCTAAGCAATAAAACCTGCCCAAGAAGTTGTATCTTCTTAACCTCTAACGGCCAGTCAAGACTTGAAAGTCTTACCAGTAAAAGAGGTCTGAGCTCTGAATCTGAGCTGCTGTGCTGCAAAGTCAAAAGTCAAAAGACACCAGAGTACAGAACTGAGGTGGACACTGGGCAGAGTTCACCCTTCCTGACAACACTGTGAATTGTGATGCGCTAAAAAAAGTACTATTTATCTACTGCTGAATCTCTGCCACATTCACACTCTGCAATGTTTGAAATGCATGAATGAAAAGAAATGCTCTTTCCTTAAATGCAAGTTCCACATCACATAAAAATCATATTTTTAACTGTACTTGAGCAATTATTCATCTCCTTAAAAAAAAAATATAAAAAACTATCATTTTCTGAACTAAATAAAACAATATATACACAACTCAATTATTTGACAACCGAATGACTCCAGAATATTCAACACAGGGGCATTCTTCTATGTTCCAGTGTCTATAAATATTGCTGTATAACAATGAAAACTTGTTACCGAACAAAGAAAGCGCTCCTACAAAATATGACCACTTCTTACTTTTTTTCCCACACAAAGAAAGAAATTCAATCATATAGGATGAAGGAGTAGACCTATATTCAGGTAACTTCAGATAATGCAAAAATCCAGTAATTCTTTCACTGTTCTGTGAAACGATCAGATCCGTGAACTAATTGTGTCTGTAATCATTCTGATGAATAAACACTATGTTCAAAAAGGAATTCACTTAAAATGAAGATTTAAATGATAAAAAAAAATAAAATTATTTTTAATTAACAAAAACCTGAATAGTGTGCCTTATTTGTGTGTCACTGGGACTAAAAGGCTCTATCAACTGCAGAGTGAATATGACAAAGCACAGCGTGCTCTCTCTCTCATAAATAAAAGTGCACTAATTCAAAATCTTTAAAGGCAAAAAAAAGGATTCCATTCATACTGCTGAGTTGTCCCACTTAGGGAATGGTTTACAAGCAACTGTTGGCAAGATCTCGCACATGAGTTTGAAAAACACGGAGAGACAAGTGGACAGACTGGCAGAAACAGGTATAGACATCTTTTCTCCCATCAGTCTCCAACATCAGCGACGCACTTGCTCTCTTAACCTCTTAGCCCTCTTATACAAAAAAGGAGAATGACATGTTTTAACAGAGGGACTTTCCTGACAACTGGAACTTCAAATCTAAATTTCATTCTTAAATACGCAGTGCAGATTAAAGATATAAAATAAAGTAAACGCCAAAGGGTTTTGTTTAGCCTAATCCAGCGTTTGTTCACTACACTTTTAGAACTTAACTTTAAACAGGCTTCAAGAAACCCTAAATCTTAACTGCTGCCTGGGCCTCTAAACGTGTACACTGCATAAAACTGATCCCGAGGACTGGGCGTTGTGATATCTGTCTTTCCCCATCTGTAAACCCATAAAAGTTTAGCTCTCTGGTTAAGAAATGTTCGTACATGTGGCTGGGGTGATGCGTTCAATCCCAGGAGGGGAAACTAACCCTTAACAATTGAGAATCTTGGAGTGTACTGATGAACTGCACAAAGTGTAGATTTCATTGCTGAAATCCATCTATTCCAAGTTAATATCCGTCGATCCCAAAGCATATTAAATCCACTGTACATAATGTACATGTACTGTACACACAATTTAGATGTTCTAAAGCAAAGCGCACCTGTGGTAACTTTTATTTCGGTTCCACGTGCGATCTTGGGTACATTTCGAAATCTGTTCAGCTGACAGAAACGAACATCTTTTTTGGTCACTGTTTAATAGGCCATGAGACTGACCTAAGCATTTCAGTCATCTGAACTGCAGGGGGTAGCACTGCCAATAGAGACGAAGGACACGCATGAATGGACCTGCACCGTCCATCCGCCCCTTGTTTGCTATATATACCCCATCGGTGTGGATTGGCCAATTATTTTTAAGACTTGGCCTGCTGGCAGTAACTCCAACACCCACACTGGAGAGAATGAGACACGCAGACATGTTCCATCTGCATAGCCACTCGCCATTGAAATGTCAGCTCCACAACGCTTGACAGGAGAGATCGCGCCGATTGGAGGAATGGCCCCGCCCCCCCCGGCAACTCACAAGCGTTGTTTGCTGCAAACCAAAGAGGTCCCTGCGCCACTAATCCCAGTCTACCTATCCCCTTGCTTGGGAAATTCCAGTCAGTCAGCTAGTTACGTGACCCAGGCGTGAACCAGGGATGTCTGGTTCGTACAGCTCATCTGCACCCTGAGGCAAATGCCTTCACTAGCTGAACCACGTGTCCTCTCCTCTTAAAGGCAGAAGGCGTCTGCCAGTACAAAACGGGTTCACAACTTACTTTGACAGTAACAACAAAAAAATAATCCCCGTTTCTGCTGGCACACATCTCAAAAAGAGAATGCTACGTACTATTTGGCAGAAAGAAACTTACACCATAAAAATACATGCATTTCAATCCTGCTCGGTGGGCCAGCTGCTCATTTTTAAGCCCAGCATGTTATTAACCGTTGCTCTACAAACCACAGAAAGGAAGAGTGCAACATCCTGGTAAGAAATAAATCCTATAAGCTCCTCGACATATAGGCCATGAGCAATGTTTAGGGGCAAAAGAAAAATAAAAATCAGCACGAAAACAAAATGTGTTATTGCATTATTTTTCAACTACTACTTACTGGCAACAGAGGGCAAAAACCATATTTTGGATAAACAGCACTTAAAATTCCTCTTTAATTGGATGCAGTAGATAGTACAACATAAACCAAAATGAGCATGTGGAATAAGCAGAAGGTAGCAATTGAACCTCAGGGAACTTGCCTCTTCTCTCAGTTTAAGACGAACACAAAAACCCTCTGCTTGGATTTATCTTCCTCATTGTGAGAACCCCACGGCTTCCATTGAGAATTACAGAAATCAGGGGCAACAACGACTCTCTGCGAATTAGGAATGCCGGCTACTACAGGAAAGTCACCAATAAATATTTGGCGATTTACAGATTGTAAGAACACATGTTTCGACTCCACCCTCAGCAAGCGGGACAAAAATCAAGTGAGCGGCGCGGACGCGGGCGACAGCACGGCAGCGTCCGAGAGAAACACTTACTTTCATTGTCGGAACTGTCACTGCTGCTGGAAGGCCTGTGGCTTTTCATCCTGACGCGTCCTGCGGAGAGGAGAGAGCTGACGTCCTGCAACATTTCTCACAGAAGGCTGGAGACAGGCTCGAGGCATCATGAAGACATACTTGCTGTATCTTTGTTCTCTTCCCTCCCCCCCATGATCCACTTTTCTTAATCTGGCTGTGATGTTTGCTCAAGGAGACATTGCCCCTCGCCAAAGAGCGCAGACTCCCCTCCTCGGCGTGTGGCCCCTGCTTGTCTTTTTATTGTTTGCCAGCAGCTGCATTACGCTGTCAGCCTGGCCAGTACCTGGATGGGAGACCTCCTGGGAAAGCTAAGGTTGCTGCTGGAAGTGGTGTTAGTGAGACCAGTAGGGGGCGCTCACCCTGCGGTCTGTGTGGGTCCTAATGGCCAAGTATAGTGACGGGGACACTATACTGTAAAAAGGCGCCGTCCTTCAGCTGCGACGTAAAACCAAGGTCCTGACTCGCCGTGGTAATTAAAAATCCCGGGGCGTTCCTTGAAAAGAGTGTTACTCTGGTATCCTGGACTATTTTCCCCCTGGCCTTTACCAATCATGGCCTCCTAACAATCCCCATCTATAAATTGGCTTCATCACTCTGTTCTCCTCCCCACTGATAGCTGGGAAAGGCGAGTGTACTGGAGCACTAATGCTGTCGTTGCATCATCCAGGTGAGGCTGCACTGTAAAGTGCTTTGAGTGGAGGCTCCAGAAAAGCACTATATATGTGTAAGAAATTATTACTATAAATTTCGTATTTTAAACTTGCACCTTATACGCTGATGTTTCTGCCAAGTGAGGATTTTGGCTTGAAAAGCCTCCTTTTGTCTGGAATCCTATAATGGCAGTTTGGCATTTTCACAATTTCTTTGTGGAACCCAGGCTCTTAGATGAATGAAGGTTCGGTTTTCCCCACATCAGTCAGAGGAAAAATAGCCATCATGGAACATACTCGCTCAGAGTGGAAGACCCAGCTGGAATCGTGCAGCCCACCATATCACAGGAGACGTGCTAGAGAGCCAGGTTTTTCTCCATATAATCCCTCATAAACAAAAAGACAGTTGCTCAAGACTGTCAACACCAGAATTGTTGCAGCTGAGCTGCTGGGACCAATTTAAACAGCACAAGATGGAGCTGGTTAATAAGAGTCTGCAAGCAAGGAAATACCCCTCCACACACACCCAGCTCATCCTGAGGAGGTAGTTATAAAATGACTGCAAGCAGGTGGGCAGCTGCGTCAGCATGCGTAGGCTGGAAAGGAACAAGTAATAGGTTTATTCCGTGCTGAAAAAAAGAAAGAAAACACAACGTTTCGGCCGTGGAGCAGGTGTGAGCTCACATCTGAAAACGTTGTGTTTTCTTTCTTCTTTTTTTCAGCACGGAATAAACCTATAACTTGTTCTGTTATAAAATGAGACCGTGTTCAAGATACTCACCATAAATCCCAAGTTGAAGAGCATACTACTGTATTCTCCTGTTGCGCTGGTAATGGCCACCACACATCCCTGTAAGAAGAAAAAATTAGAGATTGCAAAAGCTTGGACTCTTCACCAAATGGTCATCAGCTCAACGGAAGCAGAAAGCTAATGGTGTTACATGAAGGACAGCAGTTTCTCGCATTTCATTGGCTTTTTTTTGTTTTTTATGAAACATTTATGCACTGACAAGTAACAGTTAAGTGGAAGGTTCTCTTACAAATCCTTTATTTTTTATTCCTTTGAGAAATTTAGCCTGAATGGACCAGATAATTATGTTATTGAGATCTTGGGGCAGAAAACAAAAAAGAGTGGCTCTCCAGGTCAATGACCTGTGACCCGAACAAATTTCCGTTTTGTCATGTCAGGTTATCATCTGCGGAGAGGGGGGAAAAAAAGCCCTTTGGCAAAGAACAGCAGCACTGATAATAAATCCGCATGCCTGCATTTCAGCAAGGTCTTCCCAGCAAATACTCGTCTTCTATCAGCTGCTGCGAAAGCAGTGTTCTCTGTGCCATGAATCGATACAGCAGGTGTCACGGTAAAGACTAACTCCTGGGGAAGTAGTTCAAGTAGGCAGCTGCGTCAGCATGCGTAGGCTGCAAAGGAACAGGTAAAAAGTTTATTCCATGCTGAAAAGAGAAGAAAGGAAACAATGTTCCGGCACCACCACACCCGAAGAAGGCTCCAGAGCCGAAACGTGGCGTTTCCTTTCTCCTCTTTTCAGCGTGGAATAAACCTTTACTTGTTTCTAACAACCGAGGAAGGCAGCCCCACTTTCCAGAAAGACGTCTGAGATGGCAGGAGCTAAACGGCTCTTCTTGAAGAGAGCATGGAGCCTGAAAGTAAGACGTCCAGCCGGACTCGAAGAAGAGACGCCGGGACAGAGGGACAGAGCCAAGACTGATACCGGAGTGGAGATGTAAAATCAGAGAGGCCAGAGGGGCTGACGTGATGAGTCATCTGCTGTGCTCCCATTTACTGTACCTCCCACACAAACTCAAAAACTCAGCGGCCTGTCTGGCACTCATAAGGACAAAGAGCTAACCAACTACCATGTCCCAAAGAAACAATGACCTGCTGCCATCTTTTAGAAGCAATCAAATCCTTCCATAATGTGACACACTCATTTTTAAAGTCTCATTTCCCCCAAACTGACAGCTAGCTAGCCATCACATCAAACAGCATTAAGAAACAACAACTGCTAATTTAACAGTGCTTAAAAGTCTGAACCCCTGTTCAGGCACAAAAGAGTTCAGCTTTGAATGAAAAGTAGGTCCTTTTTCAGTGCAAAGCTGCACAAAAATGCTAATGAAAAATAGCCTGTTAACACACCACTGTAAAAAAAAAATTCACAGTCCAAGAAGCGAGTAGCTAATTTGTGTCACTGAGGTCTTGTGATGGAGGATCTCCAAACTCCAAATGTTAAAAGTCCGCTCAATTAGCGGCTCTGATTACTGCCCACTCCTGCTGTGAATTTCAATGAGGGACTATAGCGAGGACGTTCCAATTGGCTGTATCCCCAGGCACGAGACAACAGCGACACTAAGGCACACAGTCCAGTTCCCACAGGCTGCTCCTCCAGCTAGGAGCAAAAGAACCAGGAGTGGAGATTTAAAATAAATTGTTTTTTTTTTACTCAAATCAGATTCTTTCTCATTGAAATGGGCTTTTTTGGGGGATTCCCCCCCCCATAAAAACAAAAAAAAGTAACAGAACAGACGTCTTAAACAGGAGTACTAAAAATAAAAACATGAAACAAAATGTTGCACTGAGCATTGGACTATAGTTTGGGCCAGAAATACCGATGACAGTGCAGTATTATTATAATGTTATACATTTATATCTGTCTTGAGATTTTATCCAACGTAACTTACACTGGCACCCATTTATAAAGCTTGCTACTAGACTGGGGCAATTCCAGTGAAGTACCTTGTTCAGAGATACAACAGCAGTGTCCCATCTGGGATTCGAACCCACAACCTTCCAGTTACAAGTCCAGACCTTTGAGCCGTACTGACCTACAGTATATACGGTATCACAGAGACAGTTACGTGCAGAGAAAAAGAAAACCTGGATATGCCAACCAGCCAACTTCACCTGCTGAGAGAAATCTGTTGGAAAACATCTAACAGCCACCGGGTTATCTCAAACAGCGAAAGTCACCAGAGCACAATGCGCAGAAACTAGAGCTCTTGGAGTACTACGGTGCTCTAGATGAGATGTACTTGCGATTCTGCTTCAGACCCGTCAGGATGTACAATGGTCAGAAATCAAATGGTGTGCAAAGGCCCACTGCTCACTGCTCAAAGGGGATAAAGGAAAAATGGCAGTATTGCACAGACACAAGAGTGGTCAGCCTCATCCTCATGAGGCCACTCGGAACTGGGGATTTGACAGACTGGCTGACCTGGGCTTATGGGCTTGACACCAGCACAGGCAGAACTGATTGGAAGAAGGTCAACAGCTTGTGCATCACAGGAAATGAGTCAGCAGGACTCACAGGGTAGGTGACACGAGGAGTTTTTCCGACAGGGCTGCTCTTGCAACACAGTAGGGCTCGGACAGCATTACCTCACCCTCCGAAGAGGCGTCACAATGAGGGCGTGGGGACAGAGGCACACCGCAAGGTCACCAGTGGGGTTCATGCTGGCCAGGGATCTGCCAAAACAAGCCAACCCCCCCCCGCCCCCGAGACGCCCATCTCAGCAGGCGGTGTGGGGGTGAATTGTGATCCCACCTGAGCAACAGGTTGAGAAACAAGAGCATTTCTGCCACCACACAGCCCCTGGGCAAGTGTATACACACACTGCCAGTCACCACATCTCTGCAAGAGAGCCCCAGATGTGGTCAGGAGCAGCCAGATGCAGATCTCCTACAGGCACCACGTGACCCAACACACACACAGGAAGTGGCTTTGTGGACATCTTGCATTTGAGACGTTAGAAAACACAAAAAAGGAAAGTAGCCCTCTGGCTCACAATTAAAACTATGTGCAAACGGTGTCTGAAAAAAGCCCTGTGAAATGTAAAAATCAGAGAATTCACAAATTCCAAAACCATTTAGTATTTACACAGAGCTTCTCTGAGTAAGCAGTGAGGACACTCAAGTACTGCTCCTTCACTGACAAGTCTTTGAGAATACTGAATTGAGGTAATAGGTCCTGACCCATATGTCTCTGTGTTAAAAATTAAACACAGGGCATGCTGTTCTGCAGTATGTTTAATGCAGTGGGTTTTCCTGCAATTGTCTTAAAGTGTGATTTAATCAGTGTGATTTAAACCTGTTCTAGGCTGGGTTCGGACAGTTAAGCAGATGCTTGGTCAAGCCGTGAGGAAAGAGCAGTTTTACACTCGGTCTCTTGTTATCGAGGAGTAAAGGAAACACCCCTGCATGTTACAGTTCAGGCCTCTGTGCTGGCCAGATTCGGCATTCCTGGCCGGGCTCTGATAAGCTATTGCCTACCCTGTCACCACGACCTGCTAGCAGAGCTCTCATGGTGCACAATCATACGCACTCTTGCTTACCAGGTACAAGAAAAAATGAATAAAAACAAATCGGTTTTCTCATGACCTGATACTTCGCAACTGCAAAGAGCTACACTGCATTTCACTGACTTTTGAAAACAATTTTATTCCAAAGAGGGCAGCACAAGCAGACAGCAAAGGAACAGGTAAAGGTTTATTCCATGCTGAAAAGAGAATTAAAAAAAACACAACGTTTGTGGAGCCTTCTTCAGGTGTGAGAAAGAGAGGAAAGTCAGCAGCTGATAAAGCAACCCAATCTGTTTTCCGATTTACTCAACATGGGGACGCGGGAGGGCCAGAGCCTATCCCAGCAAGCAGCAGGCACAGGCAGGATAAGAAAAGAGACACAATGTTTCGGCCGTGGAGCCTTTTTCAGGTGTGTGAACTGTCAGCCGAAATGTGTCTCTTTTCTTTTGCTTTCAGCTTGGAATAAACCTCTACTTGTTCCTTCACAGCCTACATATGCTGATGCAGTTACCTACTTGAACTTGCTTTTCCTTGATTTGCAAAAGCTACAAAGGCTTGACGTCTCTTTGGACAGCAGTCAAAAGTTTAACACTGAGACGGGGTGGGGGCATCTGTCCTGTCACAGCCTACTTTTCCTCCTGTGTGACTTCCTACAAATCACTCTGGAAAAAGGTGGAGAACAATATCCTTGAAGCACAATAACAAGTCACTCACTTTTCTGGTGAAAAGCGCTGCCTTCAGTTACACTGCCCAAAAAAAACCCACGTCTGTTCAAATAACCGAATATCTGTCACGGGACCAGTCTGAGCAGGGCGAGAGAAGCTGCCCTTTCCCAGCTGTTCTCAAACAAAAGAGGCCCGTATCTGCCTTTCATGAAGGCTCCTGATGACCTGCAACACGGATGACAGGAAGAGAAAGACAAAGAAACTAGACAGGGAAACTGCTGACTACGCAGTACAGTACTGTCAATAACAATAAAGGACCTTAAAGATATGTTCACATGGCCTCATCCTGAACCTGCAGGCTTTTGTTTGTGCTCCTCTCTGCCTGCTCCATGTCTCAGGGCAGACCCTTGTCTTCACAAGATGAAGGAGGCAGATTGGCCTCAGGATGGGCTTTATTAGAAACCTTGTGCGGCTCAAGGCCCATTAAAACTGCACCCCGACTGCAGGAAATGAAAACACTTGGGATTGCACCACGTTCACCAAATATGCAGAAGCCAAGCAAGGACCTGATAACACAAGCTAAGAAATCCAGGCCGGTAACGAGACCCGACAAGACTTAAAAGCAGCAGAGCAACCAGTAGTTACCAATCAAGTGGACAGAAACAGAGCAAATGGAAAACAGCCGCAGACGGATAGCCCAGAGGGCAAAAGCACTCAGGGTCTAGTTTGAGATTCAATTTACTGACAGCATAAGCATGCAGCCATGATGCTCATAGGGTTAAAAAATCCAGAGCACATGTACTGATCAGATATTTCACAAGTTGAGATGCAGGCAGAATCCAGAGGCAAAGACAAGAGGTTCAGAGAACAGCTATGTGGATTGCAAGTCTTCAATGGCAAGAGAAAAAAAAATAAAGCACACCTTCCTTTGTCTGTCTACAGCTTTAGTCACAGACGTAGTGGTGTGCTCTCCCTCACCTTGCCTGTAAGGCTGCTCTGGTTTGTACAAATGGCAGAGACCGCACATGATACCAAAACAAGCAAGTCTTTCTTCTTTGATGGGAGTTGTTTGCTGCAGCTGTATGCAGTTACCAATGGAGGTCTGCTAACACAGGCCCTTTTTCATCTCCAAACAAATCACTTTATCTTCAACACAGGCTGAAGTACTTAAAACTGGGGAAAGGCAAATGAAAAGTATATTTGAGTTCCACCTTCTGCAAACTAGCCTCAAACACTGAAGCCTTTTTACTGTGAAGCCCCCTGTAAGAAACCTAACAGACCCCCATGAGACAAAGACAATATATACATTCCTAAATAATCAGCAGATCCTAGGAGCACAAGGATGAAGGGAATCTTTTGCTCTTTTGTCACCTCTGCTGGTGCTCATTTAGGGAATCCCATTTTGTTTTCCACTTCAGCATGTAGGAGATCCGTTTTTTTAAGGTTGGATTTGGGGTGGTTTAACTCCTACAGAGACCTGTCCACAAGGTTTTATCAATTAAATTCTGCACGTTCCAACCTTTAGCTCCACCGATGCTCTGCTCCAGAGACAGCTGTTTTTATGATAGGTGTGGTTTCAACAAAACAGGAGGCATCATCAAACAGTTGCAAAGTACCATTGAAACAAAAATCACAGGGAATAACCCATAGAATAGCAAGACCTTGGCTAGATGCCACAGAGGTCTCCCTGTTAATCGTTTCTCATTGATAATCTGGGCCAGTAAAGCTGGTTCTGCCATCAGTAACAAAACATATTTAAGGTTGGAACGTGCAGAATTTAATTGATAAAACCTTGTGGATAGGTCTCTGTAGGAGTTAAACCATCCCAAATCCAACCTTAAAAAAACGGATCTCCTACATGTTGAAGTGCAACTGTTTGATGATCTGTGAATTATCACGATACTGATTAGGCAATGAGGAAAATATAACATTTCCTACTTGTCAAGAGCAAGGTGTCAACTACTGAACAGCACAGCAATTTGCAGGGTTCTTAAATAGTGGTGCTGTGCCTCAGAGGGTGTTGCTTAGAGAGCAGGGCAGAAACTACACAACTGGGTCTCAGTTAAGAAAGAGACTACCCTTATACTGGAAAGAAAAAAAAAACAACACAAAAAAACTAAAAGCAAGTATAACTTGTAACACTAGCTTAAATAAGAGAATGGTTTTCATTGACAGTGGACTGGAATATGATCCTGCACTTCTAGTCACATGGCTGACTAACCAGGAAAAATAAGACACACTCCTACTGTGAGCACACAGTAGGCCTCCTAAGAGAGAGATAAAAACAACATGCAGATTTGAGAGGAATCAGTAACTACCCAGTTCAATTCCCAAGGCAAGAGCGACTTTAGAGAGCCACTACTTTAAAACTAGGAAGACGCTCCGTGTAGGAATCCTTCTTTTTTTGCCCACAATATTTATGAAGTCGCAACCCTGGACATAACATGATAGTTTTGTTTACCACCATGTCGCAGTGGACACGCGAGCCAAGAAAAAAAAATTAAAACGACCACGTTATTGTGAATAACAAGCCCCGATTCCTTGAGGGTTTTTCTAAATGGAGAATTGTTCAGTATTTCTGCGTTATACCCACCAGAATTTTGGGGAATCGTGTGTATCGTAAGGTGTTCCAAGTTTTGGCTGACGGCTACAAACCATGCCACCGCACACGGGAAAAGAGGAAGTCCATGCAGGTTCCTCTGGCCCGCCCACCTTTGGCACCAACAGCGCGCCACTGACCGGAGGATCCCGCCCACTGCTGGCTCACGACATGACAATGCCTGAACCACCGAACCCAACTCGCGCTCAGCCGAACCGCTCAGAGGAGGCCCAGAGATTTTTGGAGTCCAGGTTGCAACATATTCCGAGAAGGAAAAAACAAACTGATCACCAAAAAGCAAATCATTGATATTTTCACTAAAAAGGGGGCGTTAAACAGTTATATCTGTGAGCTGTATCCAGAAACTTCAAAAAAGAACATATAACACAGTAAACCTCAACACTTAAGACGCTTGAGATGAAACTGTGACATATTTAGACTCGTTACCTAAATAGAAATTGGCCACGCTGTCTCAATTTAGTACACTTCGTCACATTTTTCTAGTGGTGCTTTTTTAACAGCAGCAGCCCAGTTACACCAGCCACCTTGAAGAACCGGTCCCTTATTGCAGCGCCGTGCCAGTGCAGGACATTTGCTGTAATTATCGTTGAAAGGACTCAAGCCTGGTTAAATCTAAATGTCAATTCTCCCAACAGTCAGTAATTAGAAGTCCAACACTGGATGGTGGAATGTAATTGGGTAAACAAGAATATTTTGACAGAAAGCTACTGTCATATATTGTTGATCTGCAAGGTGTGTGTGCGTCAGCTCAGCTTTGATTTAAACTTGTCCCATAACTGAAACCTAGTGTCTCCCCCTTTTCTTTTTCAATATCATGTTTTATACTTATCAATTATATTTCATCATATTTTCTATATCAATGCATACATATCTAAAGAGAACAAATTATGTAAAAGAGATTTATGACAAAAGGTAAAGGCCTCCAAGACTGTGTTTGTGAATGTTGCACGTGAACTAAATGAAATCCTGTCTGTCTCCGTCTCCCATGGGTTCAAAACTAGGAACTGGTGCTGTACCCCTGTGCAGACTACCTCACTCAAGAGTGCTTCAGGAAAAAAGCACAGCTGTGAAAACAGGTAAAAATGTAAATCTCTCTAGATAAAAGCATCAGCCTAATTAATTAAATCCCACGTGGGAATGTAAGTCAATATCATAACTGTTGGCTTACATGAAGGTTTGTAGGCAGCGCACAGGAAGCCAAAGTTATTTTGCTTTCCAAAACAAACGGATGAAAGTTGTACAACTCTGGCTGAAACCTGACCCTTTTACTCGAGCAATCCTTCCTGGCTCAAGGACTCGACAGCACAACCCCACCAGAGATCTGCGCCCCATAAATGTCAAATCATGAGCCCAGAACGCTAACGACAATGCTGCAAGAGGGCCGGAAACTGATCCGAGAATTAAACACCATGCCTCGACAGTGCTTCAATTCACACCTCTCAGAAAACATGTGGCCTACGAGCAATGCAGCTTGATTGACATCAACTGTCATTACAAGTTACAGCACGACTTTTTGCTTCTCCGTAGATGACCTATGGAGGGGAAAAAAATACATATATACCATCCAAAACTTGCCCGGACACGTTCAGAGAATCACAACAGACCAAGGGCTTCGCACGCCAAATTAGAGAAACCAGTTCGCAGGCGACACAGGGATGCTGGTCAGGGCGAATCGTGATAACCATGTCTCTGACAAAGGGTTAATGACACACAAAAAAACTTTTAGTGGTTTAGTGAGGAATCTAGCCAAAACATACCACAAGTGTGTCGGAAGGAACTCGTTTTGAGTTGGTGACCATTTGCGCTCCGCTGCTGCACAACCTATTTCTGTCCCCACAACGAGTTACCATCCCCGCTCATTATATATAGAGGCTAAATTTCGCTCGGCTTGTGTAACCTAAGTGCGGTGGCGGGTTTAAAGTGACCGCCTGCCAGTTCGGAACACGTAACAGCAAACCCTAAGCAACAAAAAAAAAAAGGAAATGAAAGAAGGAGTCGGTGTCCTGGCCCACCCATTTACAAAACGCTTCGTTTTCTCCCCGGCAATCGAGTGGCCTTGGCGCCAAACGGCAGTCTCGCTGCATGCTCGGGAGTACGACACACAACCGAGCGAAAAGCAAACAAGGGCGCCACCACCGCCGCACCAGAGAAATCGGCACTTCCTCAAGCACACTCCACAACATCACCGTCTACCGATCTCGCAGCCCCCTCGGATCCAAAGCGGGACATCCGCCGGGCTCACCCGGCGCCGTCCTATCGCTCGCCTGCTGGGCGCCGCACTCCACATTTCCCGAAGGACAAGAGCGAAAGGCCATGCCGACTGAGGGGAAAGCAGGCCCCTGCGTGCAGAAAGCTCAGCGGGGCCAGCCAGCCTTGGCACACACCGCACTGAGAAGACACGGGCAGCATTGTTCCTGCAGCGCGCTCCTTACCTTTTCCCTCCCGGCGTGAGCGATGGGGGCTTGGGGTCCGTCTTCCCCCCGTCGTACTGCCTTCTCCCTCAACACTGACCCGACCCAGGGCTCAATCGCGCTGTTTTCTCTCCTTTTTTTCCCCCCTTTCATTCCACTCTCTCCATTCCCAGCCCTGCAATCTCCCTTCCACTCAGCAGCACAACAGCTCTATTGTACTATCAGCACTACCGCTGGGTCTTAGACTCCGCCTTTTCTCTCCCCGTTACCCTCCTGCTTGCCGTGCACTGCCGATCTCTTTTAAATCAACTTTATTTAAAGTCCTGTTGCCGAATACGACTCTTTCCATCGCAAAATCTTTTTTTTTTTGTTCACATGATTTAAGTTACTAGTAACATTTTTTTTTACAAAAAGATTATTGTCGACTACTTGTCTGCCTCTCTTTAAGAGTTGTCCCTATTTTATCATGTGTACGTCAATTAGTGTAAATATAACCACCACAAAAGACAAAAAAAAGTCCAACAATTTTATATTTTCCAACTATAATGGCACAGAAAAGTGTAAAACCTTTGTGAAGATTCTCGTATCTGTTCTTCTGGTAAAGCAGTGTGAATGCAAAGTTTATTTCTGGTCAGAACATACAACTGTTCACCCCAAAGTCACTGCCTGAAGAGATTTTTGGAATTCAGACACTACCTAGAAACATGACGTTCCCAAATAAATCATGACGTATCCACAAAGAACATCATATAAAATTGTATTAGTCAATTCCAAACAAGTTAAGTGGTTAATCTGAGATTTTTCTGATTTACATCAGTAGTTTGAAGTAAAGTCCCCGAATATTGCATCTGGGTGGGGCCTCTTACAGAAATGACTGAAATTACCTCTAAGCATCTAACACGAATGTAATAGGCAAAGGAGTTTAGGTCAGAGCATTGATCAAAGATAACCCAGATGGCATGAACTTTGAATGCAAGCAGAATAGACACCTCTACTGTGAAGACCACGATGCACCATCACAGGATCAAGGTTGCAGAGTGGTATTAATGTTGGAGTCCTTGAACCCCTATATATTAGCATCTGATAGATGGTTACCTGATGTCACGGCTCACAAGACTGTCATCGGAGAGTAAAGTTTACTACATAACAGCCAGCTCTTCAGCACGGATTGAGAAGTCTTATCTAGTTATTACAGCTGAAACTGTAACTCGGGACCTCAAAATTCCAACTGAATCACCCATCTTCTCCACCCTCCAAAGATCTTTTGGTATCGCAGTCTCAAATGGCAAGATTACAGCCACAGCATCTTCCGAGACGATAAGGGAGCTGCTATCCACAGTCAATAATGTTCCTACTTGCTGGTCTTCAGGCACGAAGCCAGTTATGTGGAAAAGTGGTTTGACATTAGCATGTTGTGCTGCTGCTGCAAGCTGTCCACTTACATGACCAGAGCTGCGCAGGCCATCATGTTCAAGAGCATGGACTGAACTCGGCACACTAGCATTTCTGTTTGTCCCCGACATCTCCCGTCTGCAATGCAGGTCTACAAGAGCATCTTAAAATTCCATGATGTTCACTTGATGAACATCACTTGCTGTTGAAAGACTGGTCAGGTCAGAGGAGCTCTGGCCTGGTCATTAGTGTACTCCCGCGCTGAAGGACGAGTGAGTTACACAACTGGCAATAAAAAAAGATGTTCAAATCAGGAACTAAAGATGATGAAGTTCCCCACCCCTCTTAATTTGCTGAAATACATTTTCTTTTACCAGTAACTGTGAGAAGTGGAGGAACAACCACATTTAGCAACATACAGGGAGAATTTAAAAGAGGACATTTAAGATGGGCAGCACATTTCTGGCCAATGGAAAGAAACCAAAACACTTGGGGAAAACCCACATGGACACAAGGGAAACGTACATATGCAGACACTTTACAGAAGGTACCCCAGTCCAAACTTGCACTCAGGACCCCAAAAGCTCAGACGGCAGTGCTAATCACCATGGCACCCCTCCTTGACATAGTGAACTATCTAGATTCTTTCATTTGTGCACATTCTAATACCGCTGATCTTCGAGAATCCCTCCCCGCAAAATTAATACTGGAATCTTAAACACATTCTGCCACAACGTGAACATAACAGATCAGGAAGGTGTGTTGTTATAATCACATTTGACATTTAATACTATAAAATTATGTATACAAATATGTAACATTTAGTTGTACAAAAACTTTTTTTTTTAAATTAAGTTTACAGCTCTACCTGGTCACAAAAATGAGCCACACGCTTTTCATATATTTTTTTTAAAAAAAGAAAACTTTTAGCCCTTTCAGTCGAATAATAATTTTCCTTTCAAAACTGCCGAGTACATCACTATGATACAGAGAAGTTCACTAAAACAGCATTTTAAACTTAATAGGCTTTTGCGAGATGGATGCAAGACATTCATTTAAGTATAAATTAAATATTTTACATGTTAGTGTAATGTACATTCTGTACTTGTATTTGTGAAAAAAGTACTAATCAGCGATATTAAAAAATTAAGACATTGGAAAAAAATATGTACTGGAAAACATGATTATGACAAAAAAGCATCCTTCTCACACTGTATTCACTTGAGATCTGACAAAAAACCTGTTACAGGCATCACAATCTTCCCCCTTTTTAAGGGGAATTTAAGATGAAATCATTAATAACCAGCAGTATCTCACAGACAAAATGTTGAAACTTAAAATAAAATCCAGGTTTTTCACAAAAATATTTACACAAACATAACTATACAAATGTTGTATGAAATCCAAAAGCCAAAAAGTACTGTAGATGATTAGACGAAAATTGTCTTGTCTCAAAAATATGCAACTACCAGTGCACTAAACATGTCATTTGCAAAACACATTTCAACAATAATAAATAATTTGAGTAAGCAAATATTAAAAAGCGATAAATTGTGTTGTCACCAATACATTTCTATCCACAATGTAGCAATTTACATACATTTTGTTTGAATTTACCTTAATTACTGTATCCACGTGAAGAATTTTGTTCATTTTGAGATACATCCCTAATTTGGTCCAACAATTACAAGTATAAAATAGAAAGGGCTAGACAAAACAGACATGTCAATATTACTGCACATACAGATGTCAATAATAGAATGTTAACTCTTTAAGAAGAGCTAATGTTAATCTACATTGTTATAATATGTGCGGCTTTGGTTATTTCCGAATAAAAATCTGTCACCAACCTAGAAAATTTTACATGGTCGCAGACTGATTAAAACCACAATACTGCCAGTTTTAGAAAAGGTGATACTTTAAAAAAAAAAAATACACCCGAGGCCTGCAATGATTCGTAGTCTTCACATTCCCATCTGCATGTCTGCAAAGTTGAAGAAATTGTCTACATCTCTTGAAGACGAGTTCTTGCTTTCAGAAACGAACACCTAGGGGAGTAGACAGCAACAATATGATGACCTAACAGTCACCCTCATGTCAGACAACACACCCACACCCACACCCTTAGATAGCAAGTGGATTGATGTTTCCCAGAAACAGTAGGAGTGCTTTAAATATTTCTTCCAGATCCCAAACTGCACAACCCACAGATTTGTGCTATAAAAATGTACAATGTTTTTAATGTACAGTGAGTTTTTCACACAACAAATTAATATTTCATATTTGCCCAGGCAATATCTACTAGCTAACTATTTGGTAGCTGTTACCACACAGTGCTGACTTACCTTGGTGCCACTGAAGACTTCATTTGCAACCTGGCGACATGCCTCCACAACACCTTCTCCATTGAACTCCAGCGCCACCACAGGGCCTGTTCCGGAGCAAAACGAGATCAAGGGACGCAAAGGACACTCTTCACACAGAACAACACAGATGCTTGTACGCCACCCTAAATTCAGGTTTGACATTTGAAGCAGTTTTCTACCCTCTTTATCATTCAAGGCAATGATTAAAAAAAAAAGTCACTTTTCCTAAAATTGCTTTAACACCTCTCAAAGGCCTCAATTCTTCTTTAAATGCATAAGAAAAGTAAAAAAGAGAGAAGGCCTTTTGGCCCATCTAGCCTGTTTGGAAGGCAGTAATTACTGCTACTTATGCAAGAATCTCATGCAGGTGTTTCTTGGAAGAAGCCAGGATATTGGTTTTGAAGAAGCATTTTAGCATTTGCCTTTTTTTAATTAAGTATATAAAATAGTGACTACTTGTATTAGCTCATATGCTTTTTGCTCAGCAACAGTATAAAAGGACAATTCAAGCATATTAATTGACCTTTTGACATTCATATTACAACCGCAAAGTGTCAACTCATTTTCATACCTTCTGTTTGCTTACTTCTTTGTTTGCTTATATGCAAGGTAAAATTTCTTCTTAAGAAGATCATCGAATACAAAGAAATGTTTGTAGAGAGAAAAAAACATCTCCTACTATGGAAACTTAGAGCGAGCTTTCCTGTGTGAGTCTGCTGTATAAAACGTATTGCATTTACCATCTTGGGGGGACAGATCTTTACAGATCTGTATGAGAGACTGCTCTCAGGTCTGCATGATCTTATCCTCCTCATGCGCGTGAATAAAGGACTCGGCCTGACCACACCTAACCTGAGTGAATAATTGTCTTCGACAGCTTCAATAACCTGGCCAGGTAACCTGTGCCATTCTCCCACATCCCTTTGTGTAAGTGCTTCTTGATCTCTGCTTGAAATGCACTTCCACGTAGTTTTCTAGGGTGGCTAATGAGAACTCGCTTCTTATTCAAAATGCTTTCAAAACAAAAATACCTTTTGTTATAAGTTCACTGAACTCTTCCGCATTCTGCTGAAAAACTCTGCTGGCATCCTCTGGGCGCATTGAGACTTCCTTCGTTTGAATCAGTGCAAAGCCTTTCCCTACTGCCTGTTTTGGGACAGATAGTCACACAAATATTTTGCACATTAGAATTGTAAAAAATCACAGCAACCGTACAATTACAGATGAATCTGTAGGCATCTTGGATGTTTTTAATCTACAACGATGCTGAAAGTTTCAGGTGTCACACAAAAACTAAAACAAAACATCGAAATAGTCTGAACCTCTCCCCCATATAGACAGCAACATTTTTTAAGTGCTTTTTCTAGAGTAAAAATGAATGTACAGCAAAACTAAAAGCTGTGGGGGTGTGGTCAGGGTGCAAGATTTGAAACTGGAGGTTCACAGGTTCAAACTACAAGAGAGACCCTGCTTGAGCAAGGTACTACACTTAATGTGCTCTGTACAAATGGCGCTTTGAATAGACAAGTCAGCCAAAAAATGCCGAATACATTTTTCACACCTTAAGGAGTGTGAAACCTGAAGGCACCTGAAGAAGGCTTCACAGCGTTTTCTCTGTTCTCTTTTCAGCATGGAATAAACCTATTTCTTGTTCCTTAATACATTTTTCTGTGCTTTAATAGGATGTGTAAGAATTGGCTTTTCGGCCCGTGGACACCGAAACACACAAAACGATCGATGTTCAAAAACAAATTCATTACAGCCCATTTCTACACATCCATGGCATAAATACTACATCCCTGTGACAGAAAATAATAATAATTTCCATGTAGAAAACTGAGAATGGTGAACTACAGATTTACTGCAAACTAGCAAAGAGAACTTTTTCCTACTGCTCGCATACAAATCAAGCGATTGTCACATACTGGGAACTGCAACTTTAACACGAGTGCTAAACAAAGCACGGACCACTGCTGTCCTACCCCCATCCTCGGAATGAAAAGCAAAAAAAAAAAACAGAAATGTGACCAAAAGGATCAGATAAACCTCCATGGAACCATAACAAAATGAGGAATATCTTAAAAATGCAAGCATTTGTCAAATCCAGTGACAATCACTGACTTCCTTCATATGAACGGACTAAATCTTGAGAGACTTTTAAACTATGGCAGAATAAGAAGAAGGGAACTTTGTCAGCACAGATGTCATTAAGATTCAGAGGAAATCAGCTGGTGCAATGTGAGCAACACTCCTTCATGAATAAGGTCTCTAGGGAAGTATCCGACATGGGGAGAGGCCTCATTTGAAATTACTCGTGGATACAAAAGAATCAGGGATTCGCTAATAATATTACGTTGATGTATAGGATCAACTGGGAATGATCAGACTCTCACACGTAATGGAAATATGTACTATATGGAAAATGTTTGTGACAAACGCATTAAAGAGTTTATTTGCCAAACAAGTGTTCAGGAAGAAATCGCAGCCCCATAAGCTATCGTTTTGTTCAGTGCAGGCCCGAGCCTCCTATACGGCTGCAAGCCGTTACTGTGGCAACAATAGTCTACATAACTGTCATCCGTTACCATAGTAGCACCGAATCCAATTAACACCCTCTTCAGATACTGCTACTGCTCTGCACTTTACAGTAGGTCTAAGGAAAGGTTTTGCCCTCACTCTTTAGAGTCACCCGAGAACTGCAGGCAGTGTCATTCTCTCGAAGCACTGATCAGGATTTCTTTAACCAGGCCAATCAGAGATAAGGCAATCGGCTACAGATAAGGGCAAAAGGAAAAACAGGTCTTTTGTTTAGGACCTAAACACCTGTGTTTAGGATACAATGGATACAATCTTTTATATTCTGGCTGATGCTGCAAAAGGTTTGTTTTTAGACTTGTTACTTCCAATCCCAGTGTGAAGTTCCACATTTTGAAGCAGATACAGTGGAACTGGGACTCTGACTTGTTCCTCCCAGACTTACTTTCTGAATCATACAGGGGACTGGGCAGAGAGAATTTGGCTTCTCACAATATTTTTGGGGTCTGCACAAAAACCTTGGGCACATATTATAGGCCAGGATTCGACATTCCTAATTTGGGTATGTTAAGTCAGTACATCATGCCACATTTGTACAGTGTCCTAAAAATCTCATGTATGATTAATTAGATTAGTACTTATTTTAACCTTATTTAAACTACATGGCTATACATGTAGTTAACTGCTGTCTGGGCACAGGCAAAGCTTGGAAACCATGTCAGGCTACACTGCTGGCAATTTCAAACACAAAGATGAATCTGCCGGACTGACTGCAGTCATACAATTTTAACCAGTTTTGGCAGAAACCTATTTTCTCTTCTGGTTGGATGGGTGCGTTTCGTTTTTCAGACGCTCAAGAGAACAAGGTCGCAGGCTGTTATCATAAAACTAATAAACTGTGCTGTAACAGCAATCTAAGGGACAACATATGGAGAAAGGAGAGACTGGGGACATGAGTTATTGTGTAGCAGTGGAGTTTAGCTCACTGTGTTCAGCTATCTGAACACTAGTGGTGTTGGTGGGGCCAGATCCTAGATTTTCTGATGGCTCGCAAACCGTTGTCAACTCTTGCCTAAGCTAATGTTTACTGAACACGGTAAAAACACAGCAGAGATCTAGTGCACTGAAGTTATTTTTAAACTTGCAAAAAGAAGAAACCTTTGCTGAAAACAATCAGGAGGAAATTACACCTTTCAGTGTTCAAGATGGCTTCTCGAGATTAACAAGGCATAAGCACTTGCACATGATGAATTTAACCCTGCTGGGCTAGGTGCCCCCAGGAAAGATCCAGTTTAGCATGACCTGACTAAATGTTAGATCAGCAGTGACTAGTGGAGTGAGTGTATACAGCTTTTACCCATTATTCTTTGAGAATTTTGATTAAAATAGGCAGAAAATAGGAACACAGAGTCTATACTCTGTGAATCCTCTACTTTGATTTTCCTGCTCCTTTTACCCTCTTGGGCAAAATAACATACATGAAGCACAGAGTGTTCCAACTATTAACCACAAATTAATCAATGACATAAATAAATCAAATTAAGCAAATGAATCACCCCCCCACACACACAGGGTGGAATGAAGAGCCTTCTCGATTTTAAAGAGCAAAGCACGACACAGACCAGTAAAGAAATCCTGAAGCCCATAGGTTAAATGGTGTGGTCTAGTCTCACATTGTAAATCAATGCCAGCCACGGTTTTGTTATTTTTTTGCCACTTCCTGATTCCTTTTCAGTGGCTTTCTGTCGCAATTGGAATGCCATGATGCACACAGAGGGAACACGGGACAATCAGGACACACGTGTAGTTTCCTGCCACACCCAGCCCCGCCTACTCTAGCTGATGCACCAAGATTTGTACAAAACCTTCTAAAAACCTTCCTGATCCACTAGTTCTGTCCTGCTCCCTACCCACTGCCTTTACCAGAGGACCACTGCTTCTTTTCTTTCCAGAGAATGGAAACGCATCCTAAAATTACCAGTCGAGAATATGAATAATCATTTCCTGAACTAAACTTACGGTCCTTCGTGTGAGCATTCTTTTGTTCACTGCCAGCAGCCATATCACCCTGCAGCTCTCTACTGGCAACCCACTGAAGCGAAGCAGGGTTGAGCCTGGTCAGTACCTGGATTGGAGGTAAGCTATGGCTGCTGCTGGAAGTGGTGTTAGTGGGACCAGTGGGGGGTGCCCACCCTGCGGTCTGTGTAGGTCCTAATGCCCCTAATGGTGGGGACACAATACTGTAGTGGGCGCCATCTTTCGGGTGAGACGTTTAACTGAGGTCCTTACTCTCAGTGGTCATTAAAGATCCCTGGGCATCTCTCAGTCAGAGTAGAGAGAAATCCCAGCGTCCAGGCCAAATTTCCCCCCTTGGCCTTTACCATGACCTCCGAATTCTCCCCATCTATAACTGGCTTGCACCTGCCCAATTGGACTGGTGCCCCATCCAGCGTGTACCCTGCCTTGCCCTCTTGCTGGCCACGACATGTATGGTATGGTATAAAGTGGTAATAAATAACAGGAAGTTTGAATGTCATGTCAAAAGTGACCCCATGCGCTACCGGGTGGATATGCTCCGCAGTTAAGAGGCCCAGATCAAGGCCTGAAAACTCAGCTCGTTTGCAGTGGCAACAGCAAACGGAAAAACAAAGCGCCAGATCGTCAAACCCGACAAACCCGCCCGCCCTTTCCAGCGAAAGGAAACCTCCCCACCTCGTCGATGAGCTTCCGGGCGTTGGCCGTCGTGTAATCGCCCGCGAAAAACACGAAGAGGCAGGACTCCTCGCTGCCCTTGCGCCGCTGGCCGCGGGTGACGGGCACGATGCTCCGGCCGGCGGAGGCGGCCACCCTGACGGACTTGAACTCGTCGGTGTCGGGCGCCGGCACGTAGGCCTCCACGCCCGCGTCCTCGGGCAGCAGGCCCCAGTTGGTCTCCCCGGCGACGGGCGTGAAGTCGTGGACGGTGCTCCAGTTGTTGTTGAAGATGCTCAGGCCGGCGTCCTTGAAGTGGAAGGCGAGCTCCGGGTAGTAGTACTGGAAGCAGCCGAACTTCATGCCGGTGGAGGACTCGATGATGGGCTGGGTGGCGCAGCACAGGAAGACATCCATCTTCTTGCAGTCCCGGGTGCGGAACTGCTGGCAGGCCACCACGCACTTGCAGTCCCGGCAGTTCCGGAAGAACACGCTGCCCTTGACCGGCCCCAGCACTATCCTGCAGTTTGTGCAGTCGTCGATGGTGACGGTGGCGGAGTGGTCGAAGATATAGATGTTGCAGTTCTCGCAGTCCTGGATCACAAACTGCTGGCCGTTCAGCTTGCCGGGGAGGCGCCCTGCTGTGTCGTCCCTGAGACCGGCCAGCGTGTAGTCCTTGGGATCGACCTGCAAGAAGCACCGCGAAATGAGGAAAACGCAAGACACCAAAGCAGACAACACTGCTTTTATTTCGGTATAAGCAGGCTGATGAACGAATGCCACCCAGCACAACGGTCTAGAGACTACAACTGTAATACTTTAAAATTGCGAGATTCAGTAACTTGTGGTAATCGCATAATCCGCAGTGAGAGACGGCTCACATTTCTGGCAGGTCGTGTAGCTGCAGAGGGCAAAGAGCCACGGAATTATTAAACAGGCAGCACGGAGAGGTGTAGGGGAACAGCTGGTGCAAGAAAATCCTATTATTTTCCAGGGAGCTGGGTAATAACAACAAACCCGAGAAGAAATGATTTCACTAAGATCATAATCCTCAAAAGCAATACAACAAGCATTCACCAAAATGGGAAGTTAATTATAGTACAAATTAGTGCTACAAAGCGCTGTACTGTACATCCTGCAAAATTACAAAGTGCACACGTTACTCTGTATCCCACTTTCTCTTTTTTTTCCTTGGACAAATGTGTATTATTGCATGCAAACTCCATCCGTTCATTCCGAGAACGATCCCGGGAATACTGCTGCTCGACTTCAAAGACCCGACGACCTGGGATGTTGGGAAAACGGGCCCTGGTGTGAGTGTGCGCGCGTTTGTGTCGGTGTGTGCCCTGTGATGGACTAGTCTGGTCCAGGGTGTATCCCGTCTTGCACCCACTGCTCGCCAGGATGGGCTCTGGCTCCCCTGCGACCCTGAACTGGATAAAGCAGGAATGGAAAATGACTGCAAACCCGCATCTATCCTAGAAGCATAGAAAGCAAAGTGACAATACTCCCTGCATCAGATGCCACCACAGACACCAATTAACCTGCACACCAAACGAAAAACCAGTGAAAACGCACGTTAACATGCAGACTCCACACAGAAGGCTTTCCGTCCAGAATCAGTCTAGACTGACAATCAGCTGACGTCAGATGGCAACAAGCAGGAGAAAAGCGACAAGAAGGATTGATAGGCATGGCTTATTAGCTTGAAAAACATCACAAGCAATAAATAATCATCAGAACCATTCCTAAGAAAATAAAATGTCATGGGGGTGGGACATTAAAAAACTACTACAAACTTTTTGGGGGGGTTTAGTCCAGCTGGCTCTGCGAATTACGCACACCAGTAGACCGGGGACTCCCGCTGATGAACCCAGCAACATGAAGATCGAGACACTTTCGCTTCTGCGCCGCGTATGGGTGTGGCAGACACTTCTAGACCAGCACATACTGTCAGAATGACCTACGCACACTGACAGCAGTTCCCTTTTCTGGACTTTCCGATTTATTTCATTCCGGCGGATAAGAGAGCGAAACAAAACAACTGTTCTCGGGTTCTTTGGTTTTGTTCTTCCTGTTTCGGGAGACCCGACTCGGTGCGAGTAGATAGCACTCGGGTCTGAGGTAGCTCCGGATACTAACGAGTTAGAAAGATCAGGGAATGAAATGGAAGTAACATGTGGAAGACGCGTCACGTAGGGTGGCGGGTTGACGACACTTACAAGGTTACGTTTGTCGGACATTATCTCCCTTCAACCCAAACATTCTCTTGCCGCCTAGTCCTAAAAGCATGTTGTTTCAGTGTATATGCTTGCAAAGTAACAGATATTAGATTTAACCGCAAAATTGTACAACAAAATCGTAGAATTAAGACACATAAAAGAACAACAACAATTGTAATAGTTATTACTATGATTGCTGTTCTTATTATTGACAGCGGTTGCTGGGTTGTTGTCAACCGGGGTCTGGGGGGGATCTTTTAACACAGATCAGAAGTGCACTCAGAAAAAAACAACCTAACTCGGCGGACAACGAAAAACCGGGCTGTCAACACAACTGAAATCACAGCATTTCAGCGTTTTTCCATCCAAGAGCGCAGAACCCTTCAACCCACCGTGCGACACGCGAAACGCATTAAGATATCGATTCTAATCCGATAAAGAGCTGAGGGTACAGATGAGAAGGGGGCTGCCCAACTTAACGTGATGTAACGAACAATTGCCAGACTTTAGCCAGAACCCCCTGCTCGTAACACAACACCTATTCTCAGCAACACAACAAGACAACGACCAGCTTGGGAACTGCCTGCGTCCCTCGGGTCGCACCTCGCTGCCGGGAGGCTGGATCGCTGGTGATCAGTTTTGCAGCACCTCAGTCCTCTCCCTCCTGTTAGGCTACAAACTCCCGCTTTGCGCCTCTGCGTTGAGTAATCACATGTGTTCGACCTTTCCCGGAGTCGAGCTCTAATAAAGAGCGAATACAATGTTGTTTTTAACTGCCGAAATCACGTTACCTTCTCGCGTTTGTCCCAGCTGTACTGTTTCGGCGTCTCTTCGGCGTTGGGTATGCTCGCCGTGGTCGTAGATGACTCCTTTTCGGATTTCCTTTTGGATTTCTTCGAATGAAAGCAGCCCATGTTGGAGGTCCCTTCGTCACTTTCTTTGAGGGTATTATGATAAGGAGGGAAGGTAAACAAATAGACAAGGCTGCGCTCCACCTGCCTGTCGATAGTTGCTCTCACTACGTTCGCAACTCCCTTTCTCCCCCCTTGCTCTGCTCCCTTTCCGCCTGGAACAGCATTGCCCCGCCCCACTCAGGGAGTGAGCCAATCAGCGCTTCCTGTGACCCGATATTTGAGAACCGGAAAGCCAATAGCAGGCGACACTAGACGGACATACGAAAGCGAAAACGGGCCAATCAGCGCTTAGCTCTCGTCACACTGAGCATGACAATGACTAAACCATCACTCTAATAGAATTGTAGCCTTTTTTTGCGTTGTTTGAGACGTTTAGTGGTATTTTAATGTTAAAAATATTTAAGTTGTGTGTCAGTCATGAACATCTTACTGAAACTGTTTTCCGATAATCTGTGATAGTGGTGGAGCCCAGGACCTTATATCTGTCCTGCTCAATCGATGGCAAAACCTCACCACACACACACAGTACATTGACACACAGCAGACACTGTAAAAGTTTCTGTTCTCCTCCCCACTGATAGCTGGTGTGTTGTGAGCGTACTAGTGTACTTTGGCTGCCATCCCATCATCCAGGTGGGGCTGCACATTGGTGACAGTGGAGGGCTGTCCCCATTACCTGTTAAGCGCTTTGAGTGGAGAAAAGTGCTTTATAAGTGTAAAGATTATTACTTTTATTATTACATGTTAATTGTACATATGCACAAGTGAGCTACATCTAGTAACCACATTTATGATTCATGTCCAATTTAACCTTCATGACACTATAGGTGAAGGATTTATGATTACCTTGCAAAACAAATTAATAGATGCACTGTTCCTTCTGCCATTAAGAAGACGCTGCTCATATATTCCACAGGACAAAGAACTTTAAACATGGCAGAGAAGTGACTTAAGATTATCCCAGGCGTAGAAAACTCCTAAGAAGCAGCTAGTCCAAAAATAATAATCTTTGCAGCAGGCATGCTGATCTCTCCGGCACCTGTAAAAGAGTATGACACTTGAGCTGAAAGCATTGAACCCATTATTTATGCACATCTTGGCATATCAAAACATCTCTGTCAGATTCACACTGCAACATCTCAGCTTGCAAGACTGGAACCAGAGTATGGAGTCCAGTGCAAGGTGGCTGGAGCTCTTCAGCACTGATTCAGCAAAGGGTTTGTCTCTGTTATCGCATGCTTGGGCTCACCTGTGAGCCCCGAGACCAGAGCTGAGTCATAATGGTAGAAGGAGCTGCCATTGTCACCCCCAAAGAAATTTCACATCCTAATGGCAGCTGGCAAGATCTCTTGGCCGGTATGTAGAAAACATAAGAAACGTTCCAAGCAAGAGGAGACCAGTCGATCCCCTAACCCTCCTTGGTAGTTTGTACATAATTGGCCCCAAAATCTCATCTTTCCATTTCTAGAAAGAAACCAGGGTATCGACCTCAACACTATAATGCTGTGCAGCTTGTTCGAGACTCCCACAACCCTTTGGGTAAAGGTGTGTCCCCTTTTCTTACTTCAAATGTCACATGGTTTCTGTTTGTGCCTTCTGGTTCTTGCTTCATTGTTTGTTCTCAGAAGTGAAACAGTAGCTTTTCCAGATTCAAAGAAACCACTGCGTGTTATTTACACTGGCCATTGGCCAACAGTAGGATGAGTCGCTGACTCAAAGAGTGTCATGGAAATTTGTGAAACACACTGGGAGATGTTGGCACACGTGCTCTGCTGCTGTGTGAGAAAGCAAAGAGCAAGCTGCTGTTGGCCAGCCTGGGTGTGAACAGTCAAGCCATTCACCCTTAGCCTCAGATGTGGCCCCAAGAGACTGTTATTTGTTATGACATTCTGACATCTGTGGTGTGTTCTGTGGTTTGTTGTGGTGTTGTGTGATAGTGTAGTGTCACGGTTTGTTCTGTGATGTGGTGTTGCAGTGTTCTGTGTCGTGCGTTTTGTGGTGTTATGTTGTGTTACATGTTGCGTTGTTGTGGTGTTGGGTGACGTGTAGTGTCGCGGTGTGTTCAGTGATGTGGTGTTGTGAAGTGTTGTGTGGAGTTGCAGTGTGCTGTGTTGTGTGTTTTGTGGTGGTGTGTTCTGTGATGTGGTGAAGTGTGTTGTGTGGTTTTGTGGTCTGTTGTTCTGTGGTTTGCTGCGTGTTGTATGGTGTTGCGGTGTGCTGTGTGGTGTGTTTTGTGGTGTTGTAGTGCATTCTGTGATGTGGTGTTGTAGTGTGTTGTGTGGTGTTGTGATGTGTTGCAGTGTTCATGTGTTTTGTGGTGTCGTGGTGCTTTCAGTGATGTGGTGTTGTGGTGTGTTCTCTGCTTTGTTTTGGTGTTGTGTGTTGTATTGTAATGTGCTGTATGGTGTGTAGTGTTGCAAGGTAAGTATTATATACTCAGACCAGTTTAACTCTTTAAATTCCTATTATGTGTAAACACACTGTATTTAGATCTAAAATGATATAGAATTCTTACCAAACGCTTACACATACTGTTTTTTTTCTGCCGCTACACCGATTGATGGTAGGTCTACTTAAGTATCTGTACACACACATACACCAGAATCCTGATCTTTTAATTGAGAAGCCGTGTCCATTGGAGAAGTGGTATGTGGAACATGTAACTTCTTTTCCAGGGTGCCAGCCAGACAGATAATCCTGTTCCATATGGGGTCTGCCATCTGATGCCAATTAGGAGATCGAAGCAGGAGCATTAAAAAACAACAGAAGACATAGGATAGGTGTGAGAAGTGTAGATACAGAATATATGTTCAAATGAATAGTATAACATACCATCCTAAAATAAATGAACCTACTGTATAATACTTTTACTAATCTGTACCAATAGCATATTTATAAATATTTTTTATAATGCATTTGTATATACTGCTTCAACTCTTGATTTATGACTTTTAAATAGCACACAACTGCCAATGTTTTTTCTCAACCTCTCATTTATTGTCCAAAACCACGTCACAGTTTTTTAGGAAAAAATGAAAAACATTTTATTATCAAGCAGACATCACTGTAAAGCTACAGTAAGCTGTAAGTGTTCCACTTTTATCTGGAGTCATTAATGGGACGAAAAAGAGGAAAAAAGTACTGAGAATTATTTTTCTTTTTGCTCTAAAACAAACACCTCCAGTCCTCTAATCCTCAATGGAGGATCATAACCCAGTGAGTTTTACAGGTCCCCCTTTTAAAGTGTAAGAATATTTAGAACGTATTGAACAAGTAAGCAATTTATCTGTTCAATATGGGAACTCTGGTCCTTGAGGGGAGCTGGATTTTCACTTTTTTATCCCACACGACCTCTAAATGGCTCAATTAAACACATGATCTGTTTAACTGGTCATAATGGAATTGCTCCAGGTCTTCTGTAATTAATGATTAAAGTGCAATGGACAAATTGTGCTAGATAGGGGATGTCCCAAAAAAATTGCCAAACGGTAAAAGAAATGATTAAATCTGCACATAACGTCTCCCGGTGAAGGGATTTTGCCTTCTACAAGGGGGGATGTAAAAGTCTCACTCTTCTGTGGTCTCGCAGAACCGGTCCTCTCAGATTCAGAGCGTTTCTCCTCTGGGCTGTACAGGCACATGCTTGACATGCTGGACACGTTTGTGCTGCAGGGCACAAACTGTTTCTTCGCTGGACCTGTGGATTGGCCCCAGCCCTTCGAGGATTCTCCATTCCAATAATTTGGTTTTTATGTTGATTCCCAATGATTTAAAGTTTTCTGAGCCTCCACTAGGGAACACTTTGTTTTATGTGGTAATTAAAGTTGAGGTTCTCTGCACCATTTCCTATATGAATACAGTATCTAATAGGCACGCAGATACTACAGATACTGGTTTTTATACAGTATTAGTTTGAAAACTGCACTTGTTCAACTGTTCAAGGTCTCTTTTCTGTGAGCCTTTGTTTTAGTCATGGGCTCGAGAAACTACTTGGAACACAAAAGCTATGCATGGTTTTTCATGCACGTTTAGTATATGGTCTTTTAAAACATAATTTTCACCTTGCCAGCATCCTTTTTCATTCTAAAGGGTGGCCTAGAAATATTTCAGATTCACGGCTGTTTAAAAACGTCGTTGGTCATTTCATTCATGATTTTGAGACAAATATTTCGACCACTGATCAAATTAATCCAAATCAAGCAAGGTACATTCTGGCACAATCCTTAGATTACAACTGTATATTCAGATAACAATAGTAGTTTGCCTTTGCAGAAAGCGTCGTGTAAAACGGTACAATTGCAGTATTTTAAAAAATGTGATTAAGTGAGCACCAGATGGCGCTCTTACACACACACTCTGCTGTTGCTGATGCATGGCACTGCACAATCGTTTGGTGTGCGTGCTTTGCTAAAGCAAATCACAGCACTCTGTGAGCTGAGATGATAAATGAATGTTCAGGTCTTGCACCACTTAATGAAAACAAACTGCATGGAGCCTGCCTTTGCTGTTAAAAGGAACAAGACTGCAGAATCTGCTGACTTATCTCTTCGCAAAAGAGCTCTTCAGAGACCATTATCCGTAAACATATCGTTAAGATGCATCCTTAACTGTTGCAGCAGACGTGTTAAGCCACTGTCTGTACTCTTATGCTCGTGTTTTTATTTTCAGTAATATGTCTTTAAGATGGAACAAGTGATGTCTCACTGTGAAGTGCGCATATTTGAAAAAATATTTTTGTCTATTCATCAAAATGGAAGCGATTCTAAATGCACATGACCTCTGTTAAATATTTGTCGAAAACTAGCTCCGGTTAATTTCTATTGTAGCTACAGTATAAAGATTCGAGTTTCTTTATGCTTAAGAGCTAGTTGTCTAGAATTTCTAGGATCAGCAAATCTCACAGAGTATGTAAGCGTGATTTTAAAAAACGTAAAAGTTAAGTATATGGTTTGTTAGCTTGTTAGAGGATTGTTTCCGTTTTGGAAACCCATTAGTCAGAACACAAAGCTTGACCTGTCTTAAGTAGAATGAGGTTACCTGCTCGCCAGAGAACCTGCAGTTACAAAAGCCAAAACAATATTATTGATGGTGTTGTATGGAGTGAAAAGTGTCACAGAACAGGTGAGAGCTTGCTCGAGTTGGCACACAGAGGCATTCCGAGTTACAGCGCACAGAGCATCGCGATCATTCAATTCCCTTATTGATTATGGCCTAACAGCGCCGCCATGCAATTTGCCCAGCGCTCAGTGTGTGCTCAGACTGGGAAAACACAGGCCTTGATTGATGACTGACTCTCCCGGGTCTGCAGTGATTAGGAAAACCAAACGTCTTCACACAGCGTCTCAGTCCCTGGCAGACGAAACGACGCTGCAGTCTGAAATGAACTTGCCTCATCTCTGGAAAACGGCTCACAACTCATCTGTGAATGACTGGTTTCCCTCCAGAAACTGCCCTGCTGGGCTCAGGAAAGGAAGCAGACACGGCTGTACTATGGTTCCCGCAGGCAGCTGCCTGCAGATAGTTTTTGCTTGTTATCGGTTCTCTGCCGGCTATGAATAGCAGTACTGAAGCCTGCAGCTGCCTGAGGCAAAAGTGGTAACTAGCGCATACCAAAAAGCTACAAGCCCAGCGTGGTGAGCTGAGGTATAAGTAACCCGTATTTGTCTATTTTTACATGTATGTCCATATTATTAATATTATTATGTACTGTACACCTTATTAATATGATTATATACGACATGTATATCTTAAAATATTAAATATATCCTAAATTTAAAATGGGATATATATAAACGAAACACAACAGAGGCGTTTATATTTCATGCATCACTTCACAATTCTTTTTTATGGCTGTTCTACAGATTTACGTTGTCCTCATTTTCTCATCTGCTCCCTGTGCTTTAACGCGCTTGGCCGTACTGCATTGAACGGATTCTGCTGTTTCAAGAGGCTAGTGGAAACGCTGTAGCTTCAGTGATATAATTTCGAGTTCAGGCAGGGAGCTGAAAAACATATGATTTAGAATGTAATGAGTCAACTGCATCCTGGGTAGTTTTCAAGCCATGAATACACCCATTTACAGACCCTGGCAGCGCTGACCGTTCATTCTCATAGCAGGAAAAAAAACGTCGCACCTGCAGTGTTGAACCGACCTACATATGAGATTAAAAATCCTTTTATTAGAATCAGAAAACACATCTCCCTTATATAGCCATTTCCGTCACCAGTATACAAACAACAGGGTCATGATGGACTGATACAAGTACTGTATTCAAAATTGCCAGACACTGACAAACCACTTTTTTTCTTCAAAGTAAACAACTTGTTAAAATATACAGAAGGGGAGCACACATTTTTGTTTGGTCTTTGATGTAAATGTCACAAACTAAGTAAGAGCAGTAACTTAGTGCCATTAGACCTATCTCAAGATTGTATTAAAATTCTAGACATTATATTCTAGACAAAATAAAGCAAACTACAACTGTAAATGTCTTCTTAAATATTAGTTTTATGGGAGGTGGGCATTATAGTTCTTAAAACAGATAAGTAAAACTACTTCCTTGGGTCTTTCTAAATGTGTCATGTACTACATTATGACCAGACAGTCGTCCTGAAATGCTGATTTGTTGCTGAACTTATATTACTATAATAATATAGTGCTTCTTCAGCTTTGTGAGCTGTTTGAGAATACTTTGATGTTGGCTCTTCATTTCTCAAGACAGATTCCTATACAGTATTTGCCAAGCTTGCTTTCAAACTGGCTGAATGATGCCCCCTCAGGTTGCTCTTGGTAGAGGCACTGGACAGGCCTGTCCATAATCATATTTTTTCAGTTTGTTCTTTCATCAGACCCACAGGTTCACAGTATCAGACAGCATGTCAGCATTGACTCTCATTGTGGTACAAACACCACACAGTGTCCTGCAAACGTTTTGGGACAAGTGAGTCAAAACTGTGACTTGTGCTGTACAGTTATGCAATTTGTATTTGTGATCATGAGATTAAAATGCATAACAAGTACACTGTTATACAATATATTTTGGATTAATTACATTTATATATTTGACCATATTATAACAAAAATATATGTGGTATCTACCTCAGTGATCGGAAATGAGTGGAACTACTGGGACTACTTGGATGCATATCCCTTTGAAGCAATAATTGCACGAGACAACCTTGATCTCACAAACTGAAACTGCAACACTTTCTGCAATTTTCTCTTCCTCTTAAAATATTATACTCCTCCTAATCCGTTTTAAACTTGTACGTAGAATGCAGGTTGTGCCATACTGGCATTTGCAGGTGAAGATTCCTCCCGGATGTCGCAGATGTGCTCAGGTACAGCCAGCACGTTTCGGGAGTGTCCTGTGATTGAGCTCTCCGGGAGGTGTGTGACCAATGTGCTTTCTGATGCTGATGTCTCTGGTGTGCTTATGTTGCTTAGCCCTCTACTGCTGCTGCATGAAGATGAGACTCAAGCTGTTAATAATCTTCAAGAATCATGGCTTCTGTTTTTCGATTCTATAAACCTGTTTTAAAGGGTAGGCTTGTGACTCAGATATGCTCAAATAGAACTTGATTAGATTCATTTAAACAAATTGTTCTTATGAAGGGGTGTAGGAATAGATGACATTTTGCTCTTGAAAAAGCTTCTTGATGTGGCCACATGCTTTCTGTCACCTTATGTACTTAGTGTAGTTTGCCCCTGTTACATAATGTTTTCTGGTGTGTGCCTTCATTCTTTTATTTCTCAGTGTTTGATGTGGTGTCTTGTTTTGTTCTTAAAATTATAATAAATATATGTTTTTTTAAAAATCACATAATACCAGATGAAAACGATAATCTGTGTTATCTTGTCTCTGACACAATTTCTGTTTTTTTCTGTATTTTTCACTTGATGCTCTATGGATTCTGGTAACAGAAATTGGCATTACAATAATGTATTAAATAACACATCTATTGTTTTAAATTAGCAATCATACACGTTTTGAGCTCTGAGAGGAAAAGGAAATCATTGCTAAGCAGAAAATGAAAAAGGAAATCAGGGTTTCCTGTTTTCCTTGATAAAACCATGGGTTTTGTATGGTTACTTGTAGAGTAAAAGAAGAGCAGTCCCCTGTGTGATGTTCACTGCTAAATGTCAAAACAAAAATATGTTAACAAAGCATTGTTCGTACACAGCACAAGAAAAGATGAGAGAGTTCTTGTTGCAGTCAATACAGGCTAACAACAGTATTGCCATAAAGCATTTGGAATTATGACTGATCATTCACAGGGAGATAAGCTCCAAGATACATCACAAGAAAAAGTCAGCTGAGTGGCATTTTGTCAGTTGAGTGGTGTTTGGTAATTCTTCTACAAAGTCAGCATTGATAAAGAATTTGAAAAGTAAAATACTCTGAAACCCAAATCAGAAACACAGCACAGCACAGTGAAGTCCTCCGTTTACTAACTAATATACTAGTACACTTACTTTAACAGTATAATTTCTAAACTCAATTGCAGTTTCGTTTCGTGGGGCTTTAAGTACAGTAACAAGTGTTAGTCTCTGTTTTTTGCTACAGCATTCAGAAGAGGTTCCTGTTAATACTCAACTGTGTTTGTGTTTTCGAAGTATAAACATCAAAATTTATCGGACATGTCCATTTCAGTCAGATGGATGGATGCAGTTCATGTTACAGCTTTTGTAAATTTTAATTTTCTGTGGAACAGAGGAAATGAAATTCAGCTTTACTAAAAAGAATGTACTTTTAATTTAAGCTTAACACTCGGGAAGAGAGCATGAAATTTCACTACGTTCGCACATATATTACACTGCTTTACTTCATCGTAGGTCATGCACTGCTTGCAAGACCCCGTGGAGATCCCAACACACTGTCTTTCAGCTTCTTTAAAATTGTTCACTTTACACAAATAAGGAAATAAAAAAGATGTGCTGTTGTCGAAGCCCGTCGAATATTTGTCGATTTATGGAGTTTAAGTGAGTTGACAATAGTAAAGCTGACCCATTAGATTCATCATATTGGGTACAGTCTCACACTGTAAAAATAAAACACATTTCAATGTGAAGTTTTCTCCTTAGTCTCCAGCTGCATAATTTCTCTCTACAAAGTCCTCAGCGTATTGGGCATCACTGGAGAAAGAAGGAGGAGAGCCATTTGTGATATCACTGAGGCAGCAGAGTAAGCTTCAAGATGGCTCTGGTTAAGAAGAGCAGGTCCATGGGGTTTTGCAGCTTAATGCTGCTTGAACACAGATCATGGCCTGATCAACCACAATGTGTCTAATGTGATGCCTTAATGACTCCAGTGCTGTTGGCAGCAAGTTTCAAAATGCTGTATTTCCAGGACATTCCACTATTTATTCTTGGAAAGCAGGCAAGAATGCACTGCGTGGTGCAACATCTGGGCTGGTTTCTGTTGCAGATGAGTGGGAGTTAGAAAAGGGGTCACGAGTCATGCACAGCTATACCGCAAAGTGCATTACTGACATTACTAATATGTGACAAATGAGATGAGCAGGAAAGGCAACATATCCCCTGTTCTTTTTTTAAAAAAAGCTGCGGGAGCAATGATATGCATTTCAGTCACAGCGAGAAAGAACAACAACGCTGAAGAAGAGGAACCCCAGTGCATGGACGTGTACTGTATGTGTAAGGGCGAGAGCAAAATCCCCAGGCATCCTGGCCAAATTTCCCCCTGGCCTTTACCAGTCACGGCCTCCTAATAATCCCCATCTGTGAACTGGCTTCATCACTCTGCTCTCCTCCCCACTGAGAGCTGGTGTGTGGTGAGTGTACCGAGTGCACTATAGCTGCTGTCGCATCATCCAGGTGGGGGTACACATTGGTGGTGGTGGAGGGGAGTCCCCATTACCTGTAAAGCACTTTGAGTGGAGTGTCCAGAAAGGAACTATTATTCACGTCATTGGTTAGAAAAGGGGCATATTATTTTCAGTTGAAAAATGCCAAGCATACAGCAGATAATCTTGTACATCATCTCAGCTCGTAGCTCAGTAATTGTGCGGCTGTGGAGCCGGTGGTTTACCCATTCCCAATGTGATCTTCACGTTACAAAATCCTCTACCCATCCTTCCCACTGCGCTTTCGCTGAGAATGCATTGTAGTGAATTACAGCGGCCAAGAAGGGAAGTGTCTTTCCCCCATTGTCTTTTAAAGATGTGGCTCCAGTGCTGCCGTTTCAAACATATTTTCCAGAGATCACAACAAATTGGCGCAATGGCAAATGTGTCACCGTCCTTCAACATTAGTTTATCTTAGTTAAATAACCGAGAAACATTAATGCGCAGCATTTCCCCCATTCTCACGCGACTTCTCACAGGAACAGGCAGAATGAAACGTTCATCGGGATTTTGACCGCCGAGACAGACTGATTACCTCCTCGAAACGTTTCTCGCCAACTCGCAATGTTCGTGCTTATGTTACCCAGTTGTCGCACACGACAGATTTACGACTCAATCCTTCGGTACTCCCGGGCCCTCACAGAAAAGGGGGACTGCAACTTGGAGCTGCAGTACGTCCCAGAAATGTCGCAGTGTGCCTTTAAAAGGTTGAGCTGTCTGTATCTGCCGTAGGCGGGCGTTTCTCGGTTCTTTAGACTGTTTCCTTGTCCTACGCAGTTCCACAGTCCGGCGAAGGTACTAGCACCTTGCGCCATGGAGCTGACAGACAAACCCCCACACTGGGGAGTATACTTTTTCGAAAAGAAGACGGTCATACCCATCCTAATTTGCTTGATTTCTCAGGTCTGCAGGACGCGTGCGGAGGACAGCGCTATGGAGGAACTTACCACAGAGAAGGAGGCTGAAGAAAGCCATAGGCAGGACAGTGTGAATTTACTGACATTCATCTTATTGCTGACATTAACAATCCTAACCATCTGGCTTTTTAAACATAGAAGAGTCCGTTTTCTGCACGAGACTGGTCTGGCTATGATATACGGTGAGAACACGTATCTGACTAATTTAGTCTCGTAATCTATGACGAGCTGTGCTTTAACCTCCTGGTATCGTGCGTGTATAACCTCAGAATATGCAACAGACTTCAAGTTCGTCGTAAAACGTGGGAAATTAAATTTGACTTGAAAGATGAAAATAATACCACTCACGTTTTAACGCTGGATTATGCAGTTCGTGTGACGTGAATCTTGTCACGGCGTATAGCCTTTGCTGTATGAATTGAAGTGAAATTTGGCAATTCCTCTAAACTGCTTCATTGTAATTTCGGGGCATGCATTTAATCTTTCCACGCTTCAGCAACCACCTCGTTTGCATGGTCGTCCAGTACCAAATAGGCCTTCTGGAAATAATTAATAGGTGATTCTAGTCATCGTTAGAACATTCTGTCAACACGTTCAACTAAGGTATAGCCTATGGTTCTGTCGCTGGAAACTGACAGAAAAGGAGGGAAATATTATATAAGCTGGAGCAGTTTGAAATAAACCGACATGTTCGATTCCCTTGTATTCCTCTGTCCTGAACAATGGTTGTGGTCATTAACGAGTGACTCACCCCCAACCTCCCCCCTCCTCTCCGGTCTTTCGCTATCTTGAGAAAGGCCTGCTTGTCTGGGTTATGTATAGATCTGATTTCTTGTTCGCTTACGCTACGCCTTCTGTGTTTATCCCCACTGGCCACTTGTTTAGCAGATGGACGTTTTTAAACCGCACCGTTCCTGACAACCTTTGTACGACAGTACCATTTCTTGCTGTCTTCGATTGTGATGCTGTCTGCTCCATCACTAGCGAAAGCGGCTGATGTGTTTGCGTAAAAATAGATCTATTGGCCAAGGGCATATGCTATGCAGCCGACGTAGTGAATGTCAGTTCAGGCAACACGGAGTTTACAATGGCATACGGCAGCACTTGGTATTACATAGGTCCTTCTACGCTGTGGTAGAACCAAGCTAATAAGTAATAAAATGAGTATTTGCGGAAGCGCAGTTGTTACGGAGATTTTGAAAACTGACGATTTAGGAAGCTGACGGAGAAATCTCGTGCGATATCATCTTTAATCTTTTTACTCGGTTGCCAAATTTGTTTTATTTGAAAGTAGCAGAATTGCCGTTTGGGTTATGAAATGACTCTCGTTTTTCTGCAGAGACCCATCATGCGTCTTATAAAATGTGCAGTACCCGGGTTCGTTTCCAGATGTCCAGAAATGAATGTGTTTAACTTCATGTGGGAACGTTATTTTTCTGTAATTAGCAGGAATTAACAGTGAGCTCAGCTCTGCTGATTGTCCTGTCCAGTCTCTTGCCCTAGTCAGTCTGCACGTTGTGAAGACACGTACAGTACTTTCACTTGCGATAAAAAGCATTTTGTGACTCCTCACATGTTTGTTGTTTTTTTTTAGGTTTTAAGAAAACGTGTACACTTATATGTCATGAAATACATTTTTCTTAATTCGTTGTGAATCTAAATTATTTTTTCAAAGCATTTTTGTTATCTACCTACGTATAAATGAAGTCTAAACTTCATATATGTCAATGTATATGTAAATGTCAATGTATATGTCAAGGTAAGATCTTTGCCACCTCCATCACACCCACTTCTTCCCTGTACACAAAAGTGTCTTTTTGCCTGTGTCAAAAAGTAATGGTGATTTTTTTTTGTTCCTAGACTGTGTAAAGTCTAAGATGCAAGATTGGTTTTGTGGAGTTTTAAACGTTCTTTCTTCCATTTCTGGAAATATTATAGTCAAAACATATGCATATAAAAAGTATTAATACAAATTATCTTTTAAGAGCATTTACATGGGTGTGCCTTAAAGAAATGTAGCCCTTGGTATTTTTACTTGTATCATTCTTTTTATTTACAGCCAACATGGCCTGAGAAATTTTTCAATGGTCCTTTTCAAGCGCTGTGTTGTTAGCGTAAGCAGTCACAGATAAACTCGCCAGGGATTTATGATGGATATTCAATGAAAAAAGTGCGCATAGGTGTTTCATAAAACCTCACAGAGGGGTATGTCAGTTTTCAGCTAAACAGTATTACTTTGCATTAATTATTAAGTGCTAAATTCATGATATATTGCCACAATAGCTGAACTCTTCTGCTTTGCTTAAATATACTGTATTAGTAAAGACAATCTCAGCCTATGCAATCCATTGCTAGATCCTACGGAAAATATTGATAGGATTAGGGCACAAATTCTAAGTAAAACTGAGACGGCAGGCTGTTTTAATTTATTTAACGAAGAAGGGAGCCTAATGAGTTTTCAGATGCAGATGCTGTGTGGGAGCAGGTGACAGTCTAGAATAGAAACCCTAACACTCCGCGTCGTGCCAGAGATCTGGCAGCGGGCTTGTCTGACCTGTTCCGATTCCTCAACTCTCTGCATTTGAGCTCTTATGGAAAAATAAAAGGGAACTGCATATACATACCCACCCCCCCCCCCCCAAAGCAAATTTTATTATTTTTTTAAATGTGTTTTAAAATGAATATTGGCAATTTGTGTGCTATATATAAGCTTTGAAGTCAGTGGCCTTTGAAAGGAGTCCAAGGAACAAGTCCAAGGAAAGCAGTGTTATTTCATGCTGAAGGTTGACCCATGTCACATTCAATTTGTATGTGTAATAAGGTTGTTTTGCAGCATGTGGAAATGGGGTTCTCAACAGTAAGTTTGTGCAAGTACTTTAATTTAGAAAATAATGACATCGCTTTTCTGCTGATTTTCTGGTGATCTGGTGATGGTGTGACTTTGGCAAGAAATGGGTGCCTGCGTGTATACAGGTAGGTTACTTCATGCGCATTTTAGCTCGTAGTACAGCTGGCAAGTTAAACCTCACACATTGCTGTGTTTGCAATGTGCTGAGTAGCAGAGCCTTTGGATTTTAAAGGTAGTGATGTGAAGTCTCTGCTGTGCTGCCCAGACAATTGAGGAGATGGAAGACGGTTGTATGGGCTGAAACCCTTTTCATGTCTCCCTCCTCCAGCCAGCTGGAGTGAGCTGGAAAGACACCACGCTGGGACTGACTGAGGTCAGCGCCATCCCATTTGATCCATCAGCCGGGGCCAGTGTTTTGCGGCCGAGGAGAAGGTGAAGTCTAACTACCGAATCGGTTTTTAAAAGGTCTCCGAATGCGAGGCTGTCCACCAGGCTCCCATTTTGATTGGAGCAATGATTTAAAGTTCGCGTTTGGTGTTCTGCTGCGGATGGACAAACGGGTTAAAACGTCTGCCCTCTAATAATCAGCATGACACAAGGCTTGCCTGCCCTCTGGAGACCTCATCTGAATTTAATGAGAGGCGCATCCAGCCAGGCACTGATCCGTGAACTCTGGAACAATACGTCCTCGAGGTGTCGGTTTTAGCTGCTGTATCTTTCATTTTGTTCTCAGACCTAGTCTTAACTTTTCTAGCCATTCGTTTTTTAAATTTAATGCGAGTCTCTGGACTGTTTTAGACTGTGGTGCTTACATCAGATATGCAGCTTCTAATGCTAATATCTGATTCTATTTAACATAGGAAATAATGTGGGTGGCACAGGAGCACAGTGGTTAGCATTGCTGCCTTGCAACCCCGGGACCCTGGGTTGAATTCCTGGGGTGCTAACAGCATGGAGTTTGTATGGGCTCCTCATGTTTGCATACAGTAGGATTCCTCTGGGTGCTCCAGTTTCCTTCCGCAGTCCAAAGACCTACTGGTAGGATATTAAGGCCCTGGTTTCTGTGTCTCTGTGTGCCCTGTGATTGACTGGCGTCCCATCCAAGGTGATTCCAGCCTTGTGCCTGTTCCTTGCCAGGATAGACTCTGGCTCCACTGTGACCTCCAATAGAATAAAGCTGTTAAGAAAAGGATGGGTAGATAACCGATAATGTACGTTTTAGTGATCTTCAATTATTGAACCTGTACTTCATTAAGTATACTTGTATTAAATAAGCTTTATAATAGAATGACGGCTACTATTGACAATAGACACATTGATTTAATGAAGGTTATATTATTTCTTTAGTTCGGCTGCCTTAATGTTTGAATGACTGCAGAGAGTTAATCTGTTGCGATGATAACACCCACAGAAGATGAAATGTTGTCTATGAAACACAGTGTTATTGAGTTTTGAATCTAAATGACAGAACTTGGAAGAGAATAGAGCACTTAGCGGGATCTGAGTGGGAGCAGTTGTCTTTCTGAAGGCTTGTGTCTTTTGTCTTTTTTGACACGGTAGCCTTCACACATCTGCACATCTGCCTGATTCTAGAGCTCCTGTGGTCCTCCTGCTCTCTAGGATGTGTAGTGCAGCGTTTGCACTTAGTACTTTCAGGGAATGGAATTACTGCATTCATATATTCAAGAACCACCTTCCATTTTTCGTCCCCAACAGAACTACAGGTGTTACTGCAAATTTCTGGCCTTTCCCAGTCAAGTCGGTTTCGAAAATCAAAGGAGCCCTTGGATGTGAAGGCTGTTATTGTGGCTGTAGCGGGCGATTGGTAGTCAATTTAATGGAAGCAGCTGTAGAAGTTCTGAGGCCATTTTCACAGCTGCTGCTCCAGTGAAAGGCACCCCTGTCCTTGAAATCTCCTGTTCTCTGGAAGACTTTGGCAAATGGTATTTCATACCAGGGTAAAAGCAAAAAAAAAGTTTAAAGAAATAGCACAAAGGAGCTTTTTAAGCATTGATAAGTGGCCATAATATACCGTATAAGATTGTAAAAAGTTGCTATAAATGTGATCCGAACATTCTCTCTAATAGAAATAACCATGATCCACGTTGGTGGTGACACATGACTTTTTTAATGTTCTTTATTAGCCCTATACAATTTCTTGCATTAGGAATGCGTCTTTTCGCATACCCCAGCTTTTCTCCAGGGAGACACAGACACAGAGACAGGGAGAGAAGCTTGGGGTCAGAGCGCAGGGTCTGCCATTGTACGGCGCCCCTGGAGCAGTTGGGGTTAAGGGCCTTGCTCAGGGGCCCAACGGAGTAGGATTCCTCTGCCGGCCGCGGGATTTGAACCGGCAACCTTCCGGTCACAGGCGCAGATCCTTAGCCACAGAGCCACCGCTCCGCCCATGACTTTGAGTCATGCAGTGATTGAACAGTGCTTAGTTCGTTGTGTATAGTGTTTTAAGTGCCAGTTTGTTCTGCTGGCTCTCTTGGTGTCTCCTCCAGTAAAAGTTCCCATTCTTGACTGGGGTGTGAAAACCTGTAGTTCAAACCTAGACAAAATTCCTAAGGAGAGCATGAATCTCGTCGAGCGCTGCTGCGATTGGTTCAGCAGATATGGGTTGGGTTGGCCTTCCCTGGGTTGAGACCTGAGATTTTCAGGGTGGTTGTTTTTTAAAGGGAAAGTGACTGGGCCACACAGTACTGTAAGAACAGCTGGGGTTCTCCTTGGTGAATGTACCAAACTGCAAAACAATTTTAAAACGAGTGTGAAAGATAACCGATTTCACTGTTGAAACAAACTTTCTAAAGTTTCAAAATGATTATTTTTACTAAGCTTTGTTTTTTTTAGACTACAAGAAGAAATTCATATCAGTCCTATCCAATGTCAGACAGTCTGCAAATTCCCCAAGAAGGTTAGGCTGTGAGTAAGGAGTGATTTCAAGTAAGGAAGAAAGGATCTCATCTTTGTTTAATTACTCTTTATCCTATGTCCTCTGCCAAAAGATTTCAACATTTTAAACTACGAAAGGACTTTTCTGCTCTGTAAGCATTCCGATGATTCAGCATCTGCATTCCCCTTTTAACTATAAAATTAAAGGAAAAATACAACACTGTAGAGGGATATTGTGCTCCTACTTTGAGATTTTCTTTAATTATTAGGGTTTCAGTGGTAGTTATCAGAGTAGTGCCCTTTTTTATCCTTGGTATAATTGTTCCAGTGAGATGCTGTGCTGTCTTGTTCTGAATGTCATGGCCTGTGCTGCTTGTAGTTGCTCCTTTAGTCAAAAAGCTGTTTCGTACTGTCTGTCTTTCTTCCACTGACACACAGCACTGGAACTAGCTGGTGGTGGTAGGTGGTCTTGACCTGTCTTTGAGGACCAGGACGAAAGTTGGTGTTCTGAAGGTCTTTCTGACGTGTGATTTTTAGCTGCTGTGCTGAGTGTTGGTGCTTTTCTTTCAAGATTTTGTAACGAATGCTTAGTTATCTGGAATTCCTAAAAAAATAATTGCTTCCTGTAAATGCACTCTTTTTTCAAATCGGTATGACAATCATGATAACAAGTGATTCTTCTTAAAGATTATTTTTAATATCCCAGATCTATTCATACTCTGTGCTAGTCATCAGCAGAAGGTCATACTACTTGCTATTTAACTGTCTAATGTAAACTTCCTGTAGACCTTTTTGAGGTTTTAAATGGTGTCGAAATGTCATCTGTAACCTGTGGATGGATGGTATTTAATTTATTGGTACTTGCTGCACTTGTCAGCATTAGATACAGTTCAATTTCATTTGATGCTTTTAAAGTGTTCTTCTAATTTGGTGCCATTGGCAAACTTGACTAGTGCGTTTTGGTATCAAGTGCCAACTATACTAGAATGCCCACCATACTCAGTGGTTGATATAAATTAAAAGCAGCAGGGGACCTCGGTACAGCTGTGGGAGAGAGTTAAAAGCAAACTAAAGACGCAGTTCTGTACTGTTGAGAGCAGCCTTTTAATGTCAGTTAGGGACATTCTCTTTCTGAATGTGCAAAACAGCAAAAAAAAGTATGATAATGTGTGAACATTCATTCAATAATGCACCTCAGGAACACCGCAGTGCAAACTGAAGGATAGCCCAGAGCTCTTTTCTTAAAGTTCTGTCTCAGCAACAATTTTACCCTAGGGGGCTTTTTAAAAGTCTTCTTAAACAGCATCATTACAAAGAGCTGTCAGGCCTGATATCCTGGACGAAGCCTTTTTTTAACTTAATTGCTTGAAGCATGCATGTTTGCTGTATCCTTCTTTTGTCGCTCTCCAGGATATCTGGGCTTCCTCAGTTGCCCGTGTTCCAGGACGCAGAGACTTTGCCTCACACTGGGAGTTGTGCTCTGCTGGCCTGTTGTTGTCTGGCCACCAATTGTGCCTGACAGGGTTCTGCCAATTGCAAAAGGCCATGCAGCAGGTCTTTCCTGTGAAACTGCTATACTGTTTGCCTTGCACCATTGGTTCAAGTGCTCTTGCCAATGCGTTTCAAGCAGTTGTACGGGTGTACTCGGCCCTGTTCATCAAGGGGAGCCCCATTGCACACCTATCTTAGTGCCATCCACAAAGCTCAGTCACATTCATCAGCTTTTGTTCATCTCAAACACGGAAAAAGGGACTAGAGATTGCTAAGATCATGTTCCGTTTGTAAAACGTACGAGGTAGTAAGGCCTGGAGTGGCAGGTTTTTATTAAAAAAATGGCCAGTTTAACATAGTGTTTCTACCACCACCAGGAATTGAAAAGGTGTTCTTTCAACCTCACAAATCTGTTTTTTTTTTGTTTCTGTCTAAAAGCAGCACACCATGAATAGTGTTCTGTGAAATGCTTTCGTTTCTGTTAAAAAAAGGGAACTTCCTTTCTGTACACAGAGTTCTTACTGTTGTATTGTTAATTTTGCTGAATCTTACACCTGCAGTTGATTATCATGGGAATTTCTCCTAATAACTATCCCCTTTATCAACTTTAACACTTAAGCTACACTAAGTGTCAAAGCCTTCATGTAATTGATTAAATGAATGATTCCAAGCCTCTTTTTAGTGGGATGCAATGTCATCTGTGAGTTTTTCTCTGCAAAAGCCACTTTCAAGAGCATAGTTACTATTTAAAGATAAATATTAATTTCTGACTTTACTTAATGGGCTGAACTGAACCTTTTCTAGATACGAAACCCAATTGTAATCTGGGATGAGAGGACAAACTTCCTTAGCATCAGTTTGTCAGTGCTCAGTGATGCTGTTAAGGGTGTCAGAAGTGTGCAGAAGCTCTGGAGAACAATCGAAGGGAATATTAAGATCAAGTCAGTGCAGCTCTGTAAGGATAAACCTAAGTTTGGGTGGCATGGTGGTGCAGTGGATGGCTTTGTTTCCCTGCAGCTCTGGGGCCCTGGGTTCAGTTCCTGCACTGTTGTCTATGTGGATTTCTTAAGTTCTCCTTGTGTTTGCGTGGGTTTCCTCTAGAAGTTTCCTTCCACAGTCCAAAGACATGCTGGTGTCTGTGTAGATGTCAGTGTGTGCCCTGCCATGGACTGGTGTCCCTCTCAGGGTGTACTCCGCCTTGTGTCTGTTGCTTGCTGGGATGCGTTCCAGCTCCCCTGCGACCCTGTACTGGATAAAGCGGTTAGAAAATGGAAGGATGGATAAATCCAATTTAAATCAATGCGATTTAATCCATTTTTTTTTCAAGGGACATTGGAATGAAAACCCCAAAGAGCGATGTTTTAGTAGTAAAGCAATACACTTTGTTAATCTCAACAAGTCAGCTCCGAACCAGCATTTTTTGGGTACATTTTTGACCAACGCTCTGATTACACTGCCTTATAATGAAACACTGCAGATACTGTGCTAGCGCCACACACAAACCAGTTTTGGGTAGAACAAATAGTGAAAACTTTCTCCACGTCATTTATCTAATTTGCCAGAGGTACAAAAGTAACAACAGTTGACTTATTCTGCCCTTTGCTCAGAAGCAGTTTCTCTTATGAGAATTTTTTTTTTCTGATTTCTCGATGGCCTTAATACAGTATCCCCCCCACCCCCTCCCTTCTCCAATAGGACCGTTCTTGTCTTCCCCAGTGACGGATTTGTGTGCCCTGACTGCAGCCCTGGCCGAGTGCACTTCAGGAAGTGTCATATTGCAGGGCCTCGGCAGAAGCCGCCGTTTCCAGGGCGATGGCGTTGCTGGCTATTGTGTATACAACAGTCCACGTGTCTGCTGCAGTGCGTCTTGTCTTCCACAGTGTGAATTTTGCCACGAGACATTTTCAGCTTCCAGCGTGTCGAAAAATTTGTAGCGGTAGGAAAGTGGCCGTTATACTTAGCCGCCTGTTTGACAATATCAATGAAAAATGGTTTTGTACTGTATAATACGGTGATTAAAAGTCATTTAAGATAATGAGACTGTGCAAAGTTGGAGTTCCAGAGGAAAGGGATGTCAGGAGGAAAGTATTTTAATAGCTTTCCTTTATTAACCATGAAACAGTTCACGAAGTAAGCCATTAGAACATCACTCTTGTGAAACCTGTCTTTATCTTAATTCAGATTCTGTATTTAGTTATTCCTTCATCCTTCCCAGCATATTTCCTGAATAGAAGTAGGTGAGATGTTTCCCCAGTATTGTGGGTTTCTAGTTTAGTTGGTTTTGGTCTGTTTTTTTCCTTGTGTGTGTGTGTGTGTTTTTTCTGATGTGGCACAATATGTTGAAATGTTCAGTGTATTGCCCTTTCATGTCTGTATTGTGTGTAAGGAAGCATTTCAATTTCCGGGAATACCTGACCGGGCGTCTAGAGGTATGACTTTCATAACGGAACACTTAAAGGTTTATTCCGTACTGAAAAGAGAAGAAAATAAACAATTTTTTCAGCTGTGGTGTGACACCCGAAGAAGGCTCCACAGCCGAAACGTCGGGTTTCTTTTCTTCTCTTTTCAGCATGAAATAAACCTTTACTTGTTCCTTCGCAGCCTACGCACGCTGACGCAGCTCCCTACTCGAACTGACTTTCATAACGTCAGGCAGTGCCCCGAAGGAGGAGAAAATTGGATCATTTGAAGTTACTTGTTTTATTTGCTCTCATTGCAAGTTCTGTTAAAATCTTGCAGAGTAGGAAAAATTCTTGCTCTCTGAAGTCAGTCTTCTTCTTTCACATTCTCCTTTGACCTTTGCCGCTGTGTACACAAGAGAGCCTGATCCTTACAATATTCTGTTATACTGCTGCTTTGTTACCCCTGTTGTTTCCTGCCCCTGAGTCTGTGCTCTCCCTCCTCCTCCCAGGTTTGCTGGTGGGCGTCATCCTGCGCTATGGGATTCCCTCCACGAGCTATCACAACAAGACCCCCCCCAGCTGTTCCCTGCAGGACCGGCCCGTCAGCACGCTGCTCCTCAACATCAGCGGCAAGTTCTTCGAGTACACGCTGAAGGGCGAGATCAACTCCAGGGAGATCCACAACGTCGAGCAGAACGACATGCTGCGAAAGGTACGTCCCGTCGGCGGTGCCGCATTTCCCATGAGGCACTGTAGGCAAAGTGCCTAGGGCCTTCGAAAGTTTTAGGGCCTACGAAGGAGGGAAACGCTAGCGACCAATGAAAAACGAGCTGAAACAACGTGCTTGTGATCGACTCTGGGTGCTCCAAATCAATAATCATACGCTATCTAGCGGCTGTTCTAGAAACTAGAAGTATCGAAGTGATGGTGGCTCGACTTGCTCCATCAATCACGCGATTTAGCATCAGAATAGCTTAAAGTGCGTCATGTCAATCTACGTCATTCTGTTGACATTTACCCCTCTTTTTGCACATTTCGGAGTGAAAGTGCCTAGGGCCTGCGGACACCAAAGTCTGGCCCTGATCCGAGCCGCTAGAATCCACGGACTGCACTCGTGGGAAGATTTATTTTGGAAACGCATGCTCGCACACATACGCACAAAAACAGAATCGTAAACTATTTCTCGTCCAGACCAGCTCTCGCTCGGTTGCTTGACATGTCTCTGCTCTCAAATTCGGTTAAGACGGAGAGAAGCCAAAAGACTGTCCTCGCAGGTCCCTTTCAGAAAGTTGGACAATCACAGCAAGCCACACCAATAGTCAGGTACAGTGTCGCAAACCCCAGCCTCATCTGGACTGGATCATAATAGATCTCTTGATTGGGATACACTCCGAAGGGCATTTAACTCACCAGCTCTTCATAACTGGGAGGGTTTGGTAGATATGGTTCCCATCAGCGCCTGTGAGGAGCAGGTGTCAGTCCTGCTGGGCTGTAGTTTTTGGAGGTGGAATATTTTCTGTCTGCTTTAGCTCTGGTTTCAGCTGTTATCAGGAAATTCCCCCCACCCATAGTTGCACAATGTCATTGTGCTGCCAGTGGCAGCTGAATGTTAGATTACCTGAACCGAAGAGCTTTTGTTTCTTTGTTGTGTAATAGTCTCAGTCCGTAAAAGAACAACTAGAACTTCTTAGTGTGTGATAGGGTGATAAAGTGTTGTGTTCCCCTAAGCATTATTTACATTTAGAATAGTGGAGGGGTTTTATATGCGGCATTTTTAAAATCTGCATCGCAGCTTTTGTCACAGCTTTTCATTGGCAGTAGACCACTGGCCTTTCTGTTCTCAGTGTGGGGACATTGCACTGCTATAGTAGGATAACAAAATGAGTTTTTTGATTTAATGCAGTATTTCTCAATCAGGATGCTGTGTCATGGGAGGTGTGCCTTCAGAGGTTAACAAGTGTTTTGTGGAGTGTTGGAAGTCGTGAGAGAAAAAAAAGAATAAATTGCATATTTTTTTATATATATATATTAGATCTATGGAGTTACCAAAGTTTGGTGTTGCATGTTTGGTGTACATACACGACACAGGCACCATGCTCCGACTGTTCCTGTGGGAACCAAATGTGGCTGGAGTTCAGTTTTCTGTCTGTTTTGACGTTTTGAAAATGCAGGTCATCTGAACACGTGCTCCATGTTTCATTGTTATTGATTGCTACCAGAATAAGGTGACTGTACACTTAGAGGCAAACGCAGATTAAACTTTTTTTATAGTATTAAAAGTTTAATATTAATATTAAAAATGGCAATCCCAATGTTGGGCCACCACGTGTGGCCAGTATCGCCTGAATGTGCAGTGGTATAGAGTCTACCAGTGACTGCAGCAGTACTCCACCATTCCTCCATGAGAAAGTCAGTCAGCTCAATCCAGGTTGATAGAGGTAGAACATGCTGACTCGGGTGTCCAGAATATTCCATACATAGATTAGGTCCTGTTTTGCTGACTGAAAGGGCCACAACATAATGATAACATCAGCGTCATGCTTATCAAACCATTGGCTGACCACATGTGCTCTGTGGATAAGGGCATTGTCATCCTGGAAGACACCCCTCCAGGCAGGAAAGGGAAGAAGATGATCACTCAGTACCCTGAACCAGAGATGTGGTTTGACCTTGCATTCTAAAAGAATAAAGGCACCCAAACCTCACAACATTATAGGACCACCAGAACCCTTCAATCTCTTATCAGTGTAGAGTTCTTTAGGTTGGTGCTTCATATACTTGCTTCATCTGACCTGATTACATTTCTCCTCTTGTTGGCAGTCCATTACCCTGGCTCTGTGTACCACTAGACTCTCAAAGTGTTCTGCCAGGTGTGACGAGCAGTATGTCCAGTACAGTCTGACTGTGGTATCTTTGCAAACTGTTCTCACGCACCAGGTTGAGATTTGCAGTCAGGTGATCTGCAACTGCTCGAACGTTTGACCCTGCACTTTGAATTAATGCACGGATATCAGGATCCTAAAGAATGCGCTTCCACCCCACTGTTTCCCTTTGCTGATGGTGTCTTTCCCTTGGATTTTCGTGTTGACGTCATCTTAGACACCTTTGTTTAACAAATTGAACTGTCTTGGTCGCTGAAGCCTGTGTCACACACAAATAAGCACGCCTCTTTCAAAGAAGAGAAGACTCATCTTGCAGCCCTGCTCACCATGATTATAGGCAACCAGGCCTTTCCAGCATTTTTATACCTGAACCTAAGCATGCTGGGAAGTTGTTTCCTTAGTCGGTTGCAAATGAGTCACACCTGTGTGGAAGGCCTTGCTTTCACTATACTTGGTGTCCATCATTTACCCAGGCATTTCATTTTTTTTGTCCAATACCTGCATATTCTGACACTAAGGGCCACAGGATTTCAGAGAGCAGCCTAACAGGATGGGCAAGTGAATGAAAGTGCCAACTTTTTATTTATAGTGCAGAATAAAACCGGTCACCAAGCAGTAAAAACTGAAACCAGAAGCTAATTCTTTGTTCAGGGCACTAGCTGGCTCTCTTCCATATCCCTGACAAACCATAGCTGGACAGTTAAGCTGCTTACTGTCTCGCAGAATACAGAGCCGCATATCACTTCCTTTCCAAGTTGCTCAGTTGCTTCGCCTGTCGCTCCTCTCAAACTCTGTTGGTTTCCAGCCCTCTCCCAGCTCTCTTTCCCTGCTTTTCATGCAGCTCTGTGACCTGAGACAGGCAGCAAGTTTGCTTGGGCTGCCCCCTTCTGGAGACCATGGGTGGCTCCTTCTCCTCAAAGGACTCCAGTCACTGCGGAAATGACTGGTCTTACTCGGGTTCCGACTGTGGTTCATGGACATCTTCCTCTCGGTCAGACTGAGGTGGCTATACTGTAGCCGTACATCGTCCATTCTATTTAGGAACTCATGAGAAGCAGCTCCTCGCTGTCTGGTAGTCCTGGTTCAGAGAATGACCACTACTACAGTTCCCGAGGTCCGGGATCTGGCACTGTGAACAGTGCTTTTCATTCTGTCCCTCAGCCCAACCCCATTGCTTTTTGATGTTGGGCCAGTTTTCTGTCTCCATTCTTTTTGTGGCTTGATGTCCACCTGGGTGACTTCAGAAACTTCAGGTGTGACTTCAGTCAGGACCTTGACATGCAGGCCCTCCCAGGATCAGGGCCCCCTCTGACGTGACTGTTCCATCGCCTTCGCCAAGTCCTCCGTCTGCAAGCTCTCTCCCTCTTTCCACTAGAAGACCACGGTGCGGTGTGGTGGACTCTTTTAATAGGAGGCATCTTGGAAACTAGAAAGGGGCTAGGACAGTGAAAAACCTGACTTTTTATTATTTTTATTTACAATACAGAATGGAAAAAAAAGCACCAACATCCAAAACGGGCAATTTTTTCATTCAGTGTCAACTGGACTTCCTGCATCTTCCCAAGAAGTCTTTTCACTTACGGATTTATACCGTTTCCTGTCCAGTTGGCATTGCTGGACTCGTCGGATAACAGCAAGCCATCCCCACAGATTTTTGGGGATTGGAATAGGTGCTAGACTGCCGATCCACCATCTTGCTCCCTTCCTATTCGTATCCAGTTTCCAGTGTATATAGACATACTCAGTATTTGTACACGTACCATATACCTGATGTGAAAAAAGGCTTTTCTTTGCTGGACTCAAAATCTGCATGAAGGATTGCAAGAAGATCAGAACTGAAGCACTGCCTGGATTATATTGCCATAGATGCAGTTTGCTTTAGTCTGAGAGAATCTGCCCCACAAAGCAAAAAAAAAATCTGCTTTGAACAGCAGTCAGCTGACACTGACGACTGTACCTGTCAGGAGCTATGGGTAGTGTTTTTATTTTTCTTCAGTGAAGTATTAGGAATGATAAGAGCCAAACAGCTTTTAGTCTTCATGTAAGCGACATTTAAATTCACACCTAGAAGCACAGAGTATTGATTGGCTGAGGAGAAATTTATTGGTTGGTATGACTTGGGCTGTCTGCTGCTACAGAGTGTTTTTTATCCCTTGTCATTTTCAGAATTGCACTTAGCCTCACTGTAGTTTTATGTTTGTAGAAGCATTCAGAAGCTACCGAGCTATAGACACGTTTGTATGTGAATGCGTTTTGTGAGCTCGTATCTGAAAGTAGCGGTTTTAATTTAATCGTGGCCGTCGTCTTTTTTGTAATTAGACGTATGAATCATTCAATGTATTGTTAATCAATATTTGATCTTTTTGCCACTTGAGGCACACTGTGAGTTGCACAATAACATAATGGGATGCAGCAAAAGCTTAGTGAATGTATCCATTCTTATGACCTTCAGTTCTTTGCAGATAGTACTAAAATAATTTGTAACGACTGTCGCTATAGTTTGTTTGTCAATCCAGATCTCTGTTCACTGTAATGCTTGCTGATCGTACTGGATCATGTGTGCACAGCTCCTGAATACAGGGTTTTGTATTCACTCCCTGTGTCCATTCAGGGTAGATAATTTTTAACACAAAACTTAGTTTTGATTGCCAGTAAAAACCAGTGTCAGGAATGTCGGAGCTAACCTATGCCCTGTATTTTCACTGTAAATACCATGACAACTCTCTATGTGGAATATTGATTTGTAGTTTTTGGAATGAATTATAGCAAAATTGGTCATTCTGAAATCACAGCCTTATTTTCTTCTGTTACATGGAAGAGCAAACATCTCACAGCATGTCGTTAAGCTGTGTCAAAGTGTACCACTTTTTCAATTTGAAAAGAGCTTTCAACGGGAGTGACCTGTGGGTTTTTCATGATTTTTATCACAAGCATTGTAATGGTCCTGTATCAAACCTGTCCTGGTTAGCTTTGGATTTTTAAATCCGTAGACCTCCATACATGTTTTTTTTCTTTGCTTTGACTGTTACAATTTTAAAATCATGGAGGAGAGATCTCACACACACTTTGCAATACAGTACTTGGCTTGCATTACCTGATATTACCTTAAGCTTTTTAACTTTGAGTTTATAAGCGGGGGCAATTTTGGGCACAAGGCTGTCATTTTTGCTTGTCTGCTGGGCTGTCACACTTCTGTTTTCCACCTCCTGCTCTCTGTCATATCTGTTATGCTTCACCTGCTACAAAATATTGACTTCTTAAAGAGGCTATTTCTGAATCAGCAGGTTCATAACATAGTTCAGGTGGGTAGCTGCGTCAGCATGCATAGGCTGCAAAGGAACAAGTAATAGGTTTATTCCATGCTGAAAAAAAGAAGAAAGAGAACACAACGTTTTGGCCGTGGAGCCTTCTTCAGGTGTGAGAGAGACAGGGCAGTAGGCAAAGATAAAGTAACGGGAGAACAAAGGTTGGGAGGGTTCATAACATAGCCAACGGGACCGTTGAAAAGTTTTCTAAAAGTGTTTTTTAATATGTACTCCCCTCCCTCCAAAAAAAACAGGTAAACACAAGTCCTGTGTATCACTCATGTGAGCACCCTGTACGTTCACGTATAAAAACGGAAAATAATAAACTACATAGGACAGGAGAAAACGTGAGTGAATATGTTCTCTCATTTTGAAGAGTTATGTCTTTGCACTGCTGTGTTAGTGTATAGTACACTGAGTTCAGGAACATTGGCTGAAGAGTTAAGGGACAACTGGACCCCAGCAGAAGCAGACAAGTATTTCATGCCGGTGGCAAATACTTTGAAAAAAACACATAAAACCGGAAGCCATTTTACTTTTTTAAACATCTTTTTCATCATGACCTTGTTTAGTCATACTGCCTTTCTGTGAAGTAACTCAGTTCGTTAAATAATTATTTTGTTTTAACATCTCCAGCATCTAAATGCTTCAACAAAGTGTCCTGACAACTAATTATTTAATAAATGAATTTATTTTTTTTGTTTTACAGGTTACGTTTGATCCTGAGGTTTTCTTCAACATTTTATTACCGCCAATCATTTTCCATGCTGGATACAGCCTCAAAAAGGTAATTTGTAATTTTAACAGAAACTAAAACCAAACTTGTTTCACACGGCATATCTGCATAAATGATGTTTTCCTTTACTGTGTTGCGTTTTATATCACTTAGTGCTGTTTTTTTTATTTCTGAGTAAAAGAGCGATACATTATTTCATTGTTGATGGGCATTTTTGTTTAGTGAAAAAAAATTATAAAAGGAATTTGTAAAAGATCCTTTTTGGAGCTTTGGGCTGACTGGTTCTATAGCACTGGTGTTCCTACAGTTATTCACCTTATCAAATCCAACAGACTCAAGGTTTGAATTACTCTGCTTCAATAGTATTGATGATCTGGCCAGCAGCGCGTCTCTGATTTCTAAAACACTGTATTGGAAAGTACCCTGTGTGCTGTTCATTAAGGTTTCAGACAGTGAGTGTTATTGATGGCTGTCTGCCCAGATGGTGCTTTTTGGAAACCTGAATCTGTGCATCAGTACCCTCTCGCTGGAGTTTTGGCTGAGAGAGGGGGATGCCCTGATTGGTTAGTGGCAGAAGAAATGACCACGTGCTGAAAATAATCAGTTCTCCTGGGAGGAAGTCCAGACCAGATGTCTTTCGGTTCCTTACTTGGGTTAACTTGGAATGCTGACAGCACATTTGTTTTTCATATGGTTGCCATTTAAATGTATTAATAAAATGAAAAATATCAGATTTATGGCCCTGTGATGACAGGATATTCCCCTTTTAAGTATGCCTCTACAGTGTAAAAGTACTTTAATGTATGTTTAATAGAGGGTGTTTTTTTTTAATTCATTGCTGATTAAGCACATGTGATATTTAGTCTTCGCAAAAACAAAAGGTCATCAATAGAAACATTCAATGTAATTATTTGTTTCATTGGGTCTTTATATTTGTTATATATCTTTAATCATGTGAACTAAAAACAAGCAAAAATTCAAGACTTTTATGCTACCGTATGCTATATGAAACCGCAATATATCACATACATCAGCAGTAGCTGTAACCCGAGTACACAATGTGTGTTCTCTTGTGGATTATGGGATTTTTATTACTCTGCACTACTTTCGTACAAGACACACTTACTGTATTGACTACGTTAAGGCCTATATTAAGGTCTTCCAAGACCCTTAGTATAATAACAGATGATTTAGAAACACAAACCCTATTCATTTTTGTAGAGGAAATGAAGATGACTGTAGTGATCTGTGCTGTTTTTTTAATCTGCAGCTCATAGGTGAATCAAGCATTGTGTTTCTAAATGTAAATTTATCTCGTCTCAAAGCATGTAGACCTCTTAAGAACAGGGAAATTCTTGATTTTCCTTTTAATTACTTTATTTCTATATAAATTACATATTTCTGTAGAAATACAACACCTTTTTTCCATCCATCCATTTTAAGTCAGCATCCTAGCAAGCAGTGGATGCAAGGCAGGGTATATCCAAACTCAAGACGCACCCAGGGAAAAAATATAAATATAATCTCCAGACAGATAGCACCCCAGAAATTGAAAACCAGGGCCCCAGAACAGCACGTCAGCAATGCTGACCTCTTGGCCACTGTGCCACCATGACATCTTTTGTCTTTGATTCATAGTACTTGAAAGTTCATAGTACTTGATTTAGGTTCAGTTATTACAGGCACTATGATGCTGTTTTATTCACTTTATCCTGTGTGTATGAATCCAGACAGTTATCCCTCTTCTGGGGGATTTCAGCAAGCATTGTACTTGCTGAACCAGTAAAATTTTGTAAAGTTTTTGCATAAGAACATGAAGGTCTGTTTATTTTTTCTCTTGGACATAAAATTCTAAAGGGGATTTTTTTAAAATTTATTTGATACCTGATAAAGTTCCAGTCCTTTGGGGAACTTTCCTTTTAGCATTTGAGTCTCATTATCTCTGGGGAACTGTGGTATCCCCCCAGAATTCCAAATGAAACACGAAATAATTTTCAGGCATATGAGAAAGTCTGCCTTTGTTCAGCATGAACCTTGATTTAGATGAGTGATATTGGCCCAAATATATTCATTTCTGCAATTTAAAGTTCAGATGAACACTTTAATATCTCATGACATGTTACTAGCTATTAATGCCAGTTTATTGGAGCATGGTTCCTCGCACAGGTCTTTGTATGAGTTGAGGCTCATCTCTGATCTGTAGTGTGAATGCTCTGCAGTTGATTCTTATAGCTGTCATTTCCAAGTTGCGTATTGAAGAAGTTCAAGAAGCTCTTCATCCTCATATTCTTCCTAATTCTCACTTTTGCTGCGATGAGCCACTGCCATGATAACTAATTTAAAAGCAACACTTTCATTAGCATTTGGCCTCTCAGCTACGATCAACAAGGTTAGCGCCAAACTGGATATTGTGTACTCCACTGAATAGAAATTGTTAGCACTTAAGTTCTTGAGCTGGCATAAGCAGATTGACCTGAATGTGTGTGAAGGAGACAGTATATCGCTTCCACAGGACACTCTGTGTTTTGGGACTGAATCTCGCTTGTCGAATGAAGTTGACTCTACAAAAGGAGTAACTTCCTTCACAGATGGATTGGGAGACCCTGTGAGCTCTCCTCTTATTGTTACACGCAGTCCGTCTGCGTTTTAAGCCTAACATCCTCAATAAAGAGCCACTTCTAATAATTTTATGTTGAAGGACTTATTTATGTCCTTCAGTATTAAATAAGTGGCATATTAGCCTTACAGTATATACCTTCTGTACTTTCACATTTTCAGAAAAGCTAAATATGTATAAGATATGTTTTTTCTGGTAAGTATTTTTTCGTTTTTTGTGGGTACAATACTTAAATTAACTCTCTATTCTAGTATAATTGCCTTGTTTAAGGTGTTTGGGCAGGGGTGTGGCCAAAACTCCAGGCAGACTTTGTGGTCCCAGTGACACATACTGTACATATCAAGAGAAGAGGACTTTTAGGAAGAAAAACAATAGAGATTGTGCAGACATGTCATGATTTTCATACATGCATACCTGGTAAATACTAAAAGAAACAACATCATGTGCTGTATTTAGAGCCGGTCGTACTGGAATCTCTGACATTAAACAATGCCCTCTGCTTGCTGGACACACGTCATTGTAGGAATGACGCCCAAGTGCTACAGTACAGTGGACCATTAGTCCACATTCTTTCTGAAGGAGACAAAACATTTCCCTGCTGCCATCTATGTGTAATGGAAATACACTACAATTCGTCCATCTAAATGCAGATTCATATATCAGTCATATTGGCCTTAATGTTTCACGGGTTTTATAGGTGTTAATGCAGGGTTTGAAGTTAAAGTTGGCTTGTGCTTAGCAAGGTGGTCTTAGAGACAGTCTGAGAGTCATCGTTTATTTAATCTGATGTAGGTGTCTTTTCACTGGTGGAGAAGGTGTTGGAGAAGCATTTGAAGATTTGTAAAAAATCTTACTACAGTTTGAAGCTAAGCCTAAAATATAATTTAGACTACTAAACTATTTAAAATTTACATACAACTCTGATGTTAATTGCAGCCCTAACCCTAAACCCACTCTTTCAGTAATCTTCACAGATCTGTTTTGTATTGCCCCCTCTGCTGGTCAATTTATTTAATTCAAATAATTCTGAACAGAATTTGTATAGATGAGCATTTTGGCTCATTACATTTTCTTTTATTCAGGCATTGGCAATGTGTGATAAATAGTTAAGCATTTTGATGTTAGTGGAGTCTTTCTTTAAATGTTTAGTAAGAGCATATTCATACAAATACACAGAGGAAGCAGTGTTTTTTTGTACATCTTTGTTACTTCTATTAAACATAATACAGCTTGACGAGGAGCGATCTAAATGGAAACCTCAATAAACAAAAGTAAAGACAAGATGTGCAAGTGTTTGCTTTGAGAAATAATATTACTTGTGCTTCAGTCCACTTTTAGCTCACTTCAGGTAGGCCTGACTAAATTTCAATCAGCCAGGAAGCTAGTAGTTAACCACAGTGAGACTCAGTTTTCATGTTGTTGTTTTTTTTGTTGCCACTCGGGTACCAAGTGCGTTCTCACTGCTGCCATTCCAGGATTTCTCCTGTCGTGAGTCCCAGGCAATGAAAAACATGTAATCTTTTTCCACCTTCCACCTCAGCTGGTTTTAATTGCTGTTGCGGCCTCCTTATTCTGTGCACCTACCATTGCGTTGCCCTGGGAACCCTTTTCAGAGTAACATCCCAAGTGTGCCTTCACACCTCCTTCTGTACAGAGCTCTATAACAGGCACACTCCAGCAAATAAGGATATAGGTTTTTATGACTTCTGGGCCCAGGTGGAATACACTGCATTAAGAATAACACATTAAAACCTTTTACTCTGGAGCTAAACGTGATATTAAGTCTCATGTTTGATATTATAGAATTTTCTTGGAGCTCTGAATTCTGATGTTCTTCGTTTCTTGAAGAAATACAATCTGCTCGTCTGACTAATTTCTGGCAGTTGTAGGTGGAGGGCAAGCAACTCGAATTCCCACTTCTAATTTGTTTGGTCCTGTAAGAATGTTGTTGATTTTCTCTTCCAGAGACATTTCTTCAGGAATTTGGGCTCGATCATAACATATGCTTTCCTGGGAACTGCATTGTCCTGTTTTGTGATTGGGTGAGCAGATGTCTCTTTCTTTCAGAGCCTTTTGAGGTAAACCAAGAGCCCTCTAATGTGTAAGGCCTGGCAGAAAAAAAAACCTATCTTATGATGCAGAAAAAAAAAGTTGCCGTGAAGCCAAGATTCATTTTACAGGAGAGATAGATATTTGAGATAGTTCTGGAGATTTGAAAAGCAACAGCCCTTGTTATTCAAATTTTCCAAAAATGTCCGTCTCTTTAGCAAATATCCACAATTATATTCTAGAATTTTCTCTTTCAAAGAATTCTTATCTCCAGCGTTGTCTGGAGTACAGTGCAGAATGAGCAAAGTGGGATCCCCAAAATGTATTTTTCTAATCTGCTCTTTTATTGTTTATGAGTCCCTGTGCATTTGTACCTTGTTCTTTATCTAAAATTATTTACACTTGAAATATTTAAATATTGCTGTTTTCTGTGATTTCTGCCTTTTTTGAGTTTTTCCATTAAGCAACGTTTAAAAGCACTGCATAAATGAAAACTCAGAATCTTTTCAAATTGCATTGTGCTCTCTGACAATGCAGGATCAATTTTCAGTAGGTTTACTATAACAGTGTTTTAACTTATTTTATTTTGAAATGTAAAACGTTTTAAAGTATTTCACAGTAAGCACTCAGAGTACATTGTAAAGTTTAATAACTTTGCTACTCTTCCTCAACTCTGCTGGCATGTTTTATGATGAAGAGACCTCTGTTATCGTATTTTTTGCTAACATGAATTTAGATTGCATTTATTTGTGTTTGGATTATCCAAGCTTTGATATCCTCCATGATGGGCAAATATTCAAATCCAATAAAACTGCATCATAGATGTCGCAAGCAGAAACATCTGACCGGGAAATGTTCTCTGAGTGTTAAAGGGGGGACCCTGTGGAAGTATTGATTATGTTTTATCAAAGGCTGTGGGTAAAAAATGTAGTTTATCTGGGTCTGACTGGCCGTATACCATGCACCACGGTGCTTAGAAAAAAAGTAGCGGATGAGCTGATTCTGGAAACTGTCTCCTGCAGGAACCTCATGTACGGCGTGGTGAAGCTCATGCAGGCAGTGGGGCAGCTGACTGACAAGTTTTACTACACCGACTGCCTCTTCTTTGGAGCCATCATCTCGGCTACCGATCCAGGTACTGATCCAGAGAGAGGGGCACGTCTGGGAGGCTGCCAGCAGGTTCACACTGCAGTAGGCCCTCTTCGCTTTCATGGCACGAGCGCAGGGTGGCTCCGGGTGGTTGCAGGCTATGTTTATGCTGGCTAACAGTCCAGCATACTGAACATTTCTGGAACATTTTTAAGAAAATAAGAGGAAACAGGAAAAAGCCAGGGCACGGAAGCAGTTATAACAGAGGTTCTCCTTTCAGTAGTGGTAATAATAATATTGTAATTAAAAACTTTATTTTATATAGCACCTTTAAAGGTGGCGTCTCGAAGCGTTTTACAGAACGACAACAACAATAAAGACATACACAAGACATACACGATGAGAATACAGAGTTAGAGTAGACAAGTAGATGGGGGTGCTGCATAAAAAAGGAGCAGAGGGGTAACTATCAGAACCAGTTAAGTAAAGGCTCTTCTAAAGAAGAAGGTTTTGAGTCTGGTTTTGAGTAGGGATGGTGATGTTCTGATATCCTTAGTGTAGACGGGCTTGGGGGACAGTTAGGAGACCAGAATGAGAAGAGCGAAGGTTGGGAGGTGGGGAGTAGTACGATAGTAGCTCAGACAGGTACTGAGGTGCCAAGCTATGTAGAGCCTTATAGGTGAGCATGAGGAGTTTGAAACCTGACCGTAAGCCAGTGCAAGGGCTCCAGGATAGGAGTAATGCGATCACTTGCACCAGACCTGGTCAGGATGCTGGCTGCCAAATTGTGGACATACTGAAGCTTGTTCAGTGTGGATTTAGAAACTCCAGGAAATGGTTCAGTAAATGGTTCCTTTCAAAATGAAGCCCTGTACAGCCTCAGAGAACACTGAAAAAGGAGGTTGAATCTCACACCCCTACCTTCCCACTACTCTTAAAAGTAATGCTGTGCTTTAATCGAGAGCTGTGTTTTTCATCATCGTGTGGGTTTGTCTTTGGTTTTAGTGACGGTCCTGGCCATTTTCAATGAGCTCCATGCAGATGTGGACCTGTATGCCCTCCTGTTCGGGGAGAGTGTCCTGAATGATGCCGTGGCAATTGTGCTTTCATCGTAAGTCACCTCATGAGTTCCCTGTGGTCAAAAAATGTTATTGAATGGTCATTTATTTATCTTTTATGTGGTAAAGTACATTAATGATGTGTAACGGCAGTCGCTCCAAAGCCTGAGGAGACCATGAATAACAGTATCACGATCAGAAATTGTACAAAATAGTTTGTGTTTTGACAAGATTATTAAAAGCAGGGCTTACCGCACAGGATATTGATTTTGTAAACTTGATAAAACCCTCTCAAAAATGGCTTCTATTCCTGAAGCCATCTTATAGAAAAACAGTGACTTATTTCAAGTTCTTTCTGCATTTCTTAAATACTGCATCAGAGTGTTAGGAGCGTGGCAGCTAAGATTTGTAGCTCTGCAGGTCTTCAGCTGGGCCGTAGCAGCGATCTGTCTGCGCCCTCTGCTGGCGAAAACACCAAAGAGCAGCGCCAGCATTCAGATGGAAATTTCCATTGGCCCATTCTCTAGTCTGCATACATTGTTGGTTATCCCCAGAATCTTTTGCACAGTATTTCAAATTTAAGTTTCTAAAAAAAATTATACATATTTAAAAATAGCTTCAGTTTGATGTGGGGGAAAAAAAACTGCATTTTTACAGATAGAATAAAAGTCAAATTGATATACAGTACAGTGTCTTTGAAGAGTATTCAGACTATGGTGTCCCATTTTGTGAAATTGTTAAATGATATAATGATCTGTATTCCTTTTTAAAACGTATTTATAAATATTTAATTTAAAACCTGGACATATCCTTAGAAGTCTTCAGTTTGAATGATAAGTTACTTTACAATGTCAGCAATAACTGAACTGTGTTGATTGCATTAGTATTCAGACCTGTGAAATCAATACTTGGTGGAAGAAAAGCAATTTCAGCCAAAGTCTTTTTAGGTTAGTCCCTACCAGCTGCGCACGTGGGCTTAGAGCAACTGTTCCCGAATCTTCTTGGCAGATTTGCTTAAATTCTGTCAATTTGCTTGATGCAGGTTTGCAGTATCATTTAAGTGAAACTCCTAGCAGGATTTTAGATGAGGTCGGCTACTCGGCCTAAATGTAAGTGAGGCTTTGTGGAATGTGTGCGATTTTTGCGAATTGCTGATTCGTGGTTGATTTTCTCCCATCTCAGTCACTGAACCCTGTACTTCTTTCAAAGTTTTTGTGGACTCAGAGTTGGCATCCCTCACAGTGCCTCTTCACACCCAGCTACCCAGTGTGCAGGGGAGGCCTGATCTAGGCAGTGTCCATTTCCTGATGGTTAATTGTGCTAAGAGGGATGTTGAGAGACTTTTATATCTTTATACCCTTTTCCTGATCTGTGCTTTCCAGTGTCTTCGTTGCTATGTGTTTATTTGAAATTCAGTACTTGACCACAGAACCTCACAGAGACAGGTGTATTTATTCTAAAATCACGGAAACCGTTATTACTGCACACAGAAGTTACTCGAGGGTGCGGATCGTTACCTAAATTACTTCAGATTTACCACAGCAAAGGGTCTGAATACTTATGCCATCATGACTTTTACATGTTCATGTTGTTTTTTGATTGGTATATGTCACTTAGTTATGTATATAACAAATGAATTGGTACTTCAAAATATCATGATTGGAAGCTTTAAAGCAACAAAATGCGAAGACATCACGAGTCTGAATACTTTGGCGCAAGGTGCTGTAGCAGTGAGCACCTTGCAATGTACTGTATGCACACCGAGATGCACTATGATTGGAGAAGCTGATCTGTTTTCATGAATTTAGACAAATTTCAATTTTTCACTTCTGGTACTGTGTGGAGTTAGAGAGCTTGATTTCATCCACTTCAGGTTTCAATTAAAGCAGGTGAAGTACTATCGCTAGACACCTCGCCATTCTTTCCATCTTTAATTTTGACAAAAATGCAGCATCGTATTATTGGGTTAACGCCTGTTCTTGGGTCATGCCTTATGGTTTTGCTTAAACATATCCCTAGCCCGTAGTGGTTTGAACTAAACATACAAGATTTAATTTGAAATGTGAGGCATTTGCAATACTCTGCGCCGATACTGTGGGTAAACGTGTGGTTTTGTGGCTTCTCTGACTCTGATGCCTGTGCTGTCTCTATCAGGTCTATCATGGCATACCAACCCACTGGAGCCAACACCCATGCTTTTGATGCTGCTGCCTTCTTCAAATCGGTTGGCATTTTCCTTGGTATCTTCAGCGGCTCGTTTGCGATGGGCGCCGTCACCGGAGTGGTCACTGCTCTAATATCTTTTTTCTGCTCCTCTGTCTTTCTCCTGTTCCCATGTTTTGGTGATGCTTTAAGCCTGGTACATGAGATGTGAACCGTGAAGGGAGGGGTGGGGGTGGATAGGGGAACGGTTTTCTCAATGGATCAACCAATAGGGGAGCTTATCCAGAGGGGTGGGGAGAGGGTCATCTTACTAGATCAACCAATAAGGGAGCTCATCCAGAGGAGTGGGGAGGGTCTTCCTTCTGGATCAACCAATAGGGGAGCTCATCTGCCAGAGAGCAGACTGATCCCAGTTATTGGTTATTCATCAACTGTGACCACTGGGGTTGAGTGGGTTTGTGGTGGCTCGTGGTGCTAAAGGCGACCTCCATTGTTCGTTGGGTGTTTGCGAGAGCTTCATTGCTCGTCCAGGTGTTGTGACCCCTGGAAATCCTGGGGGAATGTCTGATGTTGAGTGACTAGGGTGTTTTGGCGGAAAGCTTGCAGATTCCTCGTTGCTCCCTTGTTGGTGGGAGGAACACAGCATTAAAGCACAGTTGATTGACAACTGGCGATTCACAATAGTAGGTGAATAAAATAGAAGAAAGACATCAAAGAATTCCAAATGTATAAATAGGGATTTAATTTCCTCAAGATTATTTTTAAAAATTCATTAATTATGAGCTGAAAGGCAGTCAGTTGTATAGTTTATTATATAAATATACACAAGATGACTTAGTGGCAACTTATTACTTCATAATGTACACAGGACAAGTTAAAATACAGTAATTCCTTATTTAGTGGGTTCTCTACTCTGTCTTAATCTGGTCTGACAAAAAAAAAATAGAATTAGTAGCTGCATTTTATGTATGGGTGCTTACCTTCATGTGTTTTGTGCTTTTCCGAGTTTCGTGCGTTTTTAAAAAGGCAAAAGTAAGTTTGTGGATGAGGGCTACAGTTAAATTCTTAAATGAGTTCATTACTTAGAGCAGCTGCACCCTTTCCATAGGGAGAGAGGCCCTGCTGTGTTCATTTTTTTTTGTGTTTGATCAAAGGTCATTATTTAGTAGTTTTAGTAAGCGTGTTGAGGTTGCCTTAACACTCGTTGTACGTGACCAAGTTCACTAAGCTGCATTGCTTCCCTTTGCTGGAGACGGCGCTCTTCTTCCTCATGTCCTGGAGCACCTTCCTCCTGGCCGAGGCCTGCGGTTTCACAGGTGAGAGAGCCGCCACGCCGAGCGGTGTGCAGTAAAAACGCGCACAGCGAACTCCGTCTTACTTCGGAGCTTAGAGTGTGTACCAACCTTCGTATGCTCTTTGTCGGGTGACATTTCTGTAAATATCTTCTAATTGTTACCGCTTAGCGCACACCTGTGCAGCTCTTGGATGTTGTCTTTGTGTTTGAGTTTTGTTGAGACACTCTGGTTAACTTTTACCTCCCAAAAATATACAGGTTGGGTTTTGATAGGCCTCTTTAAATTATACCTCCCGGGTTTCGATACATGGGGAAAGGAGCTGGGCGCCCTACCTAAAGTGAAGAGTGGCGCCGTCCAACGTTTGGGTTCCATGGAGAGCAGAGAGCCGCTTGTCCCGTTGTCTGCCAACTGCTTCCAGAAACGTCATTCTGGGGCTCTTTTTATTACCTGAGCAAAAACTCGGACAACATGGGTCGCAGACAAAAAAATAAAAATAAGAACGGGACTTATTGCACAGTGCGGTGCGCCAGTACTGAATTGGAAATGTTGCCGTCTCAAATTAGGGAAGCGGTACTACAGAAATTCTTTGTCCTCTTCACTCCAAAACTGAACTGAACAGAACTGAAAACAACTTTCTGGGATCGAAAGTAGAATCTATAGGCTGACGATCTGACTTAGAGAGCATAGATATTGAGAAGTCTGAGAAGTAAGATGGGTTTTGATGTATTTTTTTCATCTTATCGATTTCTCATATTTGCAGGGAAGTGTTTTAAGCGATGCTAGTTGTCAACACCGGTGAGGGCCGAACTTGCGAACGCATTATTTTTTTTAAATGAGTTGCAATCGCCTTTCACGGGTGGCATGGAAGTAGGATGTTTTAATCCTCCCTCTGGACCCCCAGGTGTGGTGGCGGTTCTGTTCTGTGGGATCACCCAGGCCCATTACACGTACAACAACCTGTCCGAGGAGTCGACGAAAAGAACCAAGCAGGTGAGGCAAGAGCTGGGAAAGTTCTGCTGGGTTCTGAGTGACAAAATGAGATGGCTGCATGTCAAGCTCACGACCGTGAAGGAAGCGGCGAAGGGGGATCCAGAACGCGCTGTTTGTGTTCATTAAAAACGCGCTGTGCGGTAGGAAAGGGACTTGTAACGGTGTCCCTGGCAGATGGCTGAGCGCTGAGCCCGGCGGGGGGGTAAAATCGGGCTCTCTTTCCAACTGGCAGCAGTCACCTTGCAGTGAACGTGGAGGGACACGTCGCAACAGGGCTCCCACGTTTGGATCTCTCCCCTTCAGTCAGGGAGTGCAGCAGAGGCAGTGAGAGTTTGCAGTCGTTCTGTGCCCTAATCTTTGTGGGGAAAAGAGGGAGAGAGACAATATCCCAGCTGCTATCTGGGTGGCAACCGTTCTGCCGAGTCTGGCAAGATCTGGCAAGTAGAGTCCCCTTAACCTGGAGCTTTTCTTATAAAGGCATTGCAGGCTCTACAAGATGGATGTCCTTTAATGAGTTCAAATGAAAAAGTAGCATGGTGTTTTGAGGGTTACTTAGGGCACACCCAGAATGTAACAGCAAAGGTTTAGGGTGGCAGGTACACCTTTTCTGTATCTCACTATTAGGATTTATTTATTTATCATGATTTATTGTCTCCAGAAGTTCCCTCTGGACCTTCTCTAGTAATAGAGATGTTGCAAATAGCAATATCCCAGGCGGTATAATTAATTACTAACCTTACAGACATTGATAATGAAGAATAGAGTGATAGAGTCATGAAAGTTGACTGAGAACTTAAATGTGGGAAAGAATCATTGCACAGACCTTTGTAGGTTTGTAATGGAAATTAACCCTCCTTGTTTTATGATGTCGTGGGTATTTTAAAGAGTCTTTGTTAAATACTGTTATAGCAGTTCAAAGCTAAATGCTATGTTTTTCCTCATGCGGCACATTTGGTTGAAAGGTGGATGGAACTCGGACACTGCCTCGGCCTTACTTTCTCTTACATTCTTCTACAGCTCTTCGAGGTTCTGCATTTTCTGGCTGAGAATTTTATCTTCTCCTACATGGGTCTGGCCCTCTTCACCTTCCAGAACCACATCTTCAGTCCGATCTTCATCTTGGGAGCTTTTGTATCCTTTTACAGATGTCTTTCAGAAATATGACAATGAGACCTGCTTTTCTGGTTCATGCCTCCCAAACAAACATTTCCAGTCTATAATGGTATCAATTTGTTTATAGAAAAGAAAGCCTCTTTCTTTTTCTTTGGCAAAAACTGAATAAAGACACCTGCTTTTGTAATTGAGATAAGTAGCAGCTGATATGTACTAGAGACATCCGTTAAGGTTGCTGACACCACTTTTTTGCTTGCAGATGAATCAAATACTACTATTGTGGTTCTGCAGTTTGTTAAACGTGTTAAGATGTGGATGCAAAAGTACTTTCTTGAGCTTAACTGTGACAAAAATGAGATTATTTTTATAGCATTCCAACATCATCTTTGTGAAAATGGGGATTTGAATGTTGCTGGTGATGGTGCAGATAGAAGTTAGTAACTCTGTTACTTATGGCCCTGTGCTTTAAGTTGAAGTGACAAGGTCGTGTTTCTCCCACCTGTGTGACATTGCTCTGGTAAGAACCTTGATCAGCCTATTTGATGCTGAAATATTGCTAGATGCCCCAAGGTGGCGATACTTTTCTTTGCAGGGTATTTCCTAAAGTCTTAATTAGGCTTCAGTACTTATGCATGAGAACATCTGCTGCCCTCTGGAACTTGTTCTAGCTCCTGGTGAAAATTCAAGTGGGATTTTAAACTGCGTTGCGCACATGTGAGACACTGAGTAGTGCACCTCCATTTTCTTTTAGGTACCTGATGCATGAGTATAGTCCACCCCCTAATCTGAGAAATTGCTGATTCAGCTATTCTTGCCCTGTGGAATTCTGTTCTGTTTTTTAGTCATATCAGACATACTTTGATATTTTTTACATGCATTTTATCTGTCTTTGTAAAAATATACTGATGGTAAAAAATGACTGCTATGTCAAAGAAAACAGGAAGTCAGAACTGGAACTAAGTAATCTTGAGAAGAGCCTTCCTGTGTTTTTTTTTCAGTATGCAGTCTGCATCCTGTTTAAAATATCTCATGACAATAATTCAGATAGAATAGCAGCATTGTCTATGTATCACAAAATAGTTTTCATCAGAATCTACATATCCTTATTTTCTCTTTTAAGACCGTTAGGTTCTCCTCAGCTGTGAAATATAATTTCTCTCAAACTGCACCCTTTTGTACCATTTCATTGACCTTCAATATACAGGTTTTAGGCCTTAACTGCAAACTACTAAAAGCATGCAAAGGAAAAGAGAAGCTTGTAGTCATACTAAACATACTCACATCCAGCTCTTGCTGGTTATAATGAATCAATCATGCTCTGGATTCCTGTGGAAAACTACTGTAGTAACACAGTTTCAGGTACTCCTGAGACAAGCTTGTCCTTGCTGCCATCATAATTCACTGTATTGTGTCCTTAATAGCTTCCTCTCCGGCAGATTGCGATCTTCATAGGAAGAGCCTGCAACATCTACCCTCTCTCCTTCCTTCTCAACCTGGGAAGGAGACACAAGATTGGCGGGAATTTCCAGCACATGATGATGTTTGCAGGTTGGGGAGGCTTCTTACTGTGAAACCATAGACAGACGCCAACCTCTCCCCCTCATAGCTGGCTGTCTCAACTGGTCAAGAGTTTCAGAGCTTCAATACATGGAACCTTTTCTTGTTGTTTCCATAAAGATCAACAAAGATAATGATAAACAAACAATGAGTGTGAGACATCCATCTATTCTAATACGCTGCCTCTACATTGCTTTGCTCTGGTGTCCTGTGGGCGTTTTGGGTACAAGACATATTGAAGATGGCGGCATGGTGATGCAGTGGTAAGCATGGCTGCCTCGTGGCGCTGAGGTCCCGGGTTCACTTCCCGACCCGGGGTGCTACCTGCGTGGACTTCGTATGTTCTCTCCGTGTTCATGTGGGTTTCCTCTGGGAGCTCCTGTTTCCTGCCACAGTCCAGAGACATGCTGGTTACTTGGCTTCCAGGAAAACTGTAACTGCTGTGAATGTGTACATGTGTCTGGGTCAGAGTGTGCCCTCTGATGGACTGGTGCCCAGTCCAGGGTGAACCCCTCCTTGTGTCCGTTGCTTACTGGGATAGTCTCCAGCTCCCCTGCAATCCTGAATTGGACAAAGCTGGTTAGAAAATGTATGGATTGATATGATGAAGCCATTGTACACTTCCGTGAAATTTTTAAAAAAAATCAAAGTGTGAAGAAAAGCTTGATTCCTTGTCTTGTCAGAAGGAAGGTGAGGGAGCGCTTTGAAGGGACTTTGGGCCCTGTGCAGGGAACAGAGATTTCCGCTTTAGTCCCTGAGCTCCTGCTCCGCAGTTTCAGAGCCGGGACAGGAAGATGGCATGGAGAAACGGAGTGGTAGGGCTTGGAGGGACTCTTTCATTCCGCAAATCCGGCCCCATCATCCACTTGCACCGATTGATAACGGACAATCACCTGATTGAGAAAGTTTTCATTTCATGTTAGTTTGATCATTTGTTAGAATGTGTACTTTCTGTGAGATGTTTTCTTTTAAATAAAGTTTATTTTGATAGAAAACAAACAAAATCTTGGAAAAAGGCAGAGTTGTCGACAGGGTCGAGCCAGCGGGGGCCATTCTCTGAGCGCACTTGCACCCCCTCCCCAGCCCTCCCCGCTCAGAAAAACAACGCCGTCCCAGCTGGGGGGTTAAAGAGTGATTCCTCTCGCGCTGCGCCAGGCGTTTCCCCGTCTGATTTCCCATGTTTCCGTTACGCCCAGGCCTGCGGGGAGCCATGGCGTTCGCGCTGGCGATCCGGGACACGGCCACGTACGCCCGTCAGATGATGTTCACGACCACCCTGCTCATCGTCTTCTTCACGGTCTGGGTGTTCGGGGGGGGCACCACCCCCATGTTGTCATGGCTACACATAAGGTCAGTTTGGGGGGGGGGGCAATGTTTTCATTTTTTAGAACCAGTTTCTGTTTCTTTTTTTTTTTGCTCAAAGCATGTGGTAATAGCTCCCTCTCCAATATCTGTGCCTTAGAGCGAAAACAATGTTGAAATTTGTGTTCCGATCAAAGTGCAGAGTGAATGTGTGATAGTAAGTTGGCACAGAGCTACAAGCAGCAAGGGCTGTTGTTCAGTGGGCTATTTTTAAATGCATTTGAGAGATTATTACTTCCCATTTTTGCCCTGTGAATACAGATTTTGGAAACTGCTGTTACAGCCAATTGTGGTATTTTTTAAGAAGGAAGTAATGTACAGTAACAGTTTCTCTCAAAGCTTCTAAGCCTTGAGAAGAGCAGCAGAATCTTATCTTTTCAGGTCATTGTTTTTGTGCCGTGTTTCATGTGCAGTGTTTTGGGGGGGGCTTAAGTAAGAAAGTGAGAAGAAATTACAATTACATTACATATGCGTATGATCAGTCAACCCACATTTTTCAGTGTGTCAGGATTCTGTGGTATTGAACCTGTTACACACATACTTGAAATCTAAACATCTCGTCATAAGACTCACAGAGCTGTAAGTAAGTCTGTGCTGTCTTTATACAAATCTTTGTGTGCTTTATGGATAAGCTTTAAATGAGTGAAGGTGAGTTACAGAAGTTGTCCAGTAGGTGGTGAAAGATTTCTGCTTACGATGTGGTTAGGCTGAAGTTTCCCCCTCCCCCCGCCTCCCGATGACATTAAGCATAGGAATGGAGGCCATCTATGATCTCTTTTGCACGAGACTGGACTTCCTTTACAAAGGGGATTTCAGAAATGATGCAAATACAACAGCTGGTAGCAACTACGTTTTAGTGTCTGAGTAATATCCCTGTGTCAACAAGCTGTTGCAGTGCCACTGGGGTTACAGAGAGAAAAGCTGCTCTCTGAGTATTCAGAGCCCTCGTGGCAAACAACACCACTGACCACTTTTGATCCAGATGGCAACTGGAACTGGAAGAAATGGTCAAAAACCATCTCGGTGCCAACAATATCACCTTCTCCTTGTGCCACAGTCTTTTAGAAGTGTATGTTTTGCCAAAATGAATGAAGACAAGTTCAATGAACATCTCGTACATTTTCCTCATTGATTGCAGAAGCCGGTCTGGGTCATACGTGTGCCTTGAATTGAATGCCGAGAGAAAGTCTATTTTGGCGAGCTCTCCCATCTGTGGACAAACTTGTCCCTTCTCCTATGATTCCTGACTTTTTCCCTCCAGAATAATAGAACCAAAAGCTGCTATCTGTAATTTCCTGTTATCATTTTCTTTCTTGTTTTTTTTAACAAACACAATGCTCCAGATCCTCACTGGTTTACAGTTATTTGGTTTGTTTTTAGCCTTATACTGTATTTGTGCTTTTACAGGAGATGTTCTCACATTAAAATTAATGTGAGGGAATACTTTATGAAGTTACAGTAGTAGTCTAAGATTTTTTTTTTTAGTTTTAGGTTGTTCTCTTACTTGACCTGGAATCTGTCACCTATGAATAGTTTTATAGTTTTAGGCTATTTCACAATGAGAGCTATGCCAGCATTGGTTTTGACAACTCTGGAATATGAGATTCAGTTCATACTGTAGATAAATTTTGTTTTATAACATAGTGAAATGTAGAAGAAAACTCTAGAAACTTAAGTTAATATTAGTGCTTAAATGCAAAAACGAGATTTTGCGAGTTCATTGGCTCACGTACAAAATAAATTTAACACTAGCTCATTAAACTACCCCAGCAACAAACATTAAAAACTATAAATTACCACAGCGTTGTTTCCATTCACCCCAGTACAACACCTCAGGTAGTTTTCGCTCTCAGTTCCTTTTGCATTTGAATATTATTTCATCAGGGCTGGTAGTGACTGCGGTAGCCAGGCAGCTTTCCCAAAACTCTTATCACACACGGCTTCAGAGAATGCCCTTTTATTTTTATTGTTTCGTCTGCAAGAGCCAGCGTAAAAGCAGGATGAACTCAGGGTGTTGGAGAGAGACTTGAATAAAATGCAAAGTCAGGAAGCATGGTGTTATGTACAGGCAGTAAAAATTTAGGAGGTTTTGTGCAAGGAGGAATGTCCATGACATCTGAGTGCAAGCATTTTCTGTTGCAACTGTTTTTTGTTTTTAAATGCATTTCCAAACGTTATGATTCTAAAAATGGAAGAGTTCAGGTTTTTGTCTCAGCCTGCTGCATTTGCAGCATGGGGTTGATGGGCTCACAATGAGAAAAACACATCCTGGTGGCGCACAAGGCAAAGGAAAGGATTGTCACTAGCCGAGTGGTTGACTTATTTGCTTCTCACACTCGCGCTTTGTTTATGGAAACCGTAAAAGATGAGCCTTTCCAGGGAACTTTGGAAGCCGGAATATGAGCAGAGATCGTTTATTTAGGCCTGGGGAAGCAGGGTGCACGTCCGTCGAGCCAGCATCACCAGCACTGGGAGGGTGTTCTCCAGTGCTGGCAGAGTTCTGCAGTGTCGGAGCCAGTGGCTGCGTTCATACAGGGCGACGTCCGCTTCAGTGCAGGGGAAGAAAAATAGCTTCCATTTCAAATACCACAAGCACAAGTAATACCGCATACGGACTCTGGTTTCCTTCCTATTTTATGATGCACATTTTTTACAAGTTAACTCATACTGTACATCAAAATGAAATTGTGGTGCTATGCAGTTGTAAAGAAATAAAGGCAGGCACCATTTCTTTAAAGCTGGCCCATCTAGCTGCTTTATTTTTCTGACTAAATGCATCTATAGTATTACTTTTTTTGGACAAGATGACCAAACCAAACGTGTCTGCTGCAGAATAATAATTCCAGCAGGTGACTTTATTGCCACAGTCTCTGGAGACTGAGCCTCTTTGCAGTAGATTGCAAGTCTTCTGTCATCCAGAAATATCGTTTTAAATCACACTGTCATCCAAATGCATTTGGAATCCTGAGTAAGCCAAATGGAAATTTCATTTGTTTCAATTTAAAGGAGTTGCTACTCTTTTAATACTCTCCCTTCTTAGTCCTTAATCGCCAACCACAACCGTGCATTTGTCCGTGTCAGTTTCAACTTAACAGTTTACAGGACAGTTAATCTGATTTATCAGGGACTGTGGCCTTCATGAGTACAGGAAACAAGCTCAAACTGCCAGAAATTCTCCAGAAACAGGGACAGACCTGAGCTGTAAGAAGGAAACAGTGCAATAACAAATTGTTCTATAGGTTTCCAGAGTACATACTGGATCTGAGATGGACATGTTTGACATTTAAATTGGTAAATGTTAACAATTTCAAACCGTTTCCTGTATTATTTCTGTAAATTAAATATTTGTATTCAGTTCATAGGTTTTATCTCAAGGAAAGTATGCAAGTATTATTTATGGAAAGTAAATTTAATTTATGCAAAGTTTAATAATTATTATTTAATAATGTATTAAATCTATAAATCTTTGATAGAGGCTTTTAATGACTATTTTGTAAAGTTGCACATTTGAGTATCGTTTGAAGTATGTCAATTCCTTAGAATATTTTCACATAATATTTATACTGAAGATAATTGGAATTATCTTCACATTGGAATGTGAACATATGAATCTTGTGAAAAATGTATAATGTTTCAACTCATTGAAACTGGTGTTTTCATCCAGATCTGGTATTTTCTGGTTGGCTTGGAACGAATGGAAATTGGGCAGATATATTGTTGTTAGGAACAAGTTAAAGGTTCATTCCATGCTAAAAAGAGAAGAAAGGAAACGCAACGTTTCGGCTGTGGAGCCTTCTTCAGGTGTGAGGGTGTGTTTGCTCACACTGAAGAAGGCTTCTCAGCCAAAACATTGTGTTTCCTTTCTTCTCTTTCCAGCATGGAATAAACCTCTACTTGTTCCTTTGCATCCTACGCATGCTAACGCAGCTGCCTACTTGAACTATATTGTTGTTAGGCTTTGTATGTAGTATACATACACAATATATTACTTGTGTTCTTATAGGCTTGCCCAGGACTGTTTAATATTGAGATTGGAGATCTTCAGGTTGCTGCTGTAAGTAGCGTTGGCGGACTAGTAGGTGACACTCTTCCCTCTGGACCAGAATTTCCCAACCAGTGCCCCAGCATAGTGAGAGGTGCTATCGTTCAGATGAGATGTTAACCTGAGCACTGCTGTGTCATTAAGATCCCATGGCACTGTGCCTAAGAGGTTTAACCAGGGTATAGTGGCTCAAGTCCACTTCGGGTTTGCTTAATCTGGCCCGTGGAAATTTCCCCTTTAATTTAAGTGGTTGAAGAAATCAGTCACTTATGTCGTTGTCTGGTCTGTAGCGGGGTTGTTGGTGCAGAATCCAGTAGTTGCTGTGCAGCAACATTGCCATCATTGGCCGAATCACCGGTAACAACAAGATGGCCTACAGGGATGAGCCTGGTGGAGTGGTGCCTTGACAATGATCTCTCCCTCAACATCAGCAAAAACCAAAGAGCTGGCTGTCAATTTCATAAAGCGGGGTGGGGACCACCCCCCTATTCACATCAATAGGGTGGCTGTAGAGATGGTTAGCAGCTTCAAGTTCCTGGAAACCTTCATTAGTTCATTAGCAGAACAGCATCTTTACGTCCTCAGACAATTGAAAAATAAACAGGTCTATCTTTAAATATTCTTCCTACATTTTACAGGAGCGCTATTGAAAGTGTGCTCACGTGTGGTATACCAGTGTTGGGCAGCAGCTTGTTGTCTGATTGAAAGGCATTACAGGGGGATATCAGGTTAGCCCTGTCAGTTATTGGAGTACAGCTCTCCTCTATTGTGGGCATTCTGACTTTTATTTAAGATGAGTGTTATTTAACTTTGTTGCTGCTGCTGATGTCCTTCTGTGTTTAAGTTGGCGTTTCCTTAGTTTTGGAGCAACAGTTTTGGAGCTGTTTTGGAGCAAACATGCAAATAAACATTTGATTGCATTTGTGCATTTGACTAATTAAACTAAACTATGACTAACTGAACTCTGTGGTGAAGTGGGTCCACCTCTTAGCACTGAAAAGCACATTAGTCTTAGAAGACTAATCCCAAACCTGGGAAATTCACTTGGTAATATTGCTTCACAACCTTCACCAATAAAAAAAGACACAAATATACAAGTACACAAAATACAATAAAATACAACATAAAATACTACAAGAAACATCATACACCAGTGCAGTGATTGAGTACTTTTTAACAAGGTACATTTATCAATGTACATTTAATCAATTGACCAATTTTAGATGCCAATAACATTTGACGTGCTCATTTGACAGTGTTTGCAAATAGTCAGTATGACACAAAGTTTATTTTAAGGGCTTAGGGTCCTCAGGGTCAGGGTATTTGACTAAATACCTGCAGCACTAGACTATTCTGAGTGTGTTTTTACATGTGGAAGTAGGAGGGGAGGGACAGTATTCTGTATGTCTCACCATCAGACTTGATCAATTCATGAAGGGTGTGGTGGGACAACAAATGTCTGTTATTTCTTTTGCAGGGGTGTGGTTCAAAAGCTCTTGTCCTTGAAGAGGCAGATCTAACTCATCATCTCTTCCTTTTATCTCTTTTTCTCCCCCTGTGTAAATGACTTCTTTAGAGTTGTGGGTCATGTTGAAAGTCATGTTTTTCAGTTTCACTGCAGCCTAGACCCACTGGAAGACAATGAGGTATATTGGTGTCCTGTGTCTTAAATGAAATTTCGATCTCTTTTAATCACTCTGTTCATATTCCTTTTTATTTTTTAGTTGAAACCATGCTATGTCCTGTAATTGTAACTTTATGGTATTTAAAAGTACCCGAGAGATTACACTGAATGTGACTACTAAACATACCTTTCTGTGCTGTGCCAGAGTTGGGGAATATGTGTCGTCCTGTGAAGAGGAGTCCGGTAGGCCATGGCAGTATTTAAGGTGAAACATCAGGATGCTTTAAGCAGTTTTCCACTGAGATTTCGCACATGACGTCTGTGGGAGGAGGTTGTCTATCAGTCCAAAAATCACAATGTTTCGCTCTTAGCTGCTTCACCAACCAAAGCTTTGGGATTGTTACCTGTTCTGTGGGGATTGAACCCTGATAAGAGTGCATTGGTCTACTGATTACAGCAACAAATTGGGCAGAAAAAAGACTTCACTAAATTAAAATTGGCTTTCAGAACGTGCCCTCCATTCTTTTCATACTGCTAATAATTAAAAAATAATCTCAATCAACTTTTAGATGGGAAATGCCAAAAAGTCTTGAAAGGCTTTTGTATTATTCATGAGACTTTACTTAGTCTTTTGAAGGTTCTCTGAGTCTTTTTGCAAAGGTTCTTTGAAATTAACTAACCTTTTGCACTGAAAATTAGCTTTTGTGAACATAATTCTTCGTTGATCTCATCTATCTCAAGTTTTCATGCTTCTGTGTCCCGTACCTATCGAGCTCCACAGTGATTCAAATGGATCTGAAGGTGCAGGCATCTTTTTAAACATTAACTGAACCTTTCCTTTGTCAATGGCCATTTTCAGCTTCTTATCAGGGAAGATGCATTAACATGATTATGGAGAGTGGGGCTCAGTTTCACCCGTCTGCTTTTGTCTTTTTTCCAGAATCTTATTTCTCACAGCATGCTTGTGCCTCTTGTTCTTCTAACACTCTCATATCAGCTGGTTTTGTGCTTTTTCTTGTCTTGTACTCATACTGTAGCTCAAAAGTAACAAGGATTTTATCTTCATTTGCCTTACATGTCCCAGCTGCCTTAGAGAATATGCTTGCCGTTCTGATTTACAGGGGGACTGCTAAGCACTTAACATATGCTCCTAGTTTTATTGTCTTAACATTCCACAGCTGAAGTGTTTACTGGATAAGCTTTGCTGATGACATGTCTTTCAATTTAAGCTCTGTCTGTGTAGTGATTTCGTCCTTAGCTCTTCACAGATCACAATTCAGAATGTTTCAGCTTTGAAATGAATCTGCTTACTATGAGACTGTGGACAGATGATCAGGTCCTGGTAATGAAACAAGTGTTTCATCAGCATCAGCAGCAGTGTACACTATGTATTTTGTCATAAAACCATTCCTCTCAAACCTTGGGTCACTTTTTATGACATTCAAAGATATTTGATGTTCCTGAGATTGGAAGATCTAGACTTTGTACAACAAGCCCCATGTAGTCAGGCTAAGTCTGGTTCACGCCCTAACCTGGGGTGGAGACCAAAATGCAATTCTGCTCTTTTAGTTAAAGCACTCTTACAATTATCAAATAATCCTTTAGCCTCATTGTTTAAGCAATCGAGCATTTTTTTTGTTTTCAGGCAGTGGGAATAGCAGTAAAAAACCTGGAAGGAAACAAAATACAATTAGTACATTGGCCAGGGTTACTGATGGTCCTCCAGTGCACGCAGCTTTTTTTCTATATGCACTTTCTTTTTTTAAATTCGGAAGCCCCAGTGATCCCTCCCAATTTGGAATTGATCATGAGGCAAAATCTGCCTTTACTTCTGGGGTCAAAGGAGGAATGAGGATCACACACAGTTGCCTTGGAATCGTGCCCTACCTTGGAATTGTGCAGTAGCCACCTACTGCTTCCTAATTCTCAGTTCTCCCTAACGGCACTGCAAACGCAGCAGGCGCCGGGCACGACACGCAGTGGCGTATGCTGTAAATCCTGGGGCAGGTGCAAGCCCATTCTGACACAGCGGGCGCAACTGACAGTGACGCAGCCCAGACGCGGACTATCGCAGCCACAGACTTCACCCTGCACTCCAGACCTGAACTATCGCTCCTGGCTCCGTGAGCTCTTGTTGAGCCATGAAGTAACAGCCACGCGATATGTTCAGGCATGGCAAACCTCAGACCAGACTTGGTTTTGCTTCAGCACTGCTGTATTCGGGTTTAAATCTGGTGTGTGTGTGTGTGTGTTTTTAAAGCAAAAGGTATTTTTTTGCCTTTTTTTTTTTACCACCCCGTGCTTTGGCATGCTTGGCCCCTCTTTTCTCTTGACTGAAAATGGCTTCCGCAGCCCCCCACGGTTTTTCCTTCACCGTCCTCTTCTCTTGCAGTAATGGGCAGCCTCGCCTGTGGTGTTCCTCTGGCCAGGCAGAGAGTTGCAGGAGTTGGGTGTCTGGCTGCCCGTGTCTGTTGCTGCTGCTGCCTCGCCTGCCCCGCGCTCAGTGAAAGCTGCCGCAGCCTCTCCGCCCTGCAGGCCCGAGCTGGGGCAGCGCGCCGGCCCTCTCTCACTGTCCCTTCCTTCCTTGTCTTTACAGGGTTGGCGTGGATCCGGACCAGGATCCTCAGCCCTGCGGCGACAGCTTCCAAGTGCTTCAAGGAGTAAGTCTGCCCACGTTTTCATAGGCACTGTCCAGCACTGTGCCCTCTGGAAAAAAGAAACCAAGTCAGTCTCTACCTCGCATTGTTCTGTGCTGAGGTTAAAACATGCACTGCCACCTCATGCATGCAAATCTCATATATTTTTAAAGGTTGTCCGTTTTAAGGGTTGTACAGTATCGTGTTGCACTTTTGTTTTTGCTTTTGCTCTCCCTTTTTCTGAGCTCTTTTCAGCTGTACTGTGTTTACGTAGGAACTAATTTACCAGCCCTCCATATTCGTTTTCCAATTTGGGATATTTAGTTCAAATTTTCCCCTCACCACAACCTTCTACAAGTTAACCATTCAAAGATTTTGGATGCGACAATGCAGAATGAGCTCCTGTCTTACAACAGGCCTTATTAGCAGATAAGCATAAATCAAATTCAAATTACATGACTGGTGTATGTTGCCAAAACTTATACAGTCAATACAACACTACTTACAAACACATCAAAGGACATTTTCGTGCAACGTACAACACATTAATTAGAGACCGACTCATTATTCCTCAGGCTTTGACTGGAGATCATACTGTATGCTGGGCTGCCAGCTCAACTGAGTTTCCCTCCCTTCCTCTCCCAGTAGGATTTGGAGCCCAATCAGTCAAGACCACAGCCGTGATCTTTGCCTACTAAGTAAATATCACAGAAGGGAGACTGATCCCAATCAGTTTTCCCCTCTTGGTTTGTGAAAATGCTTTGCAATGGTTCTCTTCTTAGGCGTTTAGCCCCAGCTGTTCTCAAATCGAATCAAGTCCTCGGTTTGCTGCAACACTTGTTACTTCATTCACATGCAAGTTCACCAAGTACTTTCGGTGTCACAAGCGGTTGAATACAGTGTTTTAGAAATGACTAATGACTGATCTTTAGGCTTCTCTCTCTTTACTTTTCTCCTCTACTGAGAAAAAAAAATAGAAATTAATGTTTTGACTTAATGTCATGGTAAAAAAAAAACTCGCACTCAATCGGGTCATGCCTCACCGGCGGGTGTGAAATTAATTTAGGGACTGTACAGCTCGGTTTCGGTTTACCAATCCTAGCCTCGTCTCACTACCTTCTCCAAAAGAGGTGCTGGTACCTTTTTGCATTGTAGCTGCTGTCTTAAAATCATATAAACATTGCTCTGCAAAAGTGAAAATGACTGCATGAACCATTTTGGCATGTGACATTCTGTTTAAAGATGGGGAAAAAGATGTACCACATTCAGTCGCTTTGTATGTGATTCAAAATATCTGAAAACCAAAGGCTTGCTCTCTGCAATATCTGCAGATTTCCGTACAAATTTAACACATAACTTGATTTTGCTTGCTTAAACATGGAAAAATTCATTTGTTTTAACTCCCACATTTACTTCAGACAGCTCGCATTACATCAGAAACCTCCTGTGGCCCATTCTGTATGACCGGCCTCTGCTACCTTTGGTGTTCTGTATTTCTTTAGTCTTCCATGGCTTTATTTGCACTCTATTTCTTTTGTTAAGGGACAAGCCTCAAAATAATGGAAGTTTAAAATCTTTCTCATCTCTTATACGTTGACCTTGTTCCTTCTGTTTCTGGTCATTCAGACAATGTCCATGTGTGAAATAGATTTCATTTCATGTCTTTAAAGGATGGGACCCAGCCGGAAGGTGGGAGCAAAACGAAACAAGAGAGTGCCTGGCTCTTCAGACGGTGGTACAGTTTTGATCACAAGTATCCTTTGTCCATTGTCTACGCACTGCGCACAGAATGGCGCGTGATATATAAAATAATTTATCTGCTGTTATCACTCTTATTCAAAGCAGTTTTTTTTTTCTCCAAGAGCTTTATTTTTCTCTCCCTGCCCGTAACTTGTATACAACAACCATGGCAGATGGAGGCACATTCGTTGCCTTTTGATTTATTTTTTTAAATTAGTTTTTCTAGTGTGCTTTTCTGGTCGGTGTGTTGGTCATTATACAGGAGCCGTCTGTGGCACAGTCATGGGTATTTACTGTCGTTATATTGACTGTCAAGGCAGTACAGTGGATAGCGTTGCGGCCTCAAAACCTCGGGGTTAGATCCCTGCTTCAGACATCTGTCTGTGTGCATGTCTGTTTGTGTGAGCTTTCGCTCTGAGCTTCGGTTTCTCTCTATGGCTCTGTCTGAGGGAGAGTTGTCAAGTGCTTTCAGTCCTGCTTTGTTCCTTGTGCTTATAGAAAAAACAGTGACAATAAACACAATGAACACAAGGATAAGTAGCTTTCTGGCAGTAAATGGGTGGATGGCACTGATTCAGCACAGCCCGCAAGACCCTTTCTTGCAGGGAATCGAGTTGGAAAGGAAAAGCCTGCAAAACAATTGAGGAAACGCTTAAGACTGTACCTTATACATCAACTATTAGACTGTAAAAACTGATTTGAAAGGCATTACTATAACAGAAGCAATAACAGGCACCCTCTTGCATAGTTTTATGTTTTGCTCTAGGAGGTTCTTGAGTGACATTGGTGATTCTTGGGAATTGCTTCTCTTTTTGCAAAATGTGGTCATTGCCTCAGGTAATGGATGAAAATCATGAGACTGTGCTCTTCAGAGCCGGGTAAGATCAAGTCATGGGTTCCCAAAGGAAGGCTACAAGCAGTCTGAAGTGAATGATGATGATGAAGAGGGGGGGATTTGGGAGAAATTAAACCTGCTTGCAGACAATTCAGCCATTTTCTAGAGTCATGTGCACACAGCGTGCACTGTTTAACCATTTCTTATAGGAGTCAGTTAACTGTCAGGATATTAGAAAAAAGGTTCTGTAAGAGATACACAGAACATGCTGACCACCTACTGAGCTTTAACACCAACAAGTAAAGCATGAAGTAGTGAGCTGGTCTTTGATCACCAAGCGCTCGTACTTCCTGGCAAAGTGTTTTTGCACATCTCAGATACAGGCCTCTTTGCACAGGAAGTCCCATGTTTCTTTATTGGTGTGTCAGGCATAAGACAGGACGGATGTTTGCTTTGAGCTCTCTCTCTGCCTTTGCTGCCCACATCAGAAGCGCTGAAATTGAAACACTTGCTTCTGACTCCTCTTGTCCCTCCTACATATTTGTGAAAGCTTTCCATCTTGCTTAAAGTGGTTTCAGACACGAGGCCCTTGTTAGACTGGAACTAGGAGCAAAAATGTCCGCATGTGGCCACAGAAAGTTCAGATGTGCGCTGTTGAGCAGACAAATCTGTTTTCTGTGCCTCTCACACCGTTATCATTTTGCTTTTATGCCCATAAAGTTCAGGAGTAATTATGTTTTTAAAAGCTGGGTTTGAGCTCTTCCTCACTCTTCCTCTGTGTTGGTCGGATTCTACTTCCAGAATCTGATGTCTCTGAAGAATCCCCCTCCTTTCCCCCTGCTTCCCCAGCTACTCGTAAAGTCTAGCACACTCTTGCCAGAGTTCAGCTTGAATTCTGCATCATTTATAGTTCCACCTTTGGTAAAGTGTGAATAAAAAGCCGTCCCATTTCTGAAAATTCACAGAGCTTATACAAAAATCCAATCCTCCTGATTTAGTGGGAATCGTATTCTTCCCCTCGTGGCTAATTTAAAATTTAAACAGTGGTTTTACGTTCTGTATAATTTTACCCCTCTTGAATTTGTTCTACAAATTCAGGCAGTAAACGAGCAGTTTAAAAGTAGCACGTGATACTGGCATAGAAACGGGTCACGACTTTTTAGACTTGTCTGATGTTTTAAAAGTTAAGTGATGGTCTATTGACAAAGTAAGGGGAGATAACTGTAGGAACAGACTTCCTTTTACGTGACCCTCTCTAACATGTAAAAACTTTCCTTACAGTAACCAAATCATTTTAGGAACTGTGGCAGTGGTTCCCAGTCATAGTCAAAGGAAATGAAACTGAGGGGTATGTGTAATAAAACATCTGAGCCAGCAAACACATCAGTTACAGTCACCAGTTAACATTTGCCAGCAGACACACATGGAACTTCAGCACCAGGACTGAGAACCACTTTTTAGGGGGACATAAATTAAAACAGCACACATTGCTTTTTTTTTGGGGTGTTCAAAGCGCTTGTTTTATATTTCAAAACAGAAGCACATCTGAAGGGATGAAAGTGATGTGTTGATGTTGCTCTTTGTTTGCAGTAGACATAGCCTCCTGTTATTTCTTTGTTCTTGTTTTGTGTGTGTGTGTTTTTTCCAGTTTTGACACCATGAATTACAGTGTTATAGTAATAGTAATCCTTTACTGTGCCCCACGCTGTTCCTGTGACAATCTGATCCACCATAGGTCAGAAGGAGGTCTCCTTGACAGAACCAAAGCTAATTTTCAATCCACCTCCCTTCCACCTCAGTATTTAGCACAAAACAGTAGCACACTTATTTGTATTTCCTGTTTATTTTTTGCAGAACAGAATCTTTTCATGGTTCATGACGTTCACTGGCTTCTGTCGTCCTAGGTTATTACACATCTGGGAAAGGGAAAGTGCTTGTGTTTGTCAAACCCATTTTGGTGTAGGCAGACATCCCAGCTTTTAACAATTGATTTCAGAGAAGGGGGTCGTCCCTCCTGTGAACACATGCAGACCAGGGGTCCCCCTTGAAAAAAATCACAGCTATATAATTAAATGATTCGCTGATAGATACTATAATATATATGCAATACACTAGAAATACTGTAACTCACCAGTCCAGTTGAATAATCTCGCTGTCTTTGCAAGCTTGCGTTGTACAGAGATGCGGCGTGTTTAGCAGATTTGAACAGACTCTCAGAATGATCCAGATCATATTATAGAATTAAATCATTCGCTGATGATGTTTTTTTGGATCGGGGGTGTTGCCAACGGAAAAATGTGGGAGCGGGGGGCGATTTCCGTGAGGTTATGGATCACTTGCGGGAGTCAGAGAGGAGACGCTGATTTCTGGGAGACTCCCGGAATGTCCTGGAGACTTGGAATGTCTGTGTAGGAAGCGGGGGGGAGCAGGGACTTCAGGCATTGGTAGAAGGACTGGCTTTAAATACAAAATGTTCTCGTTAAAGTTCTCACATGAGCTGTGCGTGTTGTGGTGCTTAGGAGCCAATTTTGTTGGCTGTGCTGCCTTGGTCTGCTGTCTGGCCTTTCTCTGGCCACTGACAGTGTGAATCTCTGTACATTCCAGGATCTAGAAGGTTCTATGGGAAGCAGCGTGAGGGGGTGGTTAGAGCTCTGAAGTCTTAACTGGAAGTCAGTGGGTTAAAAATCCCATTCGCCAGCACTGTTGTTGCACCCTCAAGCGAGGAATGTCTCAGTTTGCCCCAGTAAAAACGCCCATCTGCAAAAATGGGTACAAATGTATTTTTGCTTTGGATAAGAGTTAATCAGATTGAAAAAAAAAAAAAGATTTCTGCTTTGGCTCTTTAAAAAGAACCAGTTTAGCTTCTTCCAAGGAATACCAAATCTCAAATGAGGTAAAAATTCCTTTTCCAGCTACACAGGAACAGAGCAGGGTTTGTTCAGTCTGTATGTTAAACCCTTTGCCTGCTGAAGTTGATCAGGGAAGCTCTTCTTAATGCTTTAGCTTTTAGTTTATTGCTCCTCATTGATTTTGCTCAGCATTATGTATGCATTAGATACGTTTTTTAGGGATGGGTCTTGAAATTCCTTAAATCCTGAACTTTAATTGAAAATATCTGAACAGCTGAGATTCCAAAAGTTTTGTGTTTCGGAACAATATTCCTGTTTATAAACTGAGTTGGAAATAAGAGCTCTTCTGTCATTGAACCACTCAGCTCAATTGCTCCTGCACACTTCAGTTTGTAGGCCTGCGTGCACCTGCAGTATACAGCACACTCAATCGCAAGCTTTGAAAGGTGTATATTAATTCAGATGGTTTACATTAGAGCCATTAAAAACAGGGCATTTTAGAACCAGAAAGTGAACACTGCTCTTCTTTTATTATAGCCATTGAAGTAATGTGCTGTGAATTACATTTGCTCTCGGATATATTGACTCTCTAAGTGCTTGCTCCCTTATGAATCACTAAGTGCAAGTAATGATGTAGATGTGATTTATACCAAGCAGGTCTTTCCTAAAGCTTTTTTGTATGTAGTCGTACCAGCATGGAACAAAGCCATAGGCACCCTATGTAAATATTTGAACGTCTTCAACCAGGGTCTGAGTTTTAAAAGGCTTTTTTCAGCTGACCTTTTTCCTGTTGCCTTGTGGGGTCCCAATGCTGTTAATGTTGCCTTTTTTTTATTCTCTTCCTGATGTTCCTTTCACTGCTGTGAAGGCGAGAGGAGGCGATGAACCAGGTTCCGGTTAAGATAGCTCTTGCTAAGTTTTCAGGGTCAACAGTGTTTCTTTCCAGGAAAATGTAAAACATTCTGAAGGCCCTGAGAGTTCTCATTAGGCTGGGAAAGGAACATCCCAAAAGACACATGTTGTAATATCACTGCATACGTTTCCACCAGCAGAGCAGATGCAACACTCTTTACTTGTTTGTTATCTGATCTAAAGTGCTTCAGGTGGGTAGCTGCGTCAGCATGCAAAGGCTGCAAAGGAACAAGTAATAGGTTTATTCCATGCTGGAAAAAAAGAAGAAGAAAGAAAACACAACATTTCGGCCGTGGAGCCTTCTTCAGGTGTGTCAGGTGTGTCAAGAAGGCTCCACGGCCGAAACGTTGTGTTTTCTTTCTTTTTTTTTCAGCATGGAATAAACCTATTACGTGATCTAAAGTGAGCATAGCTATCATCTCTAGCCTCTGGTCTAGAGAAAAGGCTTAAATCCTATGGCTTTACTATACTTGTGCTTTTCATAATTATTTTCATATCCATTGCTTCTGCTTTCAAACCTCGGCGAAAGACTTTGAAGTGCTTGAAGATACTGTACTTCCCACTTTCAGGTTCTGTCACCTTCGAATGCTAGAAAAAGAGTGCTGAGAACAGGATGTAGCATATCTGATGACTGCAAGCCTCCGAACTGGCTTTTGTGACGAAAGAGCCGCGGTTCCCATTAACAACACCACGTGCTGCTCGCCTGAAATGCAGTCCCTTCGAAGTTGCTAGAACTGATTGAGGGAGTTAAAGACAGCTCAGCTTGGCAGAATTGCAGTTTGAAAATACTCATAACTCTTCAACCTCTGAGTTTTACTCCTTGACAGTAGAAACACTTCAGTTACTTGAAGCCAATCCTGACGCACAGTGGGCCTCCTCTCACCTCCACTCTACCTGCCTGCTGTGGGCCTCTGGCTCGATGCCTGACCAGTCCACAGGCCTACGATGTGAGTATGAAAGCCAAGGATGAATGAACAGCCTGGTACAGAAATAGCCAACGCCAATTTCTTTTTGTGTGTATTTCTGAGGTTAATGATTTTCATCTTCCCTTCCGTGACGGTTCATTTAGAAGGCCTCTTCTTTTAACAGAACACTCTCTGTCACCATCTTATCCAGTCTTGCTTGTTTACTGTTCTTTCCTCATTTGGCTACTGTGTTACTCTCAGGGCTTCACCACAGCCACAAGCTGCTGTTTCTTCAGACAAACAATTAGTACAAGACGGAGTCTGTGGCGCTACACCCATGCCTTCAGTCTCCTATTATAGACAGCCAGCATGGCCGTATTTGGCATTTTGAGTGGATATTTCCTTTAAAATCATAAAATAATTGTGCTGTTTTCCAAATGACCGTCATACCTGGTAAATCCGTGTAAATGTAATTGTCAAAATACAAAATTATTGTCTTGTTTTCTAAACAGAGGTATATATACAAGGAGGAGGTGTCCAAGGGAGGACATCAGGAAAACTGATACAAGGACCTGATAGTTTGGTCTTCCAAACTGAGTGTTAGGTACATTGTGGGCTAGAAACAGGATAAGTATTGCATTTCCTCCAGTAAGGTCTGGCCACTTGTTTTGCTGATTTTAGGGAACATAAAATTAAGAAATGAGGAGAGTTTACCTCATCACATTCAGGAGCATGTTTTGTTCATGGTGATGCTCTACTTGGTTGAAACAAATTGCAGACAAGTTAGAAATTCATTAGTTTATCAACTTCAGGCTGTTTCAGGAATAAATCTATAGAAACCCTTTAAAAGACCTTTTTACTGTTGTTTGTATACAGTACCTGTCATTATTTCACAGACATTAAACATAATTACAAAATTCTGAAATAATAGATAATATTCAGCCATTTTACACTCAATGTATAGTGACCATAATTAATGCTGTTGTGCTGTAGTTACGATTGTCACATAGGTCTCTATCTTGAACAGCTGAAATCAATCGAATGAGAGAAGCAAACATGCACACAACTTCAGCATAAGCAACACGCACAAATGAAAAACAACATCCTTATTACCATGAAAGGCATATACAGTAAATCCTGCAAGTTATCAGTACAGTTAATCTGAAGGCCTTGGAAATTATTATTAAAAGATATTATTGAAAAAGAATGTAAGAAGTGTGACTAATTATAGAGGCCATTCAAATCCTAACTCTAAGCTTTTCCATGTGTTGTTTTAAGGAACCTAGAGTGTAAGCTTTTGCCACTGTGACTGGGCAATTTGATCCAGACTCTCACAGCTTCCCGATTCCGGTCCTAAATGCACTCCTCCTTAATGTCCACTTGTGTCCTCAGGAACCAACTTCTGTGTTGGCCCTGAAATCGTCTTCTGGGTTGACTTTAACACCTACTGTATCAAGGTTTTCAGTAACTCCTTTTGAGTCCCCTCTGTAGTTAGCTGCAGTTCCATAATGAAAGATTGCTGAAAGATTAGTTCTTTTAATCTGTGAAAAGATCAAACCCTTGACTTGAATGATTCACTTTCTCAGCATCGTTTATCACTTTCTCAGCTTTTCACTCATATTTCTTAGTTGGGGACATAGATGGATCTGTATAAGCATCTTATCCCTTTTCATAAGTTGCTTCTTTAAGAGTTCCTACCTCTCTTGTATTTCTAATGTATATAGTACTTTACCTCACAATGAAGAGCTTTGGCTATAAAGAACCTGGTCTTTGAATCCCCAACTACTGTGCTGTAAAATGACCGTTTCTAAACAAATGGGACCACCCACACAGTAGGTACCACAAAAAGGATACTGAGCGATTTTACTCAGGCTTGGTTTACTGGAACACAAATATTTTTGTGGTTATATGCAAAACAAAGTGTGCATTTGCAGACGTTCGTTTTTTCTTCAGCCTCCGTGCAGAGCGCGTTAGTCGAGATGCTCGCATTCCTTTTTTTTAATGCTAGAACTCCTGAATTCGTTTTCAGTGTTTCTATCTTTAATGCCCTGCTCAAACCAGAAGAAAACATCTTGCCAGAGATCAAACCTGCTGCAATTGCTTCCTACGGTTGTTTTGCTGAAGGGTAAATGAGATTTCCAGTTTATCAGCATGGCGGCTCGTTGCTTCCTGTGAGAACAAAGTACCTCTGCCATTGGAACAGTGCAAGGAATTCACGGCTGCCCTGTGAAGTCTTGACCTCCCAATCACACTTTATTTTTAATTCTGTCGGCTCTGTAGCAACATGAACAAAGGACATCGCTGTCCGTAGGCATTCTCTTAGAAATGACAGCAGTCTTTTTTTGTAATGGAAATCTGCATGGTGTCGAAAGCGTTTGTTGCTGGAAGGTGAAGAGTGATAGGAAGTGAGGCGATAACTCCGGGTCAGTTAGAACCAATTTGACTTTAAATTGGTGGCATCTGCTTTACACAGCACAGCGGTGTGATAGCCTGCCTGTTGTCTCCTCCAGAGCAGACACTGTAACTCTTGTGCCAATCCAGAGTGACTGAAGTGAAGAAATGTCTTAAACTGATCATGAGAGTTTTAGTTCTAGCTCCATGCAGTCTTTTAGTTTCAATTGAGTGCTAAAGGGCATTCTACTGACTGTTATAAAAATATGTTGCTTTTATATAATAAAACAATAGGTCAGTTAGGATACACTGAAAACTTGGAGAGCATGAATGTGCTTAGTGGAGAAGATGAATAATATGACCTACACTACAGTGCCTTGCAAATGTATTGGGACAGCAAAATCAAAAGTGCTTTACAGTCAAACAATTTGTAAGTGTGATCATTAAATTAAGATGAACAATAAGTCTAATGTATTAGTGTTTATTTTTGGGTAATTCCATGCATACATTTGAACTTATCAGAACATGAACAAGGCACGTTCAATCTCATTATTCATTTTAAGGCAATTGTAGTGTTTAATTCAATTCAAGCTTTATTACCTCCTGGGGGAAATTTGTTTTACAATGCAGTCCAATGAAACAAGGACAGACAAACATTAACAACAGAAGGGACAGTACAGTAGTGTTACAGGAGATAAGAGAGTTATTTTACATTGTTTGACACGAGAATATTTGCTTGAAATATTTGCTGTACACTGCTTTTGTGACATACTGCATATTATACTATACCATGAAAGATTTTCACACATGTATTAAAGGTCACAATTCATTTAATTGGTGGACCAATTTCTCCCTTCTCCAGCTGATCTTCAGTGTAGTGAGGCTGCTCTTCAGTGATGGGTGATGTGGGTCCCCTCTTATAAGTAAAACGACGTGGGATTCTTTGGGATGAAAAGTGCTATATACAGTAGATGCAAGAAATCTATTTTTTGACACATTTGAAAGAGATAAACCTGTTTAACCCTTTATTGGGAAATAATGAAAATATTTTCTGCTTTGTTGGAAACAAAAAAAACTTTTTAAAAAACTTTTTTTTTTTAAAAAGGGAAGTTGTGTGTTGGCATCACTGTTTACAATAGCGCTGCCAACAAACCAACCACTTGCCGGTTAGATCTATCACAACTGATTTTGATCCTGATTTCTTTTAGATTTTGCTGGTATGCACATTTGACAGTGTTGCATAAATGTGATTGTGTGAAACTCTAATCCGGTTTCTGATCACAGCTTCCAAATTTCAAAAGTTGTCAATGAGACAGTCATTTCATTTTAAAGACCATGGCTTCTTCTGTGCAAAATACAATGTAAAGCAAATTCCCTGGTAGGCAGATCCAGTTCTTTATTTCACTGGTTTAGGAAGGGCAAACAAGTACGATTCCCGATTCAGTATGTTCATAGGGCCTAAGAAGCTTTTCCTTGTACATGAATCTAAAAAAAGTTTTCACGGTTATGCTAATGAATATGTACACAGCCCAATGCTTAAAGAAATGCAAGGCCGGCAAATTCCAATTTTTTCATCAGTAAATAAGATTTTATCGTGCAGCTTCTTAAATGTTCCAATGCTGCCTGGCTCCTGTTTTCCTCTGCCATATCTTAGCATTACTGCCAACTTTTGAACTTGGTGTTTTTGTAAGCTGGTGCGGGATGTCTTTGTATTGGAGCATACATACAAATAAGCATTTCATTGCACTTTTGCATACGACAATGAACTGAACACTCGTCCCAAGGATCACTTGTCCAGCAGGATGGCCGTTCTGCTGCTTTTCTAGAATTTCCCTGCGTTTTTACATGTTTGGAGAAGGGAAATGTGCGCTGTGGGGAAAAAAAATGATGACAACTGCTACTAAGTGGTGCCCCGCCCTCCCCTTCTCCTTTTTTGTGACTCCTCAGTGTCCTTCATAAACAGTGTGTGTGCCTGTCATCTCCCTCCCCCCCCCTCGCCCCCCTCCTGTCTCACTGTCGCTGTATCTGCAGAACCAGGAGCAGCTGCATGACGCCGACTCTGACCTCATCCTCAACGATGGCGACCTCACGCTGACCTACGGCGACACGGCCATCACTGCCAACGGGGCGTCAGCCGGCCGCGGCTCGGCGGCAGCGGGGCTGGAGATCAACGGCAGGCGGGGCGGGGGCGGCGGCGCCTCCGAGGAGGCCCTGGAGAGGGAGCTGGAGGGCGGGGACCACGAGGTGCTCAGCCGGGGCACACGCCTGGTGTTCCCCATCGAGGACCACGCCTGACCCCCCTCTTCCTCTCCCTCTCCACCCTCCTCCCTCCCCCCCCCCCACCCACACCCCCTCCGCAAAGCCCAGGACCCCGACTAGAGCCCAGCCGAGGGCAGGGACCGCGCAATGGGGGGGCTGGTTCGAGACCCGTCGTGTCCCTGGGGGAAGAGGCCCTGTGGGCCGGCCTTCCCCTGATCATCCAGTCTTAGCTCTCGTTTTAGGAGCGAGGAAAAAAAAAAAGTACGGCATTTCGTTCTTCTCAAGGGCGGACTGAAGGAAAATGGGAGCCTCACTCACCCCCCCCACCTTCCCTGTGAAAGGGGTCTTCATCGGCGGCGAGACGACGTACTGTTTGTGGGCTGGCTGTGGTTTTTTTCAATGCTTGTGTGAAAAGGAGAATTCCCAGAACGTAAACCGCAGAACTCTGGAACCTTTTGGGAAATTAGTCCGGCACACAACTGCTGTACCTCTTTTTAGAGGTGTTACTAGATTTTAAAGGAGAGACGCTTAACTGAGCTAGGACCCATCACTTCATCGTAAATCATTCAAGCACATTTAAATGCCGAGCAGAGGTACAGATCTGTGCAGCCAATCCATTGTCCTCATTGTGTTGCATTGCTGCTAAAAAAGACTCTCGAAGAAAGGCCAGCAGGTCACCACACCTCTGCTATCTTGTGAGCCATAACCTCCGCTAATCAACTGGAAGATCGCAGTACGCATGAAACTAAACCAATAAATGTAATCCCTTTTTTTTAACAAGTGCGGTGGCTATCATATCATCCCATACAGACCGATGGACAGTAAAAGTGACAATGTCATTCAATCAGTTGTTTCGGGTTTCTAAGCATTGCAGAAGACATTATGACATTTTTGTTTTTGCTCTAGATGCAAGAGCCAGAAATGGGTGCAAGCAATGTCTAAATGCTCTTGCGTGTGTACATAAAGAATCCATTTGTATATCAAGGCATTATTTCACACGAGACACGTGGGTCAAGAACATGAGAAGTCCTGTTAAAGTGACAATGTTTTATCATGAATAGTTATAATGCTTTTATTTATAGTCCGTGGTAGACAGGCATTGTGGCTTACTTGTGAGACCAGATACCAATGTCTTCTGCAACTATTGCTTTTGTCAAAATGCGAAATGCCTGGAACTGCCCTTTCACTGCATCGACAGTAAAAGCACTGTTTGAATCACACTTGTACTACTAATAGGAGCCCTGCTGATCTTCACATAGATGTGCTGTTTTTTTAGTCACCCACACTCTGTTTTTCTGGGATCGAAGCACCCTATCTGAACAAGACGTGTGGTGCTTTTCGGTCTCCCCAAAGGCACTAGAACAGAGGCTGGGGCAGCAGACTGCATTATTCCTGCAGCCAAAACAGTACCTATTTTCTTCTCAGAAGGCAGGCTCCCTGAGCTCACCATAATACAAAGTCATGAAATCTGACAGAATTGTGTTGGAGCAATATCCTGGTCTGTGTTAGCCACTGTAGATCAGTAGTGGGTATTGCTTTTGATTTAATGACCAGGGGGAGAAATCAAGAAGGCAAAGAATGCCGAGATTTTGGCAGCATCTTTTTTCCCCTCAAACAACAGAGAAGTAAGAATAGATGTGTTTAATAATCAAGAACAAATGTTTTAATGTATTTAAACCTTCCCGTACCTCACCTCACGATCGATAGTATTTCTCTTTTCATATAAAGGGCCGGTTCATTAACATTTGTGAAGGTAAAAGATCTCCTGTAGCCTGTGATCTTTTCATAGGAGGATGCCTAACCATTCTGGCCAATTTCCTGAACAGATTTTCTGCATTGGCACAAAGGATGCTTAAAGTGGTTTCCCTGCAGTTGTCCTGTTATAGCAGAAAAATCTGCAGCACTGCATGTAGTGAGTGTTGTTAGTGAAACTGCTCTCCCGTGTATAGAGCACTCCTACTGTAGTTGGACTGCAGCTGTTCTGAATGAGACCATCCTTGGGGAATGAATAAATGGTTGAAGGTCCTGTGTAGTTAAGATGTCCTGCTTACTAACTGTTCAGAAACCTGAGGATTTTCTGAATTTGAAAATGAATAACAAATGAAATCATCAAAGTTTCTAAAGTCATTGTGAGTACTTAATACTAGTAAAAAAAAATCTGTGCACACTAACTTTTTCAATTGTCACTTTGGGTCTCTTAAAATGGTGATAATGTATACAGTGAGCTCCAAATGTTATAATCCGTACCCGAGGATCAATTGCACTTTTAAAAAGATCCGAATTTTCTCCTTGTGAGTTTGTCATTGCTTCAGCCTTGTGGCCGAAGCAATAGGGAGTTCTAATGGGGACTGCGCATCACTGGTGAGTGAATAGTCCCTCCAAGACGTTAAGTGCTTTGGGATCCTTTGCGTTGAAGAAACATTGTATAAATGCAGTGAATAATAATGTTTTAATTCTTCTAATCATGAAAACATTGTGCTTCATAGGCTTCTTTGTGCTAAGTCATTACAAGGACTGTTTCAGCTTAAAGCCTGACTGTACAGAATGTTAAAAGGCTACAGTATCTGTCTTAAGCTCATAAGAAAAGGTCAATGTGGACAGCACTCATTACTGTTTAATGTACTGTTTATAGCATCTTACCTGAACTGCTGTAAACTGTTGATGCTGACTTCTTGAAAGTTAAAACTTTCCTTCCATTTCTGGAGCCCAATCTACAGACCTTTGTGAATTAATTTAAATATCCCAAAGGCTCAACAGCCAGTGAATATGTACCAGTCATTGATAGTATGATAGGATAACAGTCTGCATCTTTGGTCTGTGTTTTGGGTTATTGGAAGGGGACAAGAACAAAAATCTGTATATTTCCATTTTTTGAAGAGGCCACTTTTAGGAGTACTCAGAACTAGTTATTACTGACTATAGCTTATACATTCTAAAGAATTCACTTTTGATATGGGTTATCAGTTGAGTTATTGCAGCTATGGTCTCAAACAACAGGAGCAAGGTTTAATACTGTGAAAACTGTACGTCTCTAACTGAGTTTCTTTGCTGTTTTGAACTGTATGATACCTGAGTAGGAGTAGGGCTGTCCCCCTCTTACGGAACAATCAATGGAGTCATTCCTTTTCAGCTTTGCGTGTCCTCCTTAGCAACGTGTGTACTGTGAATCCTGCAGGGAGATCACTCTTCCTGATGCACTCATTGAGGCTCGTAGGAATACCTTGCAACTCTGTTTCATTTGAGATGTTCTGCATGTGATATATCTGTCAATAAAAGCTGTGCTGCAGGCTGGTATTATTTTGGTTTTATTTTTAAAGAATACAGTATCTTGACTCTTTGACCCTTGCCATCAAGGCTTTTAATACTTTATCCATAATTTGCCTTAAGGCGATTAATTATGCTACATACTCATTACGTTTTTTTGTGTTCACCATCACCTTTGATATAGATTTAATTTTTCTTGGGTCCCATGAGTACAAATGCCCCTGTATGGTCCATGATGAGCTTAAATGTTGTTCTTCGACAAGATCTCACTGAAGTCACAAGTGTGCAGGGTGGCAGCAGGATGGTTTGTGGGATTGCAATCGGGTGGTTAGGTGTGCTGAACTTGGTAATAGTGCTTCTTTCATCAAACCAGTTAAAAAACTGCCCTGTGCTCACCCTTGTTTAATTCAAGTCCGACAAGGAATTTATTTTCAGATGGCTTTGCATTAAACACTGGTTGTCTGGATCGTGTCCGTTTCCAGACACTTCCTTAGTGCTGTCATCACTGCGGAGGCCAAGCCCAGAGGTTGATCTTTCACAAAAGGCTCCTTTTTCGCGATTCCCACCTGTGCCTTAAAAACATCGTCAGCTATTATCTAGAATCAAAGGTATTGCGATCTACTTTATTTTCAGGATAAGATGGGTTGGAAATGATACTCAAGCAGGAAAAAAACACCAAGGAACCACCTGAAAAAACACTATAATCCATAAAAAAAAAATATAATATGGATGTTAACATGATAGGATCTTTTTCAATGAGAAATCTCCTTTCAATTACATTCTGTTCCACCAGATGGTGTGGAGTTATGTATGAGGGGATTAAACTGTTTATAAAGGCTTATTGACATAACATGGTACAAATGGTCGGCCTCCTGTGTTGCCAGTTTGAGGCTTTGAATTTCCATTAACTCAGCACTGATGATTCCAGACTCACACTTAGGCGCCGTGTCTTGAGTTTTTGTCAGTCAACTGTAACTGTTGCAGAACTCCTGTGGTTTGCTTTCACTTCTTTCTAACTACATGATGTTACTCAGCTGTGCCTTGAGAGCTGAATATTGCTTAATACACAGAATTCAGCCAAGCCTGGGAAATATCACTGTACCAAAAAGTGGATTTGTCTTCTATTATTTAGTCTTCGTGTCACATATATTGCATATATCCCTGCCAATTCATGGCTTAATATTGTCTGGAGAGCTGAGGCTTCAACAAACCTTGTTTTGCTTGTTTTTCCTTTTTCTTGTTCAAGCTAGAAACCACCATGGTTGAGATACTGTATATGGTTGAGGTGGTCCGTGTGGGACGTTCACATGAGGTATTTACTGGGTTCCATGTCTGTTTAATTGCACTCCTATCTGTCTCCCCTCATGTAAATGTGTCTTAATGAGGCACTCATTCAATAAGCAGGAGCAGTGGCAGGTTTTAAGCTGATTGATCCCTCAGATTAATTTATTGCCTTCTCTGCACAGCTTTCTCTCCGCTACAGATTGCTTGCTACATGTTTTTCTGAGCCCTTGAGGAGAACATAACACCAACTAAAAATAAATCTACACACGCTCATGTGCTACTATAGCTGTTTTACTCTTTGGAGTAAAGTAATAGGTAATATCCAATCACAGTGCCTGAATACACACAAATGTACACCCTTAATGTTTCAACACACAGGTATGGTAAAATTAGTATAGTCTCATTCATTAGATTGTTCTCCCTGTCTGTTCTGGGCATGGAGGGGACTGCTGTCATCTGACACAGACGGGGAGTCTTGCATACCCTGAATTAAAGCAAACACAAATCAGCATTTTCTATTTAATCAGTTTAATAAATAAAAGAGGGGGCTATGTAAGCCCCATTGCTCCTCAGCAACATCCATTCTTTTGAGTCCAATGCAGCAATCTTCTTTTTCATTAATTGTGTTGCAATGGTAATTAAAAAAAACTCAGGCTAACACATAGTCAGGTGGGAACTGAAAGCCTTTTTGTCAGAGACACTGTTGCATCCATCTGGGTTGTGTGTAACTCAGGAATATGGTACATTCTGCATTTAACACTTTGGTGCTTTTTAAAAATACTTGTACAAAGTTGTGTGCAGATACAGAACTATAAAAGGGAAAGACAGTGCTAGTCTGGACAGGAATTCCTGTGTCTGACAAATGAACAGACAAACGCATCAATCACTGAAAACACCGAAGACCTGCCCCAGAACCCTCTTCTTTGGTTCTCCCTATGGCAGTAAGTTGCCTTTTATTTCCCCAAGAAAACAAAAACTAAAAAACATTTCTGGTTTCTTTGTGGTCCTTGTGACCCTCTTGACAAATCACAGGACATTGAGAGGCCAGAGGTTTGTTTTTACAAAGACAGGCAACAGAAGGAGTAGTCACAAAGTATTGCACAAAGGAGAATGGAGACATGAGTGAAATTTCAAAATACCGCAGTGGGAGTTTTGAAGTTAGACACGTTGACTTTCACATGATGACATGGTTTCAGCAAGTGATTCAATACTTGCATAAGATAATACATTAGACAGATAATACTTGTATAATGTATAAGATGGAAAAGCTTTTATACGAGCATGAAGGGACTGCTGGCTGTGGTGCCATATTTGGCTCTTAGATATGCGGACTTCAGAAATTGTTTATAAAACGGTTGGTTGTCTGCATTCTCATTTTATACTTGTTCACTTTTCTATTTTTGCCAGTTACTGAAACCATACATTTAGAACCGAGATAAATCTGCATGGGCTAATAGTCTCATTTTAATTTTTCCACCAGTCTCGTTTATCTACAGCTTTCAGAAATTCACTGTTTTCAAGGACAAACTGTACCCATTATAAATCTACGATGCTCTCTGTAAACCAGGATTTTCTAGAGTTCTTGTCAAGATTGACGTTTGTGACTCTCCGATTTCTCTTCTGCAGATATTCTGACTTTTTATATACCGCAAAAGGAATAAAGGTGTTTGCTTAGGCTCCAATTAATTCCTTTTTTAATGCTTGTCTTGAAAAAGAAATGAACTAAAAATTTGGTATGGATTGTCTAGGTCTGAGGGAGCGTGTGATTAATGAAAGAAAACATTCTAAGGTGCTTTTGGTATGATGCATGTCAGTTTTCAATTCTTATAGTCTTGAAATCTCTCCTAGAATATTTTAAAGACAAGAAAAATAGGAAAACTATAATATATATATATAGTATATCCAACGGGGTGAGGTCATATCAAGGTGAAACTCCATGTTCCAGGATTATGTTTTTGAGGGCCTTTCTGACTTTTCTGTATATGGACAGAAAAAGACTTGTTCCACAATGGCTGAGATCTTTAATCTTTAGATGCAACTGTTAAGATCCTGCTAAATTCCTGGGGAGCTGTATAAAATACTCCCAGGATCCCAGGAGGAGAGGAAGAGCACTGCTTTGTAACTAATTAACATCTCCACACCTTGTTTGTTACTCAAACTGCTGAACTGTGACACCTTGCTCAGATCCAAATGTAGCAGGGCTTCATTAATTCACTAGCCATTACACAAAATAAACGTCTGGGTAAACTGCATGCTCAAATATTTAGAAGTAATGCCATTTGTTAATGAACAGTCTGTTATCAAAATGCTACAGCATGCATGTTTTCCACTGTACTAAAGTGCAGTGTGTATACCACTATTTCCACATGTGTGTGACTATCATACCTCAGTATCTCTCAGTGCGAAAAGCAGTTCTTAATCAGAAATGTTAATGAAAGACAGAAAGGGAGAATCTTCTATAGTTTAGCTTCAGGGGATGTCAGATGCTGTATCCCAGATAATCTTGCCCTTCCCTTGAGCAGTGCCAGCGCAGGATTGAGAGTGGATTAGAACAGATTAAACTTGCATGTCAGCACAAACTGTAGGCAGCCTTCTGGTATTGCTGTCTGAACTCCCTCGTTAAACATACGCAGTACATGTGGAGCTGAAGGCGTTGTCTCTCTGTCTACATTACTGCATGTATGTTCTAGTTATTTAATGAGACTCATGTCCTTGTCAGGAAGGTGCCACAGCACTCTGAAGAGAAAATGCCCTGCTACTGTAGTCATCTTTACATTGTTCCTCTGGGCTCACATGTCAGTAGTGACACACTGAAGCTAGCGTGCTCTCCTGTTGTGTGCATCAGGCTCCTGCAAAACAAAAGGCAGATGTAGTTACTGCTTGTGCTCGTCATGAATAATACATTTTATTTTTAAGATACCTGTGCACCATGCTATTTTTCCCTGGGTGTGAACAGTGTGGAAGAGTCTGATATGGTCACTGACTAACAGAACACATAAGTACTATAACTGGTGGGATTATCAAAATAAAAAAAAAATAAGGAGATTCAGTCAAGATTAACTCCCGATTTAAAAATACTCACAACACTAGATAATGGCTTTGCACAATATTTAACCTCCATTCTAATAGCAGTTGAAAGGAGGATTATTTCTTTGCTAAGAGTTTCCAATAAGCACAATAGGCCTACACAGTTTGCAAGATTCAAGGTCAGAAATGGCCTGGCAACCCATCCTGTGATTCAAAGGGAATTCTTGTTTAGGCCTGTGACAGGCTGAGCTCTCTGCTTTTCAATGACCAAAACCATTGTTTCATAGCTCAGTAGTGTAGTCTTCATAAATGAGTCACTGCAGACTCCAGCTTTTGTGTGTATGAATATTACCGTCTTACCAAGAAACAAACAAAAAATCACTGTATGATTTCTGGGCAGATAACTGCTGTTTTTTTGGTGCGTGATTGAATTCAAATCAGCTGTAGCTAAAAGTATGAACCCTGAACTTTACATCTCTGGTCCAATCTTCACACATGACTGACACAATTATTCCAACTATCCATGGGACACAAGACTACTCAGAATTCTTCTCTGAAAGGTATTTTCATAATTCAGAAAAGATAAGCGTGATCAGGTGACCTACAATGCATTTTCTTTTCAAAAGATAGCTTGTGTATTGACACTGAATTTATTGCTAAGAAAAGACCCAGACCATTGTAATGGACGACTGTCCATTTTAAATCCTGACCTTATCATTTGAACCAAGTGCTGCAGTTGGTGTGTTTTAACATACTGGGACCCATCATTTGAAAACATAATATTCACCAATCGATACAGATGGTTCACTATGCTTCTCTCTCAACAGTTATCTTCTCAAAGTTGGTTGAACATGGATTTATCCTTGTGAGCAGTGGGAAAAAATTCCAGTGAATTAACTGAGTTCAGACAGGGACGTCAGCAGAGCCAGAGATATTGGTAGTTAGGGGTGTTCGTGTTAATGGAAGAGCTTGTTATTTGCATTGTCTGTCACTTTGAATTGGTCAGGCCTTTTCATCAGCTACTGAACTTTGCGGACAAAATAAAATTAACCACAAAAAAAGCGACAGGACTCAACTACAAAACCATCACGACACCTTTCTGAGGGCATGTTAATCTTCACAGGAACAGGAATTTAAGATGATAAGTGCTAGATGATACTCTATTCCCTTACATCACAAAAACCCTAAAAAAAAACACTTGCTAACAAATCTGGTCAACACATTTTGTAACTGAAACATTTCTTAATTGTTGAATGAATGAATTAGTGCTGGTGAGAAATAAAAGCGTAATCCCAAACTAAAAATATATCAGTTTCCAGGCAACCTAAGATCCTCTTATTACATCAGAATAAAAATACACTCGTAGATAAGTTATTTATTTTTCAATGCCCGATTAATTCATCACTGAAGACCCATCTTATAGCCTTCATCAGTCTTTTGAACTATGGCTTTCAGGAAGATGTTTTTGCTGTCCGCAATGAACTACAAATAAAAAAGGAAATTTGGCTTTGTAACAGATGCCATCAGGCTGGCATACAATAACTGTAAAGAAGTCTTATCAACATGTCTGCTGGACAGAGCCATCTCAACTAAAGTGCATGTACTTTAATACTGTTTGCTGTTTTCATTAATGTATATACTTTTTTTTCTTAGCAATATTTCTTTTTTGTCATGTGTTGTATGTTGTTCCCCTTACTTGTTGGCCTCCTGGGGATGAAAAAAGGCATTTGGAAAGGAACTGAACTGAATTAATGCATCTTCACTGAAGAGTGGTGTTCTTGGCTATTTTAATAATATATCATTCTGTGCAAAAAGATCTACCTGTACAGAACAGGTTGATGGCATGCAGAAAAGAAGGCTGAATTTAAAAATGTGAAACTCCAAAAAATCCTAGAGTAAGTGTCACCACACAGAATGTCAATCAGGATTTTGGCTGATCTACAGTATTGACATTGTATATTCCTGGAGTAACTGAAAACCACAGGCTTTGAGAATTTTCATAGGAGCTAGATACATTTCCAATTTTGTTCAGCACAAAATATTGGGGAAGTGTCAACTTCATTAGAGTCTATAGGTTCACAAAAGAAAGCTTAGTTCAAACAAAGAACAACTGTAGGGCTCTCACATAAAAATTCTAATATTATAAGGATTTTACATTAACTTTGAGAGCAAAGCTAAATGTTTTGTACTGAGATCTTCTTTGGAGTTGCAATGTTTTTTCTAGATAATATTTATGTCCTTGTCATACAGTATGTTTCGTTATAAAATATAATGCATTATACAATCCTAATTGATCTTGAAATACACCTTGCAACACTATTGTACATCACAAGTCCTCTTTTGTTGACAAGATATTTACCTGCTGTAAACTGAATGTATTAAACAGAACAGTCTCTGCTGCAGTCAGTAAGCTGTGTTAAGTTTTAAGGCCTCAAATAGTAATCACAGCCAAAGATACAGACATAAAGGGAAATGACAGTTGCATTCTGATAAGGGTTTTGTATTTCAGACAGAAAAAAAAATACCACAGTGTTCTATTATATTGCGGAAGTGAGAGTCAAGTCTTTTTTTTCTACACTTGTAAAAGGAAATTAGATGATCTGGATCAAAGTGCACCTACATCCCATGTTTCTGACTGCAGCAACAGCTATTAGATTAGAAACCTAGAATGTACATATGATGATCAGTGAATGTAAAATCTGAAAATTAATTTTGGTACAAACATCCAAGTGTGCAACAATCCAAAATGAGAATTTGGCTTAAATTTTTAAAAACTCCATTACAGATCCACCATCTCATTATCCAAGATGCAGTTGTTCAATAGTATTCTGGTGAATATGTTTTTAGTAGGTCTGTGTAAAGGCTTTTTAAAGTCTGAACAGCAGAAAATATTTTCATTTTTGGAATTTCAGACACTTAGTGTAAAAACAAGCAGTCTGCCATCTGTCGTTTATTTTAAGCTTGATAAGGCTGGTTGGTTTTTCATTTTGTATTACTCATGACTTCCAGTCAGGTGCAATACTACCTAGATCCTAGCTCTCTTACCTGTTACACATAACTTGCTGATCAATTAAAATAAAAAAAATAAAAAAGACCAACCTTAATTTTAGAACTATTGTAGAAATAACAAAAATGTGTAACTTAATGCAGAGATGTTGTGTTTAGCTCCAATGAATGTTCTCTCACAAAATAAAATGTTAACATTCAGTGAACCTTTCGGGGAAGTTTGAATTTTGTAAAATAACTTGTACAAAACATCCATGTGTGATGTTTTGTGAAAACATCTACACAACATAGTAATTGCCTTAAGGGTTTTGTACTAGGGCTACAACATCATGTGTGAATGAACAAAAGCACATCACACAAGCTCATTAATGCTACAAAGAACACACTGAAAGATACTAAAAGAACCAACCCAATAACTTCCAGCTAAATTTGTAAATATTGTTGTAATGTCCGGATGTAGATGGGAATTTTAAAAAAATCATGAAAATATGAAGGGAATATTTTCTTTAAGGGTCAGCTGAGTCAATGGCCACTTGTGTTTAGTATGGAGATGGGAATTGTGGATTCATATGACATTAGAAGCAGCTCTCTTTATTTTTCCCATCAGATTTGGGACACTGACATTGTAAACACTGCTAATGGGAGGTTGTTAGAAACCCAGTGCTGTATAGAGAAAGAAAATTAAACAGGGAACAAATCTGTTCCTTATGAAAACCTAGCATTACTGTGGTGAGTAATTATAAGGGTGAGACAGGTGTTTGATTTTACCTTGCAGACTGACAATTTATTCTATGAAGGCCGTGTCATGGTTAGGACACAGCTGCCCAGAGAAAAATCTCAAGTAATCAGATATAATTTTAAGAATGCATAGAAAAAAATACAATAGCATCATGTATTAAAAGATGGTTTCAATTTGTGTCATCAGTATAGCTAGATTATTTCCCTCATGATATTAATATGGTCAAAATATGATATGATCAAACTATCCAACCCTACCAAGAAGTCTAAAACTTCCAACTTCCAAAGCTGAAAGGGGAACCAGAAATATTTAGCATTTCTTTTTGCTGTAATAAAATCATTGGATTGTGTTCCTACTCAGTTCAAACAGATTATTATTTTGGATGAGTAGTTGAGAGATTTTTTATTCTTTAAATTGTGATTTACAATTCTTAATTCTTGCAAATAACTTCTGAATTTATAACTTACAATTAAGCCGATACTATTAAATGAATATTAGATCAAATTACAGTTAAAGACAGGGCAGCTATCACTGGTAACACAATAGCAACGTCTGGATGTTCTAACACAATGTATTCATTGTGTATTTATTGGCGAAACGACATATTAATACTGTACCTTTGTTCACATTTTCGTTCGCCTCTATGTTTTGTCCACGTTTGTTTTCTGATACCCCAGCTTACGCATGACCTCGCCGCAATATTTCTCGACTTGAGCGACCTGTTCAACGCTTAACCTCTCTCTCCAAGCGTAAATGGCTTCCTTGGCATCCCTTGACGAAATAAGAAAGGGCCTGTCCGAAGAGTAACCCTCGCCATGGGTCATGTTTATCACGAACTTTTCAATGGCTGGCGAAGAGGTCAGATTGGAGAAACTGTACAGCCTCTTCAGTTCCCGCACTGGGTGTAACACAAGGTCCTCATAGCGCAGGTGAAGGTAGTTCCTTCTTACCCATTGGGGTGCGTTCATGATGTGCAATATGTCGTTGAGCCAGTTATCGCATATCACCTCCATAGCGGTAGATACATAAATCTCCACTCGCGTGGACCTGTTGGGTATGAGAAGGCGCCTGTATTTTTCCGTCTGTTTCCTGCTTCTCAGCACTTGAATGCTTTCTTTCACCAGTGCCTGTTTAGATTTCAATCTGGAATTGTGGACCGCCCGGGGGTCTCTGAACAGCTGAATCACCTGGAGGTTCAGCCCGGGGTCCCTAATCAAAGGAACCAGGACACCAAGATCCAGGACCCGCACGTCTTTTATGACAACAACGGGATACTTCTTGCACTCTCTCTCTAATTCCCTGATGTCTTTAGGTTGGCACTTGCCGCAGACCTCTCCGTTTATCAGCCCAACGTCGTCTCTCCTGTGAGCACTGCACAGAGGCTCGGAGCAGATCACCTTGTTCGTCTTCCATCCGAAGATAAGTGAGGTAGTGAGGTTTTTGTTGCCCGTGTAGAGTTTTAAAACGGAGAAATCGCAGCGGTAGAGGGAGTTCATCATGTCCCTCACCGCTCCTTGGAGACTCCCTGCATCACCCGGGTACAGGGTCTGCCACATATTCCACATGGGTTCATACAAATAAAACACATCAGGATGCTGGTTAAATAACTCCCCTAAAAAAGATGAGCCTGTTCTCCAAGTTGCATGAAGATAAATGTGTGTTTTCGTTTGGCTCCTATTGATAAAATTTTCCACCGTCTCAGATTCGTTGCTGGATTTATCTCCAATATTCCATAACTCCATTGTGGTTTCCAAATCGGGGCATTTTGATAGTGGCAGTTCATTCCGGACCTGAGCTCTTCTATTTCTGTACTCCAACACATAAGGAATGAACAGGAGCAATACAGAGTACACTATAATTAATATGAGATATTTCTTCTGTAGCCTCCTCTTCATTTCCTCAGCGACCGAAGCGCTTAGCGCACTCCTACTGATTTAGCACCCCTACATGAAGCCTGACTCCGGCTTTAGACAAACTTTGAGTTAGAAAAAAACCCGGTATTGTCAATCGCCTCTGAACACGCCCACTGCATTTCAAAATAAGAGCCGATAGTCACGTGTGTCCCCTTTTCGCAAACTATCCATTTTCATTAGAATGGAACTGTATTTTTCCACAAATGTACAAAACGACATAAAAAGAAACTGTCACGGGGAAAATAGCATGTTTTCAGCTACGGGCAGACTTTTGAAATAAATGCAATTAAGAAATGTCCGTTTTGAGTTACTTGCCAATAAAAGTCGATGTATTACTAAATCGAGTTCTAAACTAAAAAAAATGTTAAAACTATGGAAATCGCTTGAATGAATAAAGTTTGCAGCTGTGTACTTTTCCCTCAAAATTGTTATTGTAATTTACTGCCATCAAGCATTTTGTGACAAATGAAAAAGTTGTGTTTCTGTGTAAGCTACAGAGCTGCACTTATAAAGACATCCATTTCTGAGTGTTGGGTACAATATGCAGGAAACTACGCAAGATTTATAGACTTATTTCTCTTCTTTGTGCAGCATGGCGCTGTAATAAGGTTAACCTGGCATTTTCTTACAGCTGCATCGAAGTGTTTGGGAGCATGGACAACCATCGACAGGACTGTTCACTGAACTTCCAACCTCGGCCAAGTTTCAGTGGTATAAGCGAAACTTAAATTCCAAAATCCATTTCACATTTGACCAAAGCCCCGTTTAAACAATAGAGTAAGACGTAAACAGCTTAAAACACTGTAAAATCTATTTAGTGTGCAGCCATGCCAATTTATGTGACAAAACCTTGATAAAGCACACAGCTGTCAGAAAAACTGCTCCGAATTCATTCAGATATATCACTTACTCTGGCACAACATTTTAATTACCCTACTGGAGATGTAGCAGATGCACTGTTCTTGAAGAAAAATGCTGTCTTCCTCTGCAAATATACATTTGGACACCCCAACAGATTAGCACCTTGTCAACTAACAAACATTTTTCCACATATTTAATCCAATTAAATGAGAGATTTGTAGGCTCGTGTATTTTCTTTAAGTATTCTAAACTAGCTGTATATATGGTACAATATTCCCCCTTGACCTTGTGTGCTTACAAAAACGTTTGATCTTTTAATACAGAATTACCAGAGTTACATTAAACGGGACTTTAAAAAAAAACAATTTTTAGTTTTAATAAGAAACATGTATCTGAAGCACTGAGCTCAAAATGTTCTTGTTGAATGCGCATATTGTACATATCTTCAAATTCGCATTGTCTACATCTTGTTGTTGCCTTTGTACTATAGTAAATTAGCAATAGCAATAAACAGTGAAGTTACTGATGCTGTTTGTTCTACTTTCTAAACATGACCTTTTCTCACAGAATATTACATGTACTGTAGATAAAGAGCACAAGGGGTAGATATGGAAGCTCAATTTTCTAACTGGCTAAGGTATGCCTAAAACCAGAATTTCAACCCACATATCATTGGAAATAGATAAATATGTCCTGTTTTCGTAGTTTCCTGTTCTACCAGGGTATCTACACAAAGGAATGCCACCATCACATGCTTCATTTGGAGATGATTTTGGAGTTTCAATTCACTTTCATATGAAGGAATTTTATTTTTCTATGCTGAAGTCTTGAAGGTGCCATATAATGTGTTTACAAAACAATAGTTACTTAGTTTTTTTAAACGCTTAAAATGTATAATGACAAAATACAGAAGTAAACAACAAGAGATTGTAGGCATTGCTATAAAAATCAGAAAATAGTCATATACTGTCGATATCACGTGTAATCACATTATATCTCTAAAATGGAACGTGCTTCGTGTTATATCTCCGATTTGGAAACATCATCTTTTATAAGATAAGATAACTTTATTGGCCATATACAATTTCTTGTATTAGGAATTTGTCTTTTCACATACCCCAGCTTGCGCTCCGTGAGACACACAGACAGAGAGAGAAGCTTGAGGTCAGAGCACAGGGTCATCCATTTATATGGCGCCCCTGGAGCAGTTGGGGTGAAGGGCCTATCTCACGAGCCCAACGGAGTAGGATTTCTCTACCAGCCGCGGGATACGAACCGGCAACCTTCCAGCCACAGGCACAGATCCTTGCAGATTAAACCCAGACGTCACTTCAGAGTGTCATTTGTATGGAAATAGGATTTTAGGGAGTAGTCTGTGTAGCTTTTCAATAGACAGGCCTTACTTGACTAATGTGTTAGGTTTATGTGTAAAAACAACAGGAACATACAGAGCATATGAGACAGTATATTTACATTTTCAGGAAGCCTTTACTCACAAAATTGCTTTTGGTAGGCATTCAGGGTAATGTGTATGATTAGAGTGAAAATTGTTTAATGAATAGAAAACTAAGAATAAACATAAGAGCTGAATACTCCAACTGAGGAATGTAATTAGCCTGTGGTGATCTATTTAAGGATCTGTCGTCTTTCTAATTTATATCAACAACCTAGATTCTGGTGAAGTTCTAGTTATTTAGCTAGTCAGGTTTGCAAAACCAAAATAGAACAAGCCGCAAACCCTGTAAAAGTAAAGAAAAGTCTGGACTGGGCTCACACTAGGAAGATGATATTTAATATAGACAAGTGCAGAGAGATACATGCAATGAAAAGAACCATAAACTGTACATGTGAGATGGGGAGCAACCTGCAGAAGCTGTGAAAAAGCCTTAGGTGTCTCTGCTAACACATGCTTTATGTTTTCTAGACAAGGAAATGATAAAAAAAAAACAAAGAGACGTTTAGATTACTTAGTTAAAAGTGTAAGATTTAAATTGAGGGATGTTATATTAAAATTGGAAAATGCACTGAATGTAAGATCATAATTTAAAGACTGTATAAAGTTTTGGTAACTCTGTTACAAAAGAGATATTAATGTTTTGGAACCAGCTCTGAAAAGAGCCACCAGATTCCTTTTTCAGGCTTAAAGAAATGGCCGTGGCTGACAGGCTAAAGGATCTGCGTCTTGTCATTCCAGAGAAGACTAGAATTCTATTTTCTGGAAGTCTTAAAAATGATCATGAAGCAGAATACAAATACAAAATGAAGAAAAAAAACACTTTAAAATTTGGAAATAACAGAAAAGGGCGTAAAATACACAATATGGCTAAAGAATATACATAAAATGTCCTTATTTGGTAAGAATCAAAATTACACTTAAGATTTTGCTTTATGTTTCTCAGGTCTCTGCTTGTAAAGAAGTCGACGTCTACACGTGCTGTTTCTAGTCTTCGCTTTTCCAGGGAAAGTGACTGCTCGGCCAACAGAAACACAGAGGAGGGAGGTTCGGTTGGTAGGAGCCGCTGTACACAGCAGTGATGGCGGAGTCAAAACAATTCTGTATTCAACAGAGAAGTAGCCTTTGTATGATACATAATTAAAAATAAACAGTTAAATAAGAACAAATCGTTTATAGCCGATATCGGGATATTTAACTGTTGCATGCTTTTAAGCGAAGGATGCTGTACATCTAAGCTACGCAAAGCAAAAACAAGCGATTTCTAATAGTGTGATTGAACACAGTTCGTACTCGTATTTATTGTAAGCAATAATTTCGAGTTGGATGTATCGTCTCATGTAGTTTATGGTTTTAACCTGTATTGGTTGTGCTCAACTCAAAGCCTATCCCTTCTGCATACTTTGACCACACATACGAGAGAGTCCGGATGATCGTGCCTAACGTTCACAGTAGAGTAGTATATAAAGTCTGTATAGTATAGTCTATAACTATAGAAACTGGCACCGGAGGTCCCTTACTTAGCATCACAATGGCTCACTGGACGAAATTTGAAAAAGATTTGGAAATCGATACGAAGAGGCTAATAAAGCTCATCAGTGGGATACAGGATGAAGAAGACCAGAATTTCCAGATGGCATTAAAGTTTGCCTGGACCAATTTCAGGTGAGGGTTTCATGAGTGATCCCAAGGCTCGGGCCTGAATTCACATGGCAGAGGAATGTATTTGCTGCAGTCTTCATTCTCAAAGGCTGGCTTTGTCACTGACAGTACGTTTGTGAGAGGGACTAAAAGATCCGTCTTCACATTGAGTTGTAGTTCTTTTGCCATATATGAACCAATGCATAAAAGCATTGTTATGTGTTTAAATTTGCAGGTTCCATCGATACTTAGATGTCAACAGTCACAAGGTGCAGCGTACAATCAGTGGGTAAGTTCAGTCGATCAAGCAGATTAAATATTCTTCTTTCTGAGGAGATTCTGAAGATCAAGACAAAGCGCCTACAAGAATGTGACACTTTTTTCCTTTTTGTTTCAGAATCCATGAAAAGCTAATAATTCACTCAGATCTGAGCAAAGCTACAAGCTGGAAACGACTGACTGAAGAATTTCTGAATGCACATCTTCCAAACACAGAAGGAACAAAAGTAATAGATTGTTATACATCTTGTGAACTAAACAGCTTGTTTCTAAGATTTAAGATTTAAGATGTGATAAGATTTATTGTCCATTGAGGGAATTTGTTTGTGGACATCAACAACAACAAAATTGAGCATCACTCTATTGCACATTTATAACACATAATAACATATAACATATATAACATTACAAAACATGTTGCACACAAGTGGATTGTAACGATAAAACAATGTTTATCCTTGCCATTTGTATTGACAGCTTTAATGGAAAGTGGAACAAAGGAATGTTTGTATCTGTTTGACTTACATTTGAGAACCCTAAAACGTTGTTGAAATGCGCTAAACTAAAAACAAGAAAATTAAAAAAGCATTTTTTCTCTTTTTTTTTTGCAGACAGAAACCCATCACAGTATCCTAGCTCTCCTACTCTATCTTTCTGATTCTCCTTCCAACACAGATTACACTGAGAGGCCACGGCTGAAGGATGCTGGTAAGTTAATAGACATTAACATAGCCACAATGAGTAACTGGTGTTCACACAACACAAACTTTGTGTTTTGTGGCCTTTTTATTATCTCTGTATGTTCCGTAATAATATATCTTAATACCCAGTATACTACTGGAATAAAGATGTAGCATCAGCACACAATTAACTCTATAAAACATGATAGGTGTTATTCATCTGGCAGAATGTTGCAATAATTGAGTCGTCAGTTTAATTCTGTGCCAAATGTTAATCTAACACCTGTGAATATGGTGCTTTCTATGATAGTCTTAGTTGCTGTATCTTAGATTTGGCATTTTGACTATCCTAATACACACCTTTGAGAGACAAATTCCCATGAGCCATTACAATGAAGAAGTGTGCACAAATAATACAGTACATTTATCATCTGCATGTCACTAATTGATTTCCCCAAAGCATGCTGTCTCATTCTGACTCAGCATATTACCTAGACTTTTTGGAGTTGTTTGTTTGTCTGGGGGAACTATGAGCACTAACAGTAACAGAGGCTCTTCTGAGATGCACAGCAAAGTAAACAACGGCAACATTTACATAATAAGAACACCTCCTGTAAGATTCATTGTTCTGACAATGAAGGTATTGTTTTAAACAGCAGTACCAAAAGCGCAACTAATTCCAAAAATCTTTGAATAATTTGGAGCTCCTGATTCCAATATTCAGGATTTAAAGGTTTGTTTGAAATGCATGCCAGTTTTGAATTTTTAAAAACTTTGGATGGAGATAGTACCCATCTCCAGGCAGCAGTGTGGAGTAGTGATTATGGTTATGGACTCCTTACTGCAATGTTTTGGGTTGAAAGGTCAGCTGCTTTTGTGCGCTTGAGCATGGAATTTCAGATCACTTCAGTGAAATCCCCAGCCGTACAAATGTAAGTTACTTTGGACAAAGCGTGTGTTAAAAAATACATTAATCTCTGGGATACATTTCATGAACTCTCCTGTGGCTTCATATTACCATTTACAGAGTGAGCATTCTCCTGAAGAAATAAAATCTTCTGAATCTTTAATCTGCACTCCCAGTTGTTTGAAATAAACCTTAAGATCTGTCAAATGTCAGAGCTGCTATTTCATTTTCACATTTTCTGTTTCATATTGCTTTCTGATTTTTGATAAAACATTAGAATTTATTTTATTTTTTCAAGAAAAAGAAGACAATTTTGACTGGGGTAAATATTTGATGGAAGGAGAAGATATTGACATGGGCCCTTTTCCAGACACTCCTGTAAGTGAAAGGATACTAGTTTTCTTAAATCCTTACTGCCTTATTCAATAGCTGGCTTGCACTATTCATTACTGAAAATACTTTCTTGCAGAACTTATAGGAATGTTTCTCAAACCGATCAAGCTTCAGCTAGTGTCAAAAGTATTTATGCTGTTAAAAGGTACAAAGAAAATACTTTCAATAATTTCCAATTATTTTTCATGAAAGGCAAGAATTAAAGTTAGGTTTCATTTTAATGCAGGAATTTCTGCAAAAAAAAAAGATTTTATTCTATAGTCCTGCCACCTCTTTCCCTAGACTTCAATCCCATTGAGATTCGGTGGGTTGACTTGTAGGCTGGTATCAAAAAGAAGAAGTCAAAACTGCCTGCAAAATTCAAAACTAAATCTCTTGAAGACGCACAAGACTATTTTAAAGATAGAAAAACACTGCAGGCTATAAAGAAATATTTATGAACTATGAATGTATTACAGTATGTAATATTTTATTTTTGTATGATGAAGCTGAGTTTCTTTGTCTTCCAATATTACTCATGTTCTATTCCTTAACAGACTGGGACTTTAGTCTATATAAATAATTGACAAAAACACACTTCTGCTTTACTAATTTCTATTCAGTCAAATGTTACAGAGTGGGTTGTTCCCCATGCATTGAAAGTACATGGTTAATAAAAAGTGTTTACAATTCATTTAAACTTTTTTCTAACATTCAGTTTTCTAAGTATTAAGTTTTTTAACAGTCCAAGGTACATTTCCTTTGCGAGAAGTATCTCTTTCTAGGAGCTCCTTTTTTCAAAAGCCAAATAAACCCAGGACTAAATGTCAAAGTGGATCTAAAAAAACGCTTATCCCCAAAAAGAGATTTAACCCAAAGAGATAACAGCTCAAACGATCACCTTCTCGGTTTCTGGTGTCAGAAACAATGCTGCGGTCATGGCACACACTTCAACTTCACCAGTGTTATTTCTTAAAAATGTGTTAAGAAGGTAAAGGATGGAGCCTGAAATAGACACTGAGCTGTTTTCTTACAGGTGTGGTCCGAGGAGGAGAGTGAGGATGAAGACAGCCAGCAGCCCCTCAGCAGAGAGGATTCTGGGATCCAGGTGGACAAAACACCCTTGGATGATCAGGATCACTCCAAGAAGACTGTCCAGGTTTCCTGGAAAGGTTAGTTATTAGTCATTCTCACGCAAAATAGGTCAAGTATCACATAATTATTTGTCTGTGCTATTTGATAGTATAACTTGCTTTCACATGGATGAGAATGTCATTAGAGGTAGTCTTGTCAAGGTCTATAGATGGAAGGAATAATAGTGATTTGCTGGCACCTGATGTATACATTAATGTAGCATCTGGACATTTTCCAGTACTGTTTTCTTTTTCTGTTTTGCGGTTTCTATGTGCTCTTCAAATCCCATGTTTGTCTTTTGAAACGTTTGCTTTGAAATGTTTTTATTCCTTTCAAAATATTTGATTAAAACCACTGTCACTATGCCTTTTATGGTCCTGATTGATTTTTGTTTAATGTACTACTATGTCGCTGTGCTTACTGTGGAAAGCATTTGCTTAGTCTGCATGAATATTGTGGCCGATGTCAGTATGAAGTGTCCATTTGTATCCTGCACAGAATGCCAGTTGATTCAGGCTGAGCGGAGGTGCCGAGTTAGAGTCTATCTGAAGCTTGGCTGTTTATTTTGGCTGAGGTTCTTCAGGGAGAAATGAAGTGAGACCACGTTTAGAGAGATCTCAATATTGCACTTCAAAATCCACCAGACGGTGATTGCTGATCTAAGCTGCATCTTAGAAATGATTCAGATGACTAACCTCCAATGAATGAAAAATAGAGTGGATGCAGAGAAGATGGTGATGAACACTGATTCTTCTTGTCATTGTTTTGGGAGGCGGTGAGAAAAGACTAGACTCTTAGAGTATAATAAACTAATGATGTGATGATGCAAACATTTGTTTAATGCTTGTTCTGTTGATCGCAGTAGGTGAGCAGGATGCTCGAGTGTGGCTGGAACAGCATGTAGTGACACAGTATTGGGTCGCCCAGGCTCCACACTTCACTCACAGCCTGCACTTGCACTCCAATCTCCTCAACGTCTGGTAAGAGAATGTCGAAAGTCTCCTCAGAGCTCAGCATAGTTTGCCGTTTGGGGCAAGCCCTTCAGAAATATTCAACTGGAAATTACATTTAAAACTAAGAACTGGAGGCAAAGGGCTGTAGGAGCAAGCTATGTTGTTGAAAATGTTTCAAGAGAGGAGCAGGAAACTGTCTGGCATAGATTCAGCTTTTATTGAGCTATGTATCCAAAACAATGCATCGCTGGGGCAGCCCCACGAAATAGACAAACTCCTAAAGCTTTCTTACTCTTTTTAGCACAAAAGCACAGCCTCATGTGGTACTTGACATACTGGTGTGTTGTAGGCTGAAGTGGTTTTCGTCCAGCTCTAATACTCATTTTGATATTGTTAAAATAATATCTCGTTGTTAGGAGTACAGTAAATCAGTTACTGTTGCTTTTGCAAAGTCACTTCTTATTGTACCTTAACAGACCTCGAGGCAGTTTGCTGACACTGGAGCTGCATAGCTTAGATAACATATTCTGGGAATTACTCCATAAACAGCACAGTTAAACACTGACACTCTAATCTTAAATTTATATTAAAATATTTGTCCCATTTCAAAGGTCATGCCCTGGCTTCCTTTAAGAAACAGCAGGATGAGGTCAAATCAGTTAGCTTCTAACTACTAATTGGGATATATGGGCCGAAGGGCCTCCTCTTGTTTGTAACCACTGCTATGTTCTTAAATATCCTTGTTTTTTGTAGGCACTGTTCTTTATATACAGTAGCACCTTTTACAACACATCTCAAGGTGCTTTGCAGTAAAGTAAAACTCTGCTGTAGTTATTGTACAGTTAGTGCTTATTCGCACCCTGTGTAGAGTGAGAATGAGCAGCAGTGGAAGAACATCAGCAGAGCCTGTGCTTGGAAAAAGCGTATTTCATGGTGGATCTGAGATGATGCATGATGCCGGAGTGCCATTAAACTAAATGGAATTTGATTTCAGTGAATTTGTGAATTAAGTAGCAGCAGGGGAGGTGAGCGATCTGATGATCAGACAGGCAAGTCCTGACAGGAATTCGAACCACAAGCAATGTGGAAATGCCTTGCCTTCACCGTGTCCACCCCCGAGGGGCGTCCACTTTGCGGTCCTTCCTCACAAAGAAGAATTAGCTCTAGGCGGAAAAAGGAAGTTCATTCCAAAGGAACTGGCCATATCTCCTATGTGTATGTGAGGAGTGAGCCCCCTACTCCTGCTGGGATTTGATCCCAGACGCTTGTGGACTCCACGCATGCGCATCGCCTCTCCCCCTACAGTGGATCATTCTGCCCTGTAGAGTTAAAAAGTTGTCTTCGCTGTGTAGTATGGTTCATCTGACCTTTAACCCTGACCCTTGATCTTAACTATGTCTAATTATGCTTATATACATTGAGAAAATAACTGTCTATTCTGGATTTCTTTTCTGCCCAGGGACCAGCACTTGTACAACACGGATCCATTGTACCTTCCTGAAGAGAAAGTATTTGTCACTGAAACTCAAGTGATACGAGAAACTCTGTGGTAAGATGGAAAGATTAGCTGTGACATTGTGCACTCCATTGTATAAGGAGCTAATCAAAGTGAATGTTTCATATAAACCCTATATGAGACTGCATTTAGAAAGCTAGTTGTTAAACTGGTAAGACTAGAGTATAATCTCTAATGTACTTCTTCACTTTTGACATTATCTTTCTTTTTAGAAATGTTATATTCTTTGATGCAGAATACCTCATAGTCAGACAAAACAAGCAAACGTTCTTTCAGGGTGAATAAATCATTAAAAATATCCATGGCCTGCTCTACAGGAGTGTCATCCGGCACAGTTTCTGAAGTTCGTCAATTGGAAATAATTGAAGTAGTTTTCCTTTTGTTCCAGGCTTCTCTCTGGAGTGAAAAAGCTCTTCATATTTCAGCAGCATGAAGGCAAAGTAACTGTGAGGAATGATGTTGTAGTCACTCATTTGACAAATGTAAGTTTTGTGATTTTGGTTCAGTTTTAATTTGATTAGAGGAGGTTTGAGACACCCCAGTGAATGTATTTGTAACACAGCGCATTCAAACTAAAATTTGCATCCCAAATCATTCATTCTGTAGTGCAATATTATCTGGGTCATGTAAATATGGTAGCTGTATGAGCCGCATTCTTACTGTTTTGTTTAAAATGAGCTCAAAACCTAGCAGGGAGTTTGATTGATGAGACTGCCTTAATGTTTTCCACTATGAACTCTTTTCCTAATTCACAGAACTGCTTGCGATCTGTCTTGGAGCACATAGCAGCCTACGGACAGGCGGTGTTTCGCCTGCAGAAGTTTATTGATGAAGTGACAGGCTACAACACAGAGCCTGCTCCTCCTGGGACAAGCACTTTGTCCAAAAAAGCTTCTGAACCTCCATTCAGGACCTATCAGGCCTTTGTTTGGTCTCTCTACAAATTTTTCATCAGCTTCAAAGAAGAGCTCACCGCTATTGAGAGATGCATCCTTGTGAAAGGTGAATAATTTGTCTGTGAGCAGTGCTTTGATTTAATTTTTTTCCCAGGGCCTGTGAAATGATTTCTAGCTCTCTGAAAAAAACCTGACCTTTTTTGAATTTACACTTAAATTGTAATGTATCTAATAATTGTAATTTTCTTTACACCTTTCTGGCATAATAGCGAAGCAGAGATCTTTGTCAGTTTGGGTTTGACTCTTGTCTCTTTCCTTTTTTATAACATTTGCTTAACTGTTCTTTTTTTGTTATTGTTCTTTTATGATTTGTTCTGCATGGAAGAAAAATCTAATAGTTACCAAAATTAATTCTTCACTTTTGACATTGACATGCAGAATACCTCATAGTCAGACAAAAGGTTCTATAAAAAGCATCCCCATTTCTAAAACCTAGTACGTAGAATAAGATCAGAATAACAGCAAGAGATATGTAAATCTCCATCTGAGGGTGTCAGATAAAAAAACTAGCTTTGTTCTCACACTTAGATGTGATGTTTGTTATGCCTAATATAGTCGAAATGCAAACTTTATGAAATATACAACTTGACAGTTATGCAGAACCAGCTTTGCAGAATCTGCTTTGGAGAAGTATGGCTAATGCTGTGCTTTCTAACTCTGTAATATTCTTTCATCATCGAATACACGATGTCTTGATGAAAGATTTCTGGGTGACGGCGCCTGCGCTGCCTTCGTGCCCAGTTGTATCCGTCGTGTTGTTCCTCACTCCTAGACAAAAGCGTCACGCTGTCTGCCGTGCTGGAGCAGCTCACCCCACGCCTGGCCCAGCTCAAAGTCCTGCACAAAGTCTTCTGCACGGGGGTTGCCGAGGTGCCCCCTGGCACTCCGAACGTGGTGCGAGCTTCCCACCTGCTCAACACACTCTACAAGTCCATCATCGAGTACGACAGCATCGGCGAGGCTTCGGAGCAGGCCGTGAGTGTCGTCTCCCGAAGAGCATTTCGTAAGATAAAGCTCTTGTCCAGCGGTCTGACTCGGGTCGATATCTATTCTTGGAGAGGAAAGGCTGGCGAGGGGTTGTCTGAGAGGTGTCTGAGTTCCTTGGAAGACGGGGCTTTTCTCCTTTTCTTACGAACCAGAGAAAAGACATTTGAGCCTCAGCCATGATGCTGGACAAGGTTCTGAGACAAACGCTGAACATCCACACAGGCATCTAATATACCTGTATCTATTAAGGGGAGCACCTGTCGGCTATGATACTGCTACTGCTACTGCTACTACTAATATTATTGCATGCCAGTGCCCATACAGCTGTCTGAGAGGCGAAGTCTGAGCTAGAGTGGCGATAAGTTGATTTTCGGCTCAGAAAAATGTCCACTGTGCTACAAAAGCCATAATGGTAATTCAAAGTCTAAATTTGAGTTACCATGATAAATGTATCAATTTTTCTATAGGAACAAGTAATAGGTTTATTCCATGCTGGAAGAAGAAGAAAGAAAACACAACATTTCGGCCGTGGAGCCTTCTTCAGGTGTGTCATGAAGGTTCCACGGCCGAAATGTTGTGTTTTCTTTCTTGTTTTTTTCAGCATGGACTAACCCTATTAATTGTTCCTTTGCAGCCTATGCATGCTGCCGCAGATACCCACATCAATTTTTGTATGCAGTGCTGTCTCATTTCTTATTCTTAAATGTCTTTCTGCCTTAGGTGGCCCTCCTTTTTTCTCTGTGGGTGGAAACGGTGAGACCGTACTTGGAGATTGTAGACGAGTGGATCGTCCACGGCCACCTCTTTGACCCAGCCAAGGAATTCATCATCCAGAGGTACAGTAGGCAGCCTGTTGGCCGAGACTGGCAGGTGTATTGTTTTGCATTTGCCTTTTTTTCAGGTTGCTTGTTCATGCTTTCTGGAGGCATGCATGATTATAAAACACTTTAGTGTCCAGAACCTTCATACAGATAGACAAAGATAACCAGACGTCACCATACAATCAAAAGGTAAATTATAGCGTTAAATGTTTGTGTTAGTTGTATATGTTAAACTGAAGTTTACAAGTTTGTGTATGCATCAATATTTTGGGGAGGAGAGAGCAAAGACAATGGGGCATGCCTTCACTTGGGTGTTTACAGGCACTAACTACTACTGGATGTTCAGAAGGAGATAATGAATTCATGTTAGAGAGGCAGAGGGGGAAAAGAGAAGGCTATTGCACATATCTCCATTATTTTTGTCCCCCAAATTAGGTATTGCTGAGTTTTTAGCCTTCCTCTGTTTTTTTCTTAAAAGTGCTTAGAAAGTTTGAAAACAAATAGAGGAACATAATGTTCAACATAAATAGTCAACCAGCATAAGAATGTCATTAAGCTCCTAACGTAACTTAACGAATGGCAAAATATGATATGTGGAGAGGATCAGTTGAAATGATCTTATATATATATACTTCCATAGTATTTTACAAAGGAGGCACTTAGGTGATTGGTTTCGTTTCACAGTCAATACCACATTTCCGGCAGAAGTAAGATATTATATCAGGCAAGTACAGTATCGCATGTATTCTTTATCTCTTTGGGGATTAGTACATAGCAGTATGTACAGGGACTATTTCTGTACATACTGTAAAAAATAGGACATGACGAAAAACAAACAAACCCTCTCAGCGAGTACCAAGTGTGTGAAGAATTAAGACTGATTTTATTTAGCAAAGTGAATCCACCTACAAAAAATGGTGGATTTTGATTTTGGTGGTGGATTTTGGTTTTTAATCCTTGAGTGTAAGAGTTTCAATTCTAAGTTAATAATAATAATTGCTTACACTTATATAGCGCTTTTGTGGACACTCCACTCAAAGTGCTTTAAAGGTAATGAGGACTCCCCTCTACCACCACCACCAAAGTGCAGCATCCACCTGGATGATGCGACTGCAGCTATAGTGCTCCAGTACTCTCACCCCACACATCAGAGGAGAGCAGAGTGATGAAGCCAGTTCATAGATGGGGATTATTAGGAGGCCATGATTGGTAAGGGCCAACGGGAAAGTTGGCCAGGACGCCGGGGTAACACCCCCACTCTTTTCGAGAAATGCCCTGGGATTTTTAATGACCTCGGTTTTACGTCACATCCGAAGAACGGCGTCTTTTTTGCAGTATAGTGTCCCCGTCACTATACTGGGGCATTAGGACCCAAATGGACCGCAGGGTGAGCGCCACCTACTGGCCCCACTAACACCTCTTCCAGCAGCAACCTTAGTTTTTCCCAGGAGGTCTCCCATCCAGGTTCTGACCAGGCTCACACCTGCTGAGCTTCAGTAGGGCTGCCAGTTGTGAGTTGCAGGGTGATAGGGCTGCTGGCATAATAAAATAAATGGTCTGTCTTGGTCAGAGGAAGTGTGTGATATAAACCCCATCAACACTTTATTAAATATAAGATTTAAATCTGTTTTCAATATTGGTTGACTATATTTCCTGCATATAAGTTAAATCGGCAAATAAAAAAACCCTTGGGTCTACAGGGTGGCAAGATGTTGCAGCTCAGCAAAGGTTTAAAATAAGTTTTAATTAGCTATGAAGAAGGTAATTTCTAGAGACCAAACACACAGAAGTGCATTTTCCTGTACCCATGCATTTGCAAGCAGCATTTTTTCTTCAAACCATGTCTCTCAAGTTACCATAAATGTCATATTTAGGAGATAGACTCTGCATATGGAGTAGAACCTATATAGAGATTTCCATCCAGTGGTTATCCATTATCTGAAATGTCACATGCTCTCCATGTAAATATTCCACACAATGAGTATCCGTCTCCCCCTTTTAGCACGCACAAAGCAAATGTAGACTGAGCCCTTTCAAACACACAGAACCAACCCCACAGGCTGGAGTTGAAGGATTAGACTCCGTGTTTGGACAGGGCTTCACCATGTCTTGGCGTCATCTCGCCCAGGAACAAAGACGTCCCCGTCGACCACAGGGATTTCTGGTACGCCACCTACACCTTGTACAGCGTGTCGGAGACGGTGGAGAACGAGGAGAAGCTGAGTGACGCGGCCAGCGGGAGCTCGGCCAGTGACCCGGCCGCGTCCTCCGCCAGCAAGCAGCACACCATGGTTTCCTTTCTCAAGCCCGTGCTCAAGCAGATCATCATGGCGGGCAAGTCCATGCAGCTCCTCAGGAACCTGCACTGCGAGGAGGACGGCCGGCGGGAGAGCTCGTCGCGAGGTGAGACGCGCCGCTTCGTCGGCGTCGGTGATTGTGTCAACACTGAAGGGACACATTCTCGGTATGTGAGAATTTGTTCAGAACTGGTGTCCTCGGCATTAAAATAGCTCAACCACAACGCCAAAAATGTCCTTCAATGCTTGACAAAAAAAAAAAGCTGGATAAAACTTAAGAAGTGCTGTGTCGGAGAAGTATTCATGCCATTTTTGCCTTTCAGTGGGCTGCAAACGTTTCAGACTGTATTTACTGCAATCCTTTAAGCCTATTTGACTGTTAGGGCTGTAACTTGACTGTTTTCTATACCTTAAAGGACAATAAGAGTTTAACTCCCTACACCTATGGAATGAGATACCAGTACATTGCAGAATAACCCATGGTGGTCTGAAACCATTTTTCCGTTTATATATTTGGATTGATAAGTGCCAGCATTGGAGTATTAAACTCATGACCCCCCAGGCTTGTTCTCCATGCTGTCCCCTAATTGTGTATGTGACTGTTCCCAGCAGTGAAACGCTGCAGGAGGTGAATGCTGTTGTTGTTCCATTGGCTGCTAAGAAACTTCAGATCTGGTCTGGTAGACTAAAGAGGTGCTTCTCCTTCTCCAGATGCAGAGAGGAAAAGTATATACACCCTCTTTCTGGAGTCGGTGCAGTCGCGCCTATGCTGTGGAGAAGAGTCGCCCACAGACACGGTGACTGAACAGCTGGCCACCAAGAGGAGCCTCATCAAGATGCAGTCTATAGTAGCTAGACACCTGGAGCTCGAAGACATACACGACCCTCTGCTAGCTATTAACTTTGCCAGGTGAGCTTAAATAATGTGAAGGGAAATGTGAGAATCGGATTAAAGTTTAGATGAAACATGAAACACTGAAATCGTGTTATGTGAAATTAACAACAAAGTTAAGGGCCAAATGTCATTTTGTATTAGATTTTTATAAAATAATATTGGTTCTCTTTCACAACATTATTTTTAACTGTACTGAAAGCTAGAAAACAATTTAGAGTTTGGTTTGTCCTGGGAATGTAAAGGTAATCATTGCTATTAAATATTTAATTATTGAGATGATTGGATTTTAAAAGGTTAAGTTAAACAGTTTTGAGTTATGATTGTTTACCTTCATATTTTATAAGGGCTTGACTCTGGATATTCATAGACTTAATACAAAAATTACACAACAGAATTTAGAGGGAAGATCGTTCCTCCGTGTTCCTCAAACTATTATTTTTATTACTCTTAACAATAATGGAAGTCTAAGTGTAAGACTACATGTAAACCCAAACCCAAGGCTGATCTTAACCATGCAAAACTTTTTATTAAAGTTTCAACTGACGTAGTTAAAATATTATTCGTAACACCATTTCTTCCTGTGACAAAAACCTTAATTCAATTTAATTATTAAATGTTAGAATAAATCAAAATACAATATCAAACCTACTGAATTATTCAGTGTTTGGCTGGTTCATTTGTTGTTGTTCTTATGTCATATTTGGTATTTTGTTCGTCCTGTTTAGAGCTTTTAACATTCTTGGTTTAATTTATTGTTTAAGATTATCCTGGACTGGTGTTATCCTGACTAAGGTATTCCAAATTACAGTGCCTAGCAAACTGAAGATTGTTGCTTTAGGTGGTGTTGTTGTGTTTATTTTTTGGAGAATGACTTTTAAGTGAATAAACTGTGGGCTTTGTCCACTGAATCTAAACCTTCTCCAGCTTTTCAGACTAAGGGAACAGCCGCGAATCTCAGCCGGATGGTGTAAAACTCTGAGGTGATCTGACTGGGTCTCCACTCTCCTTCCTGGTCTAGGTTATACCTGGAACAGAATGACTTCCACGAGAAGTTTGCAGGTGGCGACGTCGTTATGGACCGTTCTTCAGAGTCCGTGACCTGTCAGACCTTCGAGCTGACTCTGAGGTCCTGCCTCTACCCTCACATTGAGAAGAGGTACATTGAGTGCTGTGGCAACCTGATGAAAACGCTGAAGAAAGATTACAGGTGGGTGGGATTTGGAATTCGCACCTTTTTTTGTGTAAGATGTTAAAAGATATGGCTTACAGGCTCGTTAGAGACCAAAACCATTTTACTTTCAGAAAACATTGTTTATAATTCCATGTTTTTTAGTGTTTTAAAGTCTTCTTTTATCTGGGCAGTGGAAAATGTTTCATTTTCAGGACAGGTATAGGACTGCTTTCTTGCTCTGTAATGATATCCATGCCTTGGTGAGGTAAATCACTCAGATGTGTGACTTTTTACCAGTCTTTAGCAGTGCTTAAGTCAGTGTAATGCTCACACTGAAGGCACTCAAAGTAGCTGCAATTGTAATCCCACACTGGTATCCAGTGTTCACACCTACAATTCACTATATAGCTTCGTCTGTGCAAGTTGCGAGCAGGAGTAAATGTGCTGTCTGATATTATCAAGTCCTTACACACTGTCATTCCCCTGGTACACAGACTGGTCGAATACCTGCAGGCCATGAGGAACTACTTCCTGCTGGAGGCTGGTGATACCATGTATGATTTCTACACGGCCATCTTTGATAAGGTGCTGGAGAAGGAGAGCTGGCAGCAACTGTCCTTCCTCAACGTACAGCTGCAGGAGGCGGTGGGACAGCGCTACCCAGAGGACAGCACTAGGTACTGTGTTAGGAACCTCACATTGACATGCAAAGAAAAAGTTGCTGTATGTTAGCTTTAAAAAGGGAAGCAAAGTAAGGAACAGAAAAGTGTGGCTTCTATCTTCTTTGGAGGACAGTTTTGTATTATTGTACCCTATAATAAAATAATCATTTTTAAGGTTTGAAGTAGCTGAGATATGTCCTAATTTCCTTGGTTGTTACTTTCCTTAGTATGCTTTAACTAATACCTTCTGTTCTACTGAATTTGTACAGCGCTTGTGCCCTCTGCAGTTTCATGATCTGTGGCTTTACAGGTTTATTAAAAAGAGCTCTGACCTCTAGTGGTCATCTAGAGAACACCATTTCTTGGTATTCCTGTATTCCGGTTTTGGATACCTTTTTCTTAAACTTTCTTAAAATCGTTTATTTCTAAATTCTCAATTGTGGTTCTAAATTTTTACTTGTTCCTTCCTTTGTTAGAAACATTGTTTTTATGATTAAATCTTAACTTTTAGGTTGTGTATTGCTTTGACATTTTTAGAATAACAGTGGTTTGCTATTGAGAGCAGGTATACCACCCCTAGCTTAAAAAGTGTTTCATTGTGAACCCCTGAATATATTTTATTCATTTTATTTTCTAGTTGGGTAGATATGCTGTATTCAAAACACAGATTTTCGATTTTCCTTAAGAAGTACATGATGTTAAGAATATACCGTGCCTTGCAAAAAATATTCAGATCTTTCCTATATTTTCTTATTTAGTTAAATTAGAAAATGATGCATTCACATTTAAAAAAAAAAGATCTGAATCTTGGGACTGAAGACCACTAACGGTAAGTTAAGTTACAGTAAATTTTTAAAATTAAAAGGAAAAAGTAAAATATTTTGTTCGCATAAGTATTCACACCCATGACCCTGATACTTGGTGGAAGCTCCTTTGGATGCAAGTACATCCATCTGCATGTCTTTTGGGGTAATTCTCTACCAACTTTGCACACTGGCTTGGTACAACTCATGCCCATTCTTCTGGACAGATTTGCTGAAGCTTTCTTAAGTTGCTTGGGGATTGTTAATGGGCAGGTCTTGACAAGTTCCTGTTGATAAGAACCAGTCCATTAACATAATGCTGCCACCATCATGCTTGACAGTAGATATGTTGTTGACAGGTGTTGTAGACTAAAAGTTTCCAATTTGTCCTGTCCGATCACAAAATCGTTTGCCACACGTTTGAAGTATCACTTGAAAGCTTTGTTGCAAACTCCAGGAAGGATCTGAGATGGTTTGCTGCTTTGCTATAGAGGTTATCTTTGTGGAAGTTGACTTTTTTCCCATCTCCGTCACTCTATAATTCTTGCAAAGTTGCCATTGGCATCGTTAATCAGTTTCCTGTTTTCCCGGCTTCTCAGTGCTTGAGAGGTACAGTACACTTTCTGTTTCTAATTGAGTAGACAGTGCTCACAGGGGTATGTACTGTAGAGACACTGATATCTGTTTGTAGCCTTCTCCTTATCTGTGCTTTCAAGGACTTTGTTCCGAATCGGCTTTTCAGTCTTTGTGGTAAAGTCTTTGCTTGGAACCTCACAGATGGGTGTTTTTTTCCAGATGTGCCAGCTGTGTAAAAGTCAGAATACTTTTGCAAGGCACTGTATTTAAAGATCTTTGGTCCTCTAGGAAACTGTTGGGTTCATCACAAAATGTAATTGCATAGGATATAATTTATTCGAAACAACAAATGTAATTTTTTACTTAAGAGATAACAATTTATATAATATAGGGGATAAGCAATTTTATAAATGTAGTTTTGTGTTTTGTACACAAGAAACCACGTAATACAAATGTAAGATTAATTTTCCCTTAGAACAGTTAAATGCTTCACAATCCTGATATTTATAAAGATGACATAAATTTATAGTTTACTTAGTTTAGTTTACTCTTCATTTCCTTTCTTTTGCAGGTTGTCCATATTATTAGAAACAATTGATCCGGCCAGGAAGAAACAGCCAGTAAATAATTTGGATGGTCTCACTTTGAGCTATAAGGTAATATTTTTTTCTGTCATGATTAAGAAGCCTGTTATTATCTTGGTCAAAGTTTCAGCAGAAATTTGTGAAAACCTGTGTCTTCTCCTCTTTCTTCCTAGGTCCCTTGGCCTGTGGACATTGTGATCAGTTTGGAATGTCAGAAAATCTACAACCAAGTATTCCTTCTCCTGTTACAGATAAAGTGGGCAAAGTATAGCCTGGATACACTGCGATTCAATGGTGTGTATAAACTTAGACCCTTCCATTAAATATAAATGAGCTGATGGAATGTATAGTCATAAAGTAAAAATACTGTATAAAAATGATGTATGTTTTTGAATTGTATGAAGGCCTTCTAATTCTGAAATAGAGCAACTTTTAGTGTTCAAGTATTCTTTGTTACATTTCTCAACAGAATTGACAGCAGCTACCAAACGACCTGAAGGAAATGTATTTGATGATGGTGCTGCCAACCAACCAGTAAAGCAGCAGATTCACAGGATGTTTCTTCTCCGAGTCAAACTTATGCATTTTGTCAACAGCTTGCACAACTACATAATGACCAGGGTGAGTCCTTGTATAGAATAACACACAGGTTTAATAGTTGGATTTAAAATGATTAAACTGCAAGGAAGGCCATTTGAGTGTAAGGGCCTCAACAAAAGGATTACTGCACGCTATACGATACAGTAACCATTATACTTGCCCATTTTGAAATTGATGGTTTTTGAGTGTTTGGCTTCATGACACTCACTGCCGTATCACCCTGGGAAGAAAATAGGAAGAAACAAGACCATCTGAAATGCTCACCGCCCATTAGAACCATTCATCATTCACCACACTGCAAGCACAGGAGCCAACACACAGTACCTTACAGGAGAACCAGCAGTGATTGGAGAAGCAGAACATTTCCCACTGGGTTTGCTTGGGCCTGCCAAATAACAAGAGCTACAGTTTCATGGAATGCAGAGACCATGTTGACCATGTTAATGTTAACTGTGGCACAAAGACTCTTGGCCTTCATTACAGATGATTTTTGTGCTCTGATTTTCAGTAGTCTTTTGTCTAGCCTTTGGGTGTAAAGACACGCTTTAACAGCTCAGTGGTGGAATGTATGGAACACCTTAACCCCACAAAAGGGGACATTTTTGTCAAGTAACAAACAGGAGAACAACTGATACTTAAGTTTGAGCCAGCATCTTATTGTTCCCGTTTAGGTGCAGGAGTATTAAAAAATACTTTCTGTATGTTTTAAACAGCAGTATATTCTTTCTGTCAGATTTTGCACAGCACAGGCTTAGAGTTTCAGCACCAAGTGGAAGAGGCTAAAGACTTGGACCAGCTGATTAAAATCCATTACAGATACCTCTCCACCATTCACGACCGCTGTCTTCTCCGAGAGAAGGTAGGTCTTGCACTCTGTTAACTCACAACTACTAAGGGACACTGAATTTCCTTGAAGTCTACTGTGCTTTTTATGAAAGAGGAGGTGTAATTCAGATGTATGTTCTCCACTTGTCCATATTGCTCTTGAACTGTACTTTTCCATATATACTGTAGGTAAACCTATGGTTGTACTGGAGTCTGTCCCGAGAAAAGCAACCTGATACACCCCTGGACTCAAAACAACATCTTTACACAGACAGGCTGAAGGAACTGAACCTTTTCAGTGTTCAAAATCCTCAAAGACCCTGACAACCTCAACCCAGCAGGTTTCTCAAGAATGAACACTGAACCACAAACTAGAGGGGACAAGTAGAAACTATATGGAAGTGTTTTTAAAACCAAGAACAGGAGGCACTTCTTTATCCAATGGGTTGTAGCATTGTAGGATAAGCTACCTATCCCAAGTAGTTTAATGAGAACTTCAATGCTATTATTATATTTGGGGTTAATAAAGAATCGGCATTGATGAGTGCATTTCAAACCAAAATGAAAGAAAAATGTATACAATAATGAGTAAAACCTCCAATTTACTTCACAAAATAGCTGAAATTTCCAGGTATGCGCATCACCATGTTCTGCGATTCAGGACAAGGCAACAAAACTTCCGGTGAACTGAAGTGACCCCTATTACTTTGTACACGAGCAGGCTTGTGAATAAATCACTTTTAATCCAATAGAAATATTGCTCTTGACTTTGAGACGGTTTTGCCGACAAATACTACTTACTTGTTAACTCTGCATGCAGATCAGGTTGGAACATTTCTGCAGTGAAATGTCCCCGTCACAACCTGTACTCATTCACTCGTACATCGCATTACATCAGTCATAATGGTCACTAGTGAGCAAGAAGGGCCACATCACCTCACAATACTTGTGAACTCTCGCTATTACCCCTGGTGAGACCAGAGATTTGTGATAAAATGGCGACTTCCAGTACTTTCACAAAGTTCACAATTTTGTGCTTATTTTGTGCTTATGTGTAAAATTGTTCTATAACATTTAATAATTTAAATACCGGTCTTAGAAATTGGGACTGCAATTTCCCTTTAAGCCTTTTTCATACATCCTAACTTCTTTCAAGAAATGGCTGGATGAGATCCTTACATGAGTTAACTACTGACTACCGAGTGGTATCTTCTCATCTGCAACCCGTCTTATGTTGCTTTGTGTCTTATTGTATTGTGACATGTAAAACACAGAAATGGTGGACTATAGAATCCATAGTTAAATGATTGTTGGAGCAAAAGACAAACGTAGCAATGACTACAATTTTCAGAAAAAAAGTAAAATAAACTTTTTTGCTTGGCAATGCGTTTTGCAGGTTAGTTTTGTGAAGGAGGCAATAATGAAGGTGCTGAATCTCGCCCTGATGTTCTCAGATCGGTGGCAGGCAGGCTTTGGTGCCTGGAAGTAAGTATTAAAACCCTTAATGAAACGCAAGCATGTATTGGTTTGATTTCTCAGTAAATAATACCATGTTAACTGGACATTTGTCTGTGTTTTCTATAATTAAAAACACCAGGATATTCTACTGTAGGCAAGGTGGTGGTTGTCCAAGATCAAACAGTGAAAGAAGCAAATAGTTGTCAAACTTGCCGGAAATAAATGATTGAGTTTGAGTTACTGAGCTAAAACACAGATATTTATGAGGTATTTTTAGACAGGAAGTATTTTGCTCTAAGAAAGGTTTTCCAAATTATATTTAATTTAGCTTAGAAATGCATTGGAACATCGGAACCATAAGAAACTGTTTCACATTTGTTTTAAATGAGTGTGTATACAGTATATGTGTGTTTTTTCTAACGAAGCCTTTTCAGAGAAACTACAAATGTGCAGTGAAATCTTTAGTTGTTAATATAACATCGATACTTTTTTTTTTCAAATTAATCTTGGAACTCTTTGCATTTCTAGGATTGAGTCTATTGATAAGATGGAGTCAGATTTCAAGAACTGTCACATGTTCTTGGTAACTATACTCAACAAAGCTGTCTGCAGGGGCTCCTTTCCACACTGTGAGTCATACAGAAAGCGAATTAAATGTTTTATTGGCAATTCAGTTTCTGCTGTTTGTAAAGAGTGAATGAGCCAAAGTTAATCAGATGTTTCACTGGTCATATTCTGCTTTGTGATTAACTGGCAAAAGTTATCAATTAAAAGTTTAAAATTGTTTTTATCTGCAATGTATGATGTCTCTGAATTAGTTTTTGTCAACTGTATTATGTGATCACTGATCATGACAGGTACAGCATCTTCTAGTCTTAAACAGAAGCAGTGTATCAGTGATTAAAACAGTTTGTACCAAAATAACTAAAAGTAATGGAAAAGGGTTTCAGCTGTAGCATTAGTTAGTTCCACTATGTGCAAGCACTAAGGGTTGTTAGAGTATCTGCTCTATCCAGCCCTGTTGCTGAAGCCCCTTCTTCCAAGACAAAAAAAGGCTGCATGAGATCTTTGGATTGATTTGCTAATAACTATCAAACAGATGGATCTCAAGGCCACCTCTTGTTTGCAACTTATTCTTTTTATTGGTAAAAGAGCTAAGAAAAGCACAGCATTGTATGATTTTTGTGTTCTCTAATTTGGTTCTTCTCACTCCTCTTTTCAGTGGAGTCCTTGGCTCTGTCTCTGATGGCTGGCTTTGAGCAGTGTTGAGGATGAGCTACAGAAAGCTGTGAAGCTCCTCGCATCGCTTTGAGCCATTACAGATCCTCAAGAATCATGGAATGTCTGCAAGGCATTCTTTCACAATGCTTATTTTTTCTTTCGTGGCCATCTGGATTTCAAACATCAAAGTGCAAGGGAAGCCCTTTCCGACAACAGGCCTCTGACTTTATTTCTGCTTAGCAAATGCAACAAGGACAGACGTTTGCTACTGTTTCTTGTGCTCTTGGGAGAAAAAAGTGCTCAGTTGCTACTGGAGTATCTTAAATACCCTTCACCTCGGGTGCTCATATTGAGACACTGAAGGCAATAAGAAAACAGGGTACTGAAAATGTAAATATAGTTTTTTGCTGTCTTTGAGATGTGCTGTTTTTGCTCATAATTCACTATTTACAAAAGTGATTGTATAGCAGAGTGAATTAGACTTTTGTTTGCACAATAAATTCTGCTCTCTTAATAAAACCTGCACTGTTTTGAAGA